CCACCGAGTGCCAAGGTACCTAAGGTACCCGTTACGATTGGCCGTTTTAGTGGGCGCTCATCGCTGTAATCCGTACCTGCCGAGTAAGAATAGCGCGCAAGGGCCAGCTGTCGGAATCCAGACATCAGACAATACATCACATCAGACATGTTTCTGCTCCGGAAACCGGATAGCGGCCGCTCGGACGAAAAAGCATCACCGGAGAAAACAACTTTGCTATGGATTTTGCGACCAGTCGCATCTTCACTTCCGCCACCTCGATGCAAATATCAGCCCTTGCTGCGCTTGCCCTTTAACAAATCCTAGCTCTGTGGCGCGTCTCAGCCATGTCGCTGGTCATGGGTCACGCCTAACACCTAACACCTAACAGGACTACGGATACCGTGCTGAGAGTTTTCATCCAGCCCTCGACCATTTGCCTTTCGTCACTTCGAAAAAAAAAACCTCTCTCAAGAGCCTTGCGCTGCCACCACACGAAATCCCTTTTCAACGCCATTTATATCTCACGCATCGCTCTCGACACCAAAGTTTCATCATTGCTGCTCCAAAACCTGCTGCCCTTGTCCATGACAGAGGTACCCGTACCAGCCGCCGGCATCACCATCTCTGCATCCCCCGCAGACGCCGCCGCGGGGCTGCCCTAATCCATGTCCGCCTCCCAGCTCGACCTCGTCTCCGCCTGAGCCTCTTCTCGCCATTCCTATTCCAAGTCTAGCATTCGCCATGATGCCCGATAGCTCATCCTCGTCCTCATCTTCTTCCTCCAGCAATGCGTCGGCGTCGCCGGCGTCGCCCGAGGGCAGTGAATCAGCCGCGCGATTGAGCGACGCCTCCGTTGTCGCCGCCTCACGCGAGAGTCGCCAGCCTCTTAGTCGGCGCGGCCACTTCAAGTCGCGCATGGGATGCTTCAACTGCAAGAGACGCCGCGTCAAGTGCAACGAGTTGCGGCCGCAGTGCTCGCCGTGCCGTCGTCTCGCCCTCGACTGCTCCTATCCTCCGACGCCCACGCCCGCCGCGAGTCCAATACGCTCCAACCCATCTATGCTTTCCTTGGAAGACCTCCGCTTTTACCACCAATTCATAACGACCGCGATTCCTCCCCTCCCGCTGAAAGCTGAGAATGGGTGGATGCAATGTGCCGCCATGTCTCACGAGGTGCGTCAGGCCAACGTCTTCATTGGCCAGCACTAACCCATAGCAGTATGATTTTCTCGCTCACGCTGTTCTTGGTCTCGGCGCTTCTCACATAACACGCCACACCAATGCAGACTTTAACTCGCAAGCGCTGCAGCACCGACTCGTGGCAATTAAGCAAGTAAACGAACAGCTCAGCAACCCGCCCTCAAGTCAGCAGTCCTTGGATGCTATCCTCGCCGCTCTCTTTTGCCTCATTACACAGGCTTCTCTCATCGACGACGGCCTTGCCGACTACATGACGATTATTCGTGGCGGCCATCTCATCGTCATCATCATCATTGGCGACATGTCCAAGTCGGTTTTTCCCGGCTTTACCATTGAGGGGCACAACAGCATGGCTGCCACGTTGACAAGAGAAGACCAGCGCGACGATATGACGGACATGAATGATTTTGAAATGTCGCTCCGAATATTGGAGCCCTTGGTACAGGCTTCGTACGAGCATAAATATTACGGCTTGATGTCGCAAATACCTCTGGCCATGCAGCGTTCGTCTTTGCAAGGTAAGGTGCCCCACCAACCCCCATTGAGCCAAAGCTAATAAGTCAGCATGGGTGGTGTTTTCGAATCTCTTTCAATTCCCGGCTACATTCAGCAACGAAGAATTCATCGAGCTTGTCAACCCAGAAAACTATGGCTCCAGGCTGCTGCTGATACACATGTTCCTCGTCGACTATGTCATTGCCGCAATATGTCTCTCGCCGGACACGCCCATCAGGGCTCCTGCGCGGAAACATGTCATAATAAGGTGGGCGAGAGACGCAACGTCAAGTATGCCGCAAGAATACAGGCGTTATACGACGTGGATTGATAGCTACTGTGACAAACTGGAACAGACTACAGACTGCCGTCATCTATTCACCCCCTGATGGCCAGTCATCAGGAAGCCAACCCTTGTCAAACGGCTGTCAAACGGTTGTGACACCTGGCCTTCAATCTCTTACTACATAATAACTATTTCACTATGCGAATAATGTACGGAATGTGGCGGGTATTTCATCTATTCGCGACGCGGGGTCGGTGCAAGGTTGCGGAAAGCCGTAAGAGTTATGTCTTATTAGCGAGTGCACACATATGTCTGGAAAGCAGCACAGGCAGTGTAGCACATGATAAATATTGAATATCGAATATAAGATACAATGTCGTTGTAAATTAATATGAGGACTCCATCAGATTTTTGTCACCGTAATAGTCCGTCGCTAACTGAAAGCCACTGCACGGGCTCCGCGCAAGTGGCGTCAGGGTTCACAGCTCGCAGCACAACCAGAACGCACAATACACAACTGCATAAAGTCGTAATGCAAGAAATAAAATACTATCGATTCATCAACAGTTGTTTGTCGGCTCAATAGATCTTCTTTGGTATCCACAGCCGGCGGGGCGTGTCAAGGCACAACTCATGCAGTCCCGCAACATACGGGTCTACACCGTAACTTTGATAACGACTAATAAGAAACCCGCCGCCATCAGCACCTCACAAGTTCCTTCGAGCTTTCAGGTTGTTTGGTCTGGTGGTCTAGTGTAAGTTCCTTATAAACGCTTCCCTCGAATCGGCATTCCACGCCTCACGGCGGAGAATGGTCCTGTTCGCTTCTGAAGCCATCACGAGAACAACGGCTAACATCAATTCCTTCAGGGTATGATTCTCGCTTAGGGCCCACCCTGAGTGTACAGCTTGCGAGAGGTCCCGGGTTCAATCCCCGGCCAGACCCTTTCTTTTTTCAGATTTGAAGCTTTGGGGGATGTAGAAGGTGAGTTTGGATGCAGGAGGCTGCTGATTTTTTTTCACCTGGCGCTGTGGGGATGTGGAGGATTGTGTAAGCCACGAAACTTTGATCTCGCAGTTGACGAACGACGGAACTGGACTGATTGGTTTAATAAATCGATAAGCGAATTTGGAATAAGTTTTTTTTTTCTGGTAGGTGTTAAAGGTGTGAAAGTGGCGGCTAAAATCGGTTCTTGGGTGGCAGCACATGTACAAGTCGTGGTCATTCGGCGAGCCATCTACGTCAAGCTGTGATTCTGTCTTTTTTTGATCGATGCAGGAAACCCTAATTCCTCAGATTCAGTATAAACAATTTGATTTTGCGATTGATTGGTAATGATCACTGAAGAGTGGCGCTCGACAGAGAGTTTGTAACTTGACAAGCTTCCTGGATTGGGTTGTGAGGCGGCATACACTTGGACTCGACCTGTAAAGTTATTTTGATACCACGAACCTTGATCTTCGAGATACAGTCGAATGGACAGGAAAAAAAGTATATAAACTCCTCGGTCTCCCCCGTCTTCTTCGTTCCTCTTATAGTCCTTTCCATTACTCTCGTACACAAGCAAAACCATCTCAAGATTTACTCGTCTACTCACAACCAAAACCCACACAGTCGCTACTTATCACTGCCTACCACAGGTCTCTGTTGAGATCAACGCTGTTCTCAGATACAATCCCAATCAATATGAAGACCTCTGTCGTTCTTGCCGCTGTTGCGGCTGTCGTCAGCGCTCAGCAAACAACCACCACCGACGTTGCCGACGTCGTCCACACCACACCTACAATGACCGGCTCTCCCTCCCGCGTCCCCTCCACCTTTCTCATATTGACTCGCCGGCAACTCAGCACCTCTGGCGGAAACGGCAGCGTCACCGTCGACTTGCCCTCCACCTTTGAGCAGTCTGAGCTCAACACCCCTCGCCCACGCTCGGAGCCCACCGTTGACGAGAGCGTCCCGTTCCCCTCGACATTTCAGCAGTTTGAGCCCAAGGGCCACCGTCGCCCTAAGCCAACATCCACGAGCTCCTGGAGCTCGCGCTGCACATTCCGTCCCGAGGATGTGCCCACCGAATTCGAGCAGTTCCCCGGCACGCACCGCGGGCCGAAGCTGCCCCCCCAGGTGCCGGATCCCAACTGCGCGCACCCGCCGCACATGGTAAATCCGCCGCCATCGATTCCGGATCCTGAGCGTGCGCATCCACCTCATATCACCATCACGCCTACTGCCGTCGCGGAGGCTCCCGAGCAGTCGAGAGGTGCGTCAACGCAGACGGCATCGGGTGGAGACATGTCCATGGTAGCAGAATCGGAGAGTTAAATGGACATGGAGCCTTGAAATGGAAATGGAATTTCTTTGGACGATGGCTAGGAACGGGATCGATATCTTGATGAAGTTTCAGGCCAACTGGAGGTGATAACCTAAGTTAGTCTTGCACGCCTTGTCACCACTACTACTACTATTACGGCGATCATGTTTGACATTAGGTTGCTTTTTTTAATCAAATGATTATTGCCCCAAAAGGAACAATTCCACCTGCTTTTTGATGATATTCAACAACCGTAAATAGTTGTCACATTTTGTTATGCCTCACGCTCAACTTATTCGCATCAGCGACTGCAAGTAGTTGTCCAGTTTTTATACGGCAATTCGTCAATGGCACAGTTCTCTTCAGCGGTCATGCGGGGCTCCATACTTTAATGCTATGACCTGGCAAGTTTGAAGTTTTTTTCTCGGGAGGGTGAATCCATCAATTGGTACAGGCATCTTGTCTTCCCTTTGTGCCACTCGGCTTGCCCTTTTATTACATACGCCCTTCTCACCCTTGTGCATCACTGCTCTTTGGAAACACGATGCACGGTTCATTCGTCTTATTTAAGTTGCCGATTGTTCTGTGACTCCTTATCTTTCGCCATAGTACTTCATCTTTATCTATCCAGAACCAACCACACACCCGCACCGCAACAGTTGGGCACCGTCTTTCATGCGTGGCTGGTGCACTGTTGCCCAACGACTAGCATCGCCTCCACGCCGCTGCACAGCCACACTTGACGCACCTGTTTAGCCCAAAGCTTCAAGTCCAACGACATACCTCATCTCCAACCGCCATACCCAACCATGTCCGGCCCCCCGATGCAGCTGGAAGATTGTGAGCAACCTCGGTCGCGACCCTTGCTTTCTTCGGTTTGTCTAACGATTTCTCCTCTTTAGGGCTCGATGACCTCTGTGTGAGGTTCATCATCAATCTTCCGCAAGAAGACCTGTCGTCGGTCGAGCGAATATGTTTCCAAGTCGAAGAAGCCCAATGGTTCTACGAGGACTTTATTCGACCCCTCGATCCCTCCCTCCCGTCCATGACACTGCGCACCTTTTGCCTACGCATATTCCAACACTGCCCGCTGCTGGCGTCCTTTTCCGTCGAGAACCACCTCGCCGCGTTTGAGGTCTTTCTCCAGTACAAGACGCGCATCCCCGTCCGCGGCGCCATCCTGCTCAACCATGACATGGACTCAGTTGTGCTCGTCAAAGGATGGAAAAAAGGTGCCAACTGGAGTTTTCCCCGCGGCAAGATCAACAAAGATGAGGACGATCTCGACTGCGCCGTCCGCGAGGTGTACGAGGAAACCGGCATGGACTTGCGCGCCCACGGCCTGGTGCCGACCACCGGCAAGCCCAAATACATTGAAATCTCCATGCGCGAGCAGCAGCTGCGGCTGTACGTCTTCCGCGACGTTCCGATGGACTACAACTTCCAGCCGCAGACACGCAAAGAAATCAGCAAAATTCAGTGGTACAAGCTGTCCGAGCTGCCGACGTTTCGGAAAAAAAATGCGCAGAACCAAAACGAGCCCGCCGTCGGCGCCAACAAGTTTTACATGGTCGCGCCGTTCCTGGTGCCGCTCAAGAAATGGGTCACCGCGCAGAAGCGACAAGAGGAGAAGCGCACGGCCAACGTGCAGTATCCTTCCGCCCAGGCACAGCTCTCCATTGACGAAGGGCACACCGAGGAGGAGACGTACACGACGGACCAGGGCGCGAGCTACCTGCAGCAGCCCACCTCCGTCGCTAGCCTAGACGGGGCCACCAAGGAGCTGCACCGTTTGCTCAAGATGCAGCCGCCAACGCAAGGTCTGCAGCCGGCCGTGGGCCTGGAAGACAAAGGCAGCGCCCTCCTGTCGATTCTGCAGTCCAACGAGCCCTCCGACCCTTCGGAACCTCTGCAGCAAGCCGTGCAGACACCCCACACACCGCAAGACCACACAATCATCAACCCGACCCAACCGCAGAATCCCCACCACCACAACAAGCAGCACCACTCAATGCCGGCATTCATCACCCTGCATCAGCAGCAGCCACCGCCATTTCCCCTCCCCCATGCCGCCGGCCACGTACCGCCGCAGCCTTATCAGCAGCAGCAGCAGTACCCAGGCCGGTCTGTACCGCACGGTCACGCCGGCGGCGCGCACCACCAACCTCAAAAGTCGATCCCTCTCGTACACCCGCAGCCGCTGCCGCCCCAAGTCCAACGTGCCATGTTCAATAACAGCGCATTTCAGGAGGCCGCAGCAAAGGGCACCACTGGCATGCCTCACTCTCCCTATCACCAGTGGCAGCAGCCCAGCGCGGCCCAAAACAACGCCCCTATTCCTCCGCAGCAGCAAACAGTACCGCCGATGCAGCTCACTGGTCAGTCCATGGCTCTTCTCAACGCATTTAAGAGAGAGCCTTCAGGATCTCAGCAGCAGCAACTACCTCAGCAGCCACCTCAGCAGCCACCTCAGCAGCTACCTCAGCAGTCTCTTCGGCAGCCTCAGCAGCCTCCTGCGCAGCTTCCGATGCAGCGTCACATACAGCAGCAGCAGCAGCACGTGCAAGTAGTTGAAACGGTCAGCATGACTACCGTTGGTCCTGCCGGTCAGAATCTCCCGCCGCCGCCGCCATACACGCAGTACCCGGCCCAGCAACCACCGATGCAGCAGCCTCCTCCTATCCAGGCGGCCATCATTACTCAAGCCGTGCCGCCCCCGAACGTGTTCCACCCTCGCATGGCACCGCCACAGCAGCAGCAGCAACAGCAGCAGCTCAGCATGAGAATCCCGCCTCCCGCCGCCGATCCGCATCGCAACGCCCTGCTCGGCATGTTCAAAAAGGCCGGCCCGCAGTCCCCCGTCGCATCGTCCGCACAGCAGCAGCAGCAGCAGCCGTCCTCGCCGTTGGGCTTCATTCCTGAGCTCTCGTCACCCGCGCAGCGCAAGCCCTCGTCCGACACGACGGCGGCGCCCGTCGAGATCGGCATTGGCAACCTCTCTATCCAGCCACCACCACCACCAGCGGCCGGTAATAGCGGCGGCAGCAGCAGTCACGCCCAGTTCCCATCGCAGCCGAGCCCGACCCAGCATCAGCAACGCTCCAGCAATCCCGCTACCGGCGGCGCTCCGCACGGCCGCGTGACCTCACCGTACGGCCCCTACGGCGCGCAGAATCACCAGCCGCAGCAGCCGTCCCCCCTCGCGCAGCCATCTGCTCCTGCTGGTCCCGGCCCCGGCGCCGAACAGAAGCGCCAGCTTCTGTCCCTTTTTGGCGGTAACAGCAGCGGTGTTGGTGGTGGCACCAAGCCCGTAGTGCCGCCGCAGATGCAGGCTCGCTCGCCCCTTGGCGGCGCCATCCACGAGATGGGTAACGGGAGCCGCGAGCCCCGCGACTTATCCCGCTCGCGCGTTGCATCGCTGGCTTCGAGTGGTGTACTTGGCGAGGCTAGCTCGAGCAGCGTCTCGCGCCGCGGCAGCCAGACTCCCATCTCCCCAGCCGACGAGAGCTTTTTGCTCGGCTATCTGCAGTCCGTCACCAATAATGCGTCGCGGTAGTGTCTTGTGGGAGTTTCTTCTATTTTGTTTTTTGTTTTTCTGCTTTTATTTCCTCTGGTCGCGAATTCATCGGTTCCGTATGATGGTTGTTTTGTTCTTTCTCACCTGCGCATGGACTGGAGAGCTCGGGTGTTTTTGTTATTCTGCAAGCAGCTTGACCAATTGTTAATCAGGGATAGCGCAAGGACTTTTGGCATTTGTACGGCTTTTGATCATGATTCTCTCGACCTTTGCGTCGTCGTCTTTACTGCATGAGCAAGCGTGAAATGTGACTAACGTCCAGGTTCTTTAGTGGTTGCATTAGTCGAATGGAATGGGCAGAAGCAAGATTAGATACCATGGGAGGAAGCAAACGAAGGCGCAGAATTTTTTATCAGCTATTATTAACTCAACATTGGTTTCTAATAGCTAGCGACATACCCTATCAGCACAACATTGATACACGATCTATTTCAATAAATGTAATGTGCGCTATAGTCAGCAACCGCGCAGCTCTCGTAGTCAGTTCGTTCTGCACAATGTTGCAATTACATGTCCTTTTCTCCGCCAATTTCTAGCAATGAAAACCGGTTCAAGTTGGTTTTAGCCCGGCTCATAGGGGCACGCGCGCCTGTCTTGGGTCGCAATTGGGAAAGAGACTGCATACATTCATCTGGAGCCCACTCGATGCGTGATCCTCTATACGGACTACAGATTGTTGTTAGGGTCAGACCGCGGCGAGGAACGGAATACATACTAGCGACTCATCATGCAGGTGCGTGCAAAGCTCGCGGCGGTAATGGAGTTTATACCAATGTAGCAGTCCAGCCCAGAGAGCTCGATGCTGACGACAGCAAGATTGTGAATATGCTCGAGATCGGCACGAATAGAGTCGGCCGTGATCCGACGATCGTAATGTCGTATCACGAGATTTCGAGACGCTCCACCACGCAGCTGCTGAGAAACATAAGGTGCAAGAATGAACTGGCGTAGGGCCCATGTAACCTTAATCTAGACAGCGTAAGCTAAAGTATCGAGCGGCAAGCGAAAGGACACGACATACGAGGGACCCTCGAATGTACACGCCAGTTTCTTGAGCATAGTTGTAGTATTTTCGTGCATGTTCACCATGAACAAACGATACAACGGCTCGCCTTTCCTTGAGGTTGAAGTATATATCTGCGACCGGTCCGCCACGAACAACAGCAACAACATCAGCGCGAGAGATATTAGGAGGCAAATCGCCAAGCTGCAATGTTCGTTTGGCGCTCTGCTCGTACGTATGCCGAGTGGCTACAACAGACGCCGAGTCGTCTGGGTTCAATGAACTCTGGTCGTGGGATATCGCAGAATCGGAGAAGATCTCAGATTCAGAATCACTCTCTGGAGCAAGACTTGTGTGTTTCGTGACAGCGTAGAGGGGACCGCCAGCCGAGTATGGACTGCCACGATAAGTTACGATGGTACTGGCGATTGAAGAGTCTGACTGTTCATCATCAGGGCTGCTGAAACTATCGAAAGCCTCGTTTTCGGAACTTTGCGAATCATGGCTCTTGCTAAGGATCTAATTATATTTTAGGATGCATCAAGCAGGCGACCGAGCTTCACTCTACCTCAATGGTGTCTGTGTCTACTCCTCCCCGGATCAAATGTTGGCAGAGATTTTCTGCAAACAGTCAGCTTAGAAAGCTTGACAGGTCTGCCCACCTCTTTTGCACTTGCCGTATTTCGACGCCACTGATCGAAGGCGATCATATTCATCGCGATCAATCCGGATCTGGGAGCGACGCAGAGGCGACGTCGGTGGTGACAGGGACATGTTTAGAGCGTGAAGCTAGAATGCAACTGGAAAAGGACAGAAACCCTGGTTCGACGCCCAAAGCAAACGCGAGCGGCAGAGGGCCTGCAAGGTGAATAGAGGTACCTCACGTGCCTGACAGCGATAAGGCAGGCGGCACGCAAGTGACTGCATACCGGCACCTAGATTTGGCGCGGCTTGGCGATAATGCAACATGCATAGTGAGTCAAAGATGGTTTGAACAAAGAAGTTGCGATGTTGAGGAATTAGATCCTTTTGCATCTGATGTTAGAGGCACTGGTGATGTTGCGTGGGTACTACGGCTACAGCCGAGTGTCTAATAATACCTAGTTAGGAAGACTGTGGACTGGAGACTGTACGGATCATTTATCCATGGAATTGTTAGTGCACCTAGAACACACTAGACAGCTACGCACTGTAATAAGCTACAAAAACTTGTAAGAACATGAGATTTATGAGGAATCAATACAGGATAAAGACATGGTTTTTCACTATGCTCTTAATAGCTGACAAATTGCTTTCATAGGTAGTTAAGAGGCATAGGTAGGTAATCCCCAGAACCACTCGGGTTTTCTGTAGCCTACCTACATGCTAGATCGTGTAAAGGTAAAGGTTCGTGTCTCTGTACGCTGTCAAGCTGTCAAGCCGTCACCACCTGGGTAGTTGCGTCTGACTGGCAGCAGTTGTATCCACTGTTGACAGCTGGCAGCAACTGATCGGCATTCCGAACTGGTATGCAACCTGTTTGGCACAAAGGCACAAAATTCCAGTCTTGAGGCCTGATACACCGGTCCTTATATGAGGCTATTCGCAAAAAACCTAGTTATTGTGTGTGATGTGCCGATGGAATTAAGACAAAGCTACGGACAGCACCGCATTTGCAATGCAAAAGCCATCGTTCACCTGCAGAAACAAAAACACGAGATCACGTGCTAGAGGCGGGGCGTATACGATGTCCAGGCACCCAAAGTGGGCGCAGGGTGTCGGGGAGACCACTAACAGGCTCTGTAAATAGCACCACGGGCGGTCTATTTTTTCCGATTGATGTAGTTGCCCCACCAGCAAATCGGCCACCTCCCACCTCCTTAGTAGACCCGTGGCAACTGGACGCTGGACCGCTCCGCCCCTTTCACTTGCAACATTCTACGAGGGTTTTTGCTGGGATCCTAGTTAGGTCGAGATCGTCCTTCTTTCCATTTTCCTACCTACATTTGCTTTCATGCCGCCGACTCTCGCTTCCGACCGCTCGTCCTGACACTCTGTCCCTGTTACGACCTTCGCTCCTGCTTTGAAACGCCGTCCTTCGATAGACTTTCGCTCGCTTTCCCGTTCTATCAGTACGCCACCAACGACCTCGTTGGCCGCCTCCACCGTTGAAACCAAGTTCGTCCGGTACTGGCCTGCTTGAAACACGCATTTTTCGTCCGTCTACGTATCGAACCGGTGTGCCCGCCCTGACTGCTTGCTCTCGCTTCTGAGTCCGCTCACTGTCACCCGCACGAACGCGAGCGCCTTGCGTCGTCTCTTCAACTTTTGTTATATCCCGCGCTCGCCATCGGCTCCTCCATCACCATGCGTCCTGCCGCGATGTTGATGCAGCTGGCTCTGACCGTCTCGTCAGTTGCCCCGGTGGTTTCTGCATGGCCCAACTGGCTTCCCGAGCGCGAGGCCCTCATTGTTCGCGCTGATAGCAGTGACTCTGACACCGGTAAGTCTGCCCTAGTGCATCATTCGAGCATCAAATTGCAGTGTTGCTAATACCAGCTTCAGCCACTCCCTCCCCATCAGCAACCGGATCTGCAACCGATGCCAAGGAGACAGGAAAGACGACGGGCAACCTTAACACGGCCTCGGCCACTGGATCCAAGACCGCGTCTGGTAGTGGTAGCAAGAGCAAGAGTTCATCGACGCCGACTCACACCACATTTGCCCAGGATGCGCCCGTGGGTGGCGTCAGCATGATTGTGCCGGCCAACACAGCTCTCGGCACCGCTTTGTACAGAATTAGCGACTACATCACCTTTAGCTGGAACTACACGTCCCTGCAAGGCACCCCTACGGCTGTCGATGTTCTTGCGAGTTGCTCTACTGCCCGTGCCACCTGGACCTTGACGGGCAACATGACTTTCGCGACTTCTGCCGAATTGGTCTGGGATACCAAGCCGCCGGCCAATGACCCGAAGCAGCCTCTCCTCACCGCGGAGTACTCACTCATCATCAAAGATTCCGATAGATCCCTTGATGATCGCCCCGAGCCCGGCTACTTGGGCGCCGATTCCGCCCTCGGCTTCGGCCTGTATGCCGGCAAGCCCTACCAGAACTTGAGCACGTGGACTTGCCCTGGCTGCCGTGCCAGCTCTGCCTCCCGGTCCATTGATGATCAGGCGCTCAAGTTTGCCGCCACCATGAGTGTTGCCACGGTCCTCGGCTTTACCTGGTTTGTTACCGGCCTGGGCATCAACTGATGAAGTGACAATTTTAACCAGACGACGAAGCGCCTTCACTTTTTCCTCTACATCTCACTTTTAATATCTTTGTTCTTTCCACCCACGACTTCTGGTTATAAATTGTCTTGGGCAGCGGGTTTTGTTTGCAGGCGTTTCTGTTTGAGCCTGGGCGAGTTTGTTGAGTGAATTTATTGGGTCTATTCGTCGTTGTGTATTTCTTGGGTATATTGATGAGTTGGGTCTTTGTTTGGCAGCCAAAATCTTTAAAGGAAGAAAGCATGTTGGGCAGGTTATATAACGGCGTCGTAGACAACAGATAGTCTAGTCTTAATGATTGTATAGTGGATCGACGCACCAACTTGATATAGTTGCTTTTTGGAGATTTGTTGATGTTAAATGCCACATCCGAAATGGAAACCCAGGGTATCTGATACCAATCCTTTCCGCCTGATCAATGAAACGAACCACTCGAAGCATACAAGTACATCATGACGCCACCAGCTTTTCGCTGCTAATATGATGGAAACTATCGATTTTCTTTGCTTTCTTTTTCTTTTCTTTTTTCATCCTGTTATCCTCCATTCATGCATGTGGATCCGGCAGCCAAAAGAGCAGATCCGTGTCCGCCGTCGCAAAGAAATTGAATCGCGGGTTAAACGCCACGACGGCCGCCTCGCGCTTGTCCGGGAGCGTCCACGTCGGCTCCAGAATCTTGTCTGGAGACGCCGAGGTTGACGCCTTGAGCGTGTCCCACGTTACCACATCCTGCCGGGAGCCGCTAATTACGAAGCGGCCGTCGGGCGCGAAGCAGCAGTCGCCGCTACTCTCGTACTCGCCAGCACCGGCACCGCTGCCGCCGCTCTCGCCAACGGCCAGCCTGCGCGTGCCGCCGCCCGGACGGCGCAGGTATGCCTTGAGCGTGCCCTCGAACGCGTCAAAGAGAAAGTGGCCGGCGCCGCGCGTGCCGAGCAGCAGGGACTTGCCGTCGTTGGAGAACTCGAGCGCGGTCCACCCGCGGACGACGTGCGCGGGGTCGACGGCGCGCGCCTGCTCGACAACGTCGACGGTGGCGAAGGGTGCGCGGTCGTAGTGGCGAGCGTCGTAGAGAAGCACGGTCCCGGAGGTCGGGCAGCCGACGGCGAAGACGGTGCCCGAGGGGTCGTAGGCGGCTAGGTAGGGCGCGCGTAGGAGCAGCTGACCTTGCCAGTGCTTGGTCTGCGTGTCCCACAGGCGCACTGTGTTGTCCTGCGAGCAGGATATGAAGTTGTCGCTGCCGGGGTGCACGACGAGGGAGGTGACGGGGGCCTCGTGGCCCTCAAAGTAGCGGATGAAGGAGTTGTCGTGCGTGGCGAGATAACGTATGGCGTCTGCGTCGAGCAGTCAGCGGATGTTTGGAGGAGGAGAGGGGTAAATGGTGCTAGTTTCGTACGTACTGTTCTGTTTGGTGCTGGCGTAGATGATGCTGGAGCTTGTGTGTGTGAATTTCGCGAGTTTGACGCCGTACTTCTTGCTGACAAGGCTCTTTTCGTGCCTCCCTTCCCGTACATTATATATTTGCAGTGTCTCGTCGCTGGCCGATGTCATGAGCAGCTCGCCGTCGTCGTTGTAGTCTATCGAGAGCACGTGCGGTGGTTGGCGGGGGTCTTTGATGTCTTCGCGACGGAGAAGCTGCAGCGCAGAGTCTGTCAGCAACCCCCATCTACAGGGCAGTGCCGTTTTGTAGGGTCTCCTCCGATGGCGAGCTTACCTTGGTCGGGCGAAACGACGACATGACGTCGCAGAGGTTGGAGACTGGCGCCGTCGACCGGGCAATGTTGAGCGACGAGCCGTTGCGCTCGGGGCGGTCGAGGTCCATTGGGGTGGACGACATGGCGGATGTGGAAGCGGTAAGGTGCGCCGGCAAGGGACCGTTCACAGATGATCTCGGCTTGCCCTGGACGGGATCAAGATTCTTGATGTTGAAGCTCTACGGCAGCGTGCGATGCGGTGCAACGAGGTGGAGCACCGCTATAAACGCGTCTCTGCAAACGCTCAGGTGTACTACCCTGTATAAGACCGTCGATCTTTCGAGCGCCATAACTCACGAGTCTCGAGTTATTTTTTTTACAATCCCCATTTTGGGACAGACGTTATGTTTGCCCTCATTACCGAGGCTACGTCTCGATACGGCGTCGGTGAAAGTCACACCATGGTCGTTGCGGGCAGTGCTGGGCTGCAGGCAAGATATTTGCACTTGTGACACATTTCAAATCAAAAGTCGGACTCACTCTGTATCGCTTGGATGTATTGTATGTTCGACCAAGCTCGATAAAAAAATCAGGTAAAGTTCATCCCCTTGTCGACGATGGGAGGTTGAGACACTACGCAGACTGGATGGCTTGCCAGACACGGCTGATACTTATGTTCAGCTACCGCGACGTTCTCAACAGCAGAAGCATGTGCATCTTGAGATGGAATCTCAAAATTCAGCTGTTTGCCTCATTGCCTGTCAATGACTGCGTCAGCTCCATCCCGCTCCGGCGGCGGCGCGATGCAGCTGTATCAATATGGCTAATAGTGCACTTCAAGCCCAACCAGCTTTTCGCTGATGAGACAGGGTGGGGGCTGTATTTATTTTTGAAACTTTTAATTAGTTATTTAAAGCAGCTTGCCAGCCAACCAGTCGGCTTATCAGAACCTGGTTGCAGCGGTTGAATCGCGCACCTGCAGGACCTTGTCCAGCAAAGCCCTGCAACCCACCCAGCCCACCAACTGCGGCCGACGTCGGCACAGCCTGCAGGGCCAACATGCGTGTGTGCCCCAAAACGGGATGGCCATCGAAATCTCACGGCCCGACAGCTGCATATTTGCTTGCTACATCATATCCATTACAAAGACGACGACACCGCTCGACCCCAACTTTTTCAATGTACGTGACCAAACCCCCCTGACTCTGCTGGAGAAAGAAAGATCATGGTCCCTGTCTTGAATTCTGGCGCCCAATGCGACTGAAATGGAAGAGCGAACCGTGGGAAGCCGACCTTTGCTTGACTAGTACCACAAGCTAACAAACGGCGCAGCCTCAACAACTCGGCTACCTACGCGCGATTTCCATCATCACCCCTTCTTCTCGACAATTCAATAGTTGCAGTATCTCGTTGCATTTCCAATTCTTCGATTTTCCGTGGCCATGTCCACCACAGCCGGGTAAGTCTGCCCCGCCGTTTGCGGGAGCCAAAAGCGCACCGCTACTTTCTCGCACCCCGACCCGAAAACAGCCACGAACCAGGACACAACGAGAGAGCGTCCCAGACAGAATATATTTACTAACCAGACCGCTTGTGCAGCGCTTTCATCGCCGGCGGCATAGCGGCCTGCGGCGCCGTGACGGCCACGCACCCGTTTGAGACGGTCAAGATCCGGATGCAGTTGCAGGGCGAGCTGCAGACCAAGGGCCGGCAGCCGCACCACTACCGGGGGCCGCTGCACGGCGTCGGCGTTATCGTGCGCAACGAAGGCGTTGGTGGTCTCTACCGCGGTATTGGCTGCGCCTACGTGTACCAGATCCTGCTCAACGGCTGCCGCCTCGGCTTCTACGACCCCATGCGCCAGGCGCTCGCCTCGCTGTTCCTGCGCGACGGCAACGCCCAGAACCTCGGCGTCAATATGTTTTGCGGTGCCGCGTCGGGCGTCATCGGCGCCGCCGCCGGCTCGCCCTTCTTCCTCGTCAAGACGCGTCTGCAGAGCTTCTCGCCGTTTCTACCCGTCGGTACCCAGCACACGTACAAGAACGCGTTCGACGGCATGGCGCAAATTTATCGCGCCGAGGGCCTACGCGGCCTGTACAGGGGTGTCGGCGCGGCCATGATCCGCACGGGCTTTGGCAGCTCCGTCCAGCTGCCGACGTACTTCTTCGCCAAGAGGCGGCTGATGCGGCACGCCGGCATGGAGGAGGGCCCGGCGCTGCATCTGGCGAGCAGCGCCGTCAGCGGATTTGTCGTGTGCTGCTTCATGCATCCTCCTGGTACGTGGGACAGATGGATATGCCGAGGCGATGAAGAAGAAGACGTAGCTAACTTTGCTCGTGTGAAACAGACACCATCATGTCGCGCCTGTACAACCAAAACGGCAACCTGTACAAGGGCGTCCTCGACTGCCTGGGCAAGACGATCCGCACCGAGGGCGTTTTTGCCATATACAAGGGCTTCCTGCCGCACCTGGCCCGTATCCTGCCGCACACGATCCTGACGCTGTCCCTGGCCGAGCAGACCAACAAGCTGATGCGCAAGGTCGAGGGCCGCATCCTGCCCATGCTGGAAAAGGACACGAACCGCTTATAATGTTTTTAAAGCGTATTCCTGACATTTGTTTTTTCCTTTTGTGATATACATGTACATGCAATTTCTTCCTTTAGATGGATGAATTTTTTTTTGGTTTGCAGATAGAATATCGGATATCCTGGGACGGATTGAATGCTTAGAGGAATTCCCAGAGCGAGTTGGATATTCCTGGAGTTTAAAAAGAAGACAAAAAGTTTCAAAGAAGAGATACTTTGGTTGTCGAGTGCTAGATGCCGATTTGACTATCTCATCATGCCTGTTGAAATGCGCCGCCCTAAGTCTATTCTCATGGTCTCGTAAGATTATCTCAAGTACTATTTGTGATGTCGACTCAGCCACTGACGGACCGTCTACAACCATAACACAGTTTACCCTTGAGATTTGCGGCCGCCGAGTCACCAGAGTCTCGTCCCAAGTCCCCCGCCCAGCGGTCATCGCCCGACTCGTCAAGCGTCATGCCGCAGAGCCGGCAAAACGCGCCACCCGCCGCGCGGTCGAGCTTGTCCGCCGTGCGCACCACATTCGCCACGATACCTGCATACGGGCCCTCGACGCCGTCAAAGTACCGCTGCATCACCTCTTCAATGCTCACGTCCCGGTGTGAGACGACCTGGCTCCCGCAGCTCGTCAGCCCGTCCACCAGGCCCTCCTCCTTCATCTCGACCAGCGCCGGAATCAAATCCACGTAGCCGACGAGCTCGTTCTTGAGCACCTCGCGCAGAGGATAGTACACGGGAAACGAGGAACGTGATGTCTCGTTGCCGGCGGCGTCGTACGCGCAGACAGTCTGCAGGCCGTCGCCGACTTGTCCAGGGACGGAGAAGCCGCGCCCATTGGCGACCTCGGCGAGGGTGAGCGCCGCGAGCGCCGACGTGCTGTGGCCGAGCAGCACGACGTCGTAGCCGCGTGTGCGAGCGGCGTCGATGAGGATGTGGCGGACAAGCAGCCGCAGGACGTCGGCGCGCGAGGTGACGGATGGCAGGGCGTCAAACACGCGGCGCAGCCTGTCAGCGTCGCTAGCCCCTGCGTCCCCGTCCTTAACTCTTGCTGATGCTTGATCAGCAGGCATCAGAGTCGACCAGTCGACCGTTTTAAGCGCCACGGCTCTGGAGAGATGCACGCAGTCAAACGAGACGTGCGGGTACTTTTGGCGGTACCGAGCCAGCAGGCGCCGCGCGGGTGTGGTGTCATCGTCGATGGTGGCGGTCAGGTCCGTGTCGACGTGAAGGATGAGCGGCTCAAACGCGCTCGAGGACTGCTTGGCGGCGTGGTGGCGGGCGCTGTCGTCGAGCATCTGGGCGAGGCAGGTCGAGGAGACGCCAAAGGAGAGACCGGCGAGGTAGCGGCGCGGGGCGAGGTCGGCCGACGCGCGAATGTCCTTGTGCATGGTGCCGATGCTCCTGCGGAACTTGCCGACGACGTGCTCGACGTAGCAGTCGCTGCGTGAAGCATTGGGTCAGCGTATTGGTTTTGGGGGAGGGCCTGAGATGTACATGGGGTGGTGGTGGGTAGTGATGGAGGGGCAGCGTACCGGCATGTGGCGAGATTTCGCAGCTTGTAGGGGGCATTCTCGACCTTGCACCGCTTGCAGGGCTGGCCGGGCGGAGCAGCAGCCATTATGCAGTGTGAGTCTGGATGTAAACCATGAGAAGACTGCGTCTCTTGTGAAAGGAGATGGCCGGTGCCGCAGTGAATGAGTTTTCACGAGGTTGAAGAGTGCTGAAGGAAAAATTTAGCCCACTTTGCCCCTCCATGCGGGCTGTCCAGATCGGGCAATCAATCATGTATTGTAGATTAATTGATGATTACATGTTCTTGCAGCAGCCAAGTCGACAAGGTCTCGTGAAAATCATTGAACCGTAGTCTTGCACTAGCTTTAAAAGAACAACAAAGGGCTCTTTGCATCCGCAAGGCAAGACTGGAGGTTCGGCTTGTTGGTCCATCCATCTATCTGTCAGCCTGCGGGCGAGGCAGATGACAGCCTCGGCGCCACAGTGTACCTGCGCGTGGTGGTGGCAAAGCTGCCGTAATTGATGGCGCCGGAGGTCATGCAGTTTCCATTTTTCTGTTTTCCCGATTGATCTTGTACCTGCTTGCCTAAATCTTCTTTATTGACCAAGAACTGGTGATTGTTCTATTTCTATTCTGCACAGCCCGGCTGCGGCCATGTTAGCCCGGTTTCAGAGGGGAGAGTGTACCTGTGACAAGGGCGGTATGCTGCACGGCAATCCATGCAACCGGCTTGGTCTGGCAAAACCTAAAACACGGGACGACGCAGGGAGGGACGAGGCTCAGATGCTGCTGGGCAGGCAGCTGGATTTTTGCAACATGGAAGAACTGTTGTGAAGCCCGAGTGGATGGAACAAAGTGAATTAATCTTTGGTAGGTAAAACGGTGATGGGCTCTTTGGGGCACTAGCAGTAAAGATTCGTACTCGCATAGCAGCCTGGTAAGCATGACGTCAAAGGCTGGGTCACCTTGTTAGTGGTCTGGCCATCTGGTCTGGCCATCTGGTCAGCCGCCGGCCGCCTTTGTCAAAGCGCCGGTAACTACCAGGATTCCAGGCAAAAGACTAGACTAAATAGTTAGTCGGCTGGACGCGATTCTTTCAATTGTTTAGGTATTTAGTGGCTGTCCTGCCCACCGACCAACTTTGATAATACTGGTAGTTACTGCAGAAACCCACCGACCGTTGCCGACCACTCAATACTCAATTCTTCCCATTCCTCAACGCCCCCCCGACCACACGCGATCCCTTGACTGAAACAGACCATTTCCCAAACCATCAAGCGCCACCGACCCTGTAAAGAATTGAGAAATACCGCTTCCGTCCAATTCTGCGCGTTCATATCTATTTTTGGCCAACGGCTATCCGTGGACCGTCACCTTTGCCTCGCCATCGCACATTATGCAAACTCATCGTGCATAAGACGCCCCATCGCTCACAAGGTTCAAGCCCCGATTCTTGGAATTGCCAGGGGTTTTATCACAAGCTATTATTGGTACGATACTCTTTTATTAGCGGGTGCTCGTCACAATAATCTTTGCATCAATTATACCCCACGCAATCTCGCTTCGCTTCCACTCTTGTATTATCCCTTATTATTGCTGAGCTAGGCGCATCAATCAAGCTAATCACCATTTAAGCAACACTCGACTGACCGTCCCTCGAAGTCCGGACGGCAAAGGAAAAACAAAAGGACAAGATTCAATCGCAAAACAACAGAGAGACGGATTTGCCTCGAACCATCTTCCCCGCGCCGAGCACGAGTTACAATCCTCTCTTGTCCTGCAGGGTCTTTGTTTGAACCCTCGTTGACCGCATCTCTCCCATCTCTCCTCGACTTTTGTCGCAACCACCCGTTCTTCTTCTTCAGTTCAATTTATATCTAGCCATCAATCATCTCGAATCACGGAGTACAGAAAGATAATTTGAACTACTAGACCACTGCCAACTTCTAGTCAGTCGACAAATACCTCACCTCCAGAGCTTGCGCCAGCAGCCGCCCACGCCGCCACTTGGGCCTATGGCGCTCGCAGATCCTATCGATTTACGTCGACGATCCTGCCCCTGACACTTCTATTTCCCTTTTCCTTCACAGCGACTACTCTGTCTGTCAACAATCAAACTTTTGCACCATCTTTTTCTTTCTTTCCTTTATCGTTTCTTTCAGACCCTTGCCCCCTTCTCGGTACGACTCGATATCAACAATCGAGGCGCTGGTCTGCTTCCCCGTGCGACCCCGATTTTCCGCCTCGTCTTCGTATTCAGCAGCCTGGTCCTTTGGCATCAACGCACCATCCGCCAAGCGATTTTCGCCAACTCTTCTTCTTCTTCTTATCCCATCTTTGAACCCACAGCCACCATGACAGAGGTTGCGGCCCTGGCTGTGCCGCAGCAGCTGTCCTTTGCACCTGACGCGATGACCCCCCGACCACGGCAGAATAGCCGCCTAAACCTCGACACCTCCCTCGTCAACAGCAACGGCTGCTTCGAGTTTGACCGCGTCATCAAATCCGGCTACGTCGAGAAGCGCACCAAGACAAAAGTACGCCCACCCCATGATCGCACATCTTTGTACCATGTTTCCTTGCACCGCCTTTGCACCGCCCATGCTAATCCCCTTCCCTCTTCTGCAGCAATGGAGGCCCGTTTATCTCGTCCTGCGCCCCGACTACCTGTCGATATACAAGAACGAAAAGGAGACCAAGCTGCGCTACCAAATACATCTCGCCGACCTCACCGCCGTCACCTTTCTCAAGGATCCGAAGCAAAAGCGCCACAACGTTTTTGGCCTCTTCTCGCCGTCAAAAAACTTTCACCTGCAGGCGCGCTCGGCGCAGGACGCACGCGAGTGGGTGGATCTGATTCGCAGCGACGCCCGCCTCGAGGAAGCCGAGGAGGAGATGCTACTCGCTAGCCCTTCCGCCCGTGGCCTCTCCCCGGCCGCCGCGCAGCTCAATGGCATGACCAACATTGACGAGCAGCTGCACAGCCTGCTGCCCGAGCGCCTCCTCTCGAGCTCCCCCGAGACGCTGAACCCGCCCGCACCGGGCTTCCTGGGCCACCGCGACGCCTCCCTCGTCGACTCGTCGGGTGGCGAGATCGCCTCGGGTCACTCGGATCTCTCTGACACGGACTTTCAGCGCATCCGCGGCGGCTCCATGGAGAGCCAGCTGTTCCCCGGTCACATCGAGGTCGGCTCGCTGCCGTACGCCGGCCTGCCCTACCGCCCGACGGCCCAACGCTCTGCCAGTCAGGTCAGTATCGCCAACCAAGAGCAGGAGCTGGACCGCGTTGTCTGGCAGGGCTGGCTCTGGCAGCTCAAGAGTAAAGGCGGCGTCCGGCAGTGGAAGGACGTCTGGGCCGTGCTGCGCCGCCGCAACCTCATCCTGTACAAGGACGAATCCGAGTACCTCGCCCAGTGGATCGTCCAGCTCTCCGTCGTTGTCGACGTTGTCGACATTGATCCTATCAACAAGAGCAAGGAAAACTGCCTGCAAATCATTACTGAGGAGAAGAGCTTCAAATTTTGCGCGCGCGACGAAGAGGCCCTCGTGCAGTTCATCGGCGCTTTCAAGAGCCTGATTGCGAAGCGCAAAGCACTCGAGTCGAGACTGGCGGCGTCGTATTCCTAACAATGGCCTCTGTCCTCTGACACAGTGTTCGTCTGCCCTCACTTATCCATCTATCCCTTCACAGCAGCCTCCTCGACGGCATGGCACTCGTTGAAACACGTTTCTGTTTATTACCCTTGATTTGCCTTTTCTAACGACTTTACGACTACAAGCGGGCAGCGACCATTCTCTCTTTTTCTCTTTTCGCGGCCTTTGTTTTCTTGCTTCGTTCGGCAGCCGCTTGCGGCGCGTCAATGCCATTACGGAAGCAGATTATGCTTCCACAACTGTTGTGCTATTGTTCTTTCTTTGGCGAATGGCCAGGAGAAGTTCCAAGAATTGGATGGTTTTTTTTTTTCTTTTTTCGCTCCATGCTTTTGTTACAATGTTTATTATCCATGGCTGGAGTTGTGTACAAAGATTCTGGTATTTCTTTAGCTCACCGTGTAATTTTATATACGTCCATAAGTTGGCTGATGCCTGTGTGAATGTCGTACTGACGTGTAGCCACAAGCCATCCTGTAGGTCGTTGCCAGGACGCATGTGACCTTGTTGTACATATGGAAACTATAGGCGTACAAAAGACGTGAATGCCCCCCTTGTCAGGTTTATGCGCTCTCTGGTGCAGAAAAGACTGCTATCCGGCAGACTGGTGGGTGGGCAAGGCTAGACACTGCGGGACTTGAACTCTTTTGTAGATTTGGGATTGTCTCAAATTTAAATTTGTGAGACTGTTTGGATTTTTCGCAATGCGACGCTGACAATATGGTCCAATAGACGGCGAGGTTGCTCGCGCAGCTGACCACGGCGTCACTATCCTGTGGTTTTCTCTGCGAGTTCAACGTGATATTTGTCCTCGTCAAGCATAGACGAATCAAATTCGTAGGGCTGCGCATGTGGAAAGGAGCAAGTTTCAATTATTTAAACCCTCTTGATAGAATTTCAGTATACTCGACCTCGTGAGTCCATCATCCGTTCGCCTCTACATGCTCTCGTCGTCACCTCCGGTGTGAACTCAAGACAGCATTTGGTTTCCTCACCGAGGGAGCTTCTAGATGCATGCAATGCAGTATCTGAATGACACCAAACAGTAAAATGCGCCCCTTGCCACCTCTCCGCTGACGGACCATGGTCGTCGATTCAACGACCCGTATTCGGCAATCGGGCTCTGCAGGAGCTCGGCCCTCCTCTCCACAACGCCGAGATGGCTAACGTAGATCTCCTGCCTGGGCTTCCACAACCCATCTTTCTTTTCATGTCCGTGTGTTAACAGGGCCACAACTCTCTGAGGCAGTTTTCATCATGCGACAGAATTCCAAACCAGACGAGGTCTATGTAGTGTAGATCCGTTGATGAACAACAACCTCGTCACCTGGCCGCAGACTCGCTAGTTTTTATAGCCACCTGGACGGCGCCCCCCCCGCCCCCCTCCAACCAAGAAACTGACAGCCGGCGCGCGCCATCGCTGCATCTGCAACTAATCGTCTTGGCGGGCACGGCGGGGGTCTTGGCTAGATGTGACCCGAGCAGGGATTGCCTGCGCGATTGACGAAGCAAGACAACTCGGACTGATAAAAGGCCTTGTTGACCCTCGACTTCACCAGCCATGAATCTGTGATGTGCATCTCAAGACAAGCATAGCGTTAACCGAAACTTTCAAGCCGAGTACGCGGATTGCCTACCCCCCGATCTTGACCAAGTTCCGGGCTCTTCATCATGAAGCTGTCTGCCGCTCTCAGCCTCGCGCTGCCCGCGCTCGCCGCCGCCGCCGCCGTCGACAAGCCCGCCGTACCTCTGCACTCCTCGAGCCGCTGGATCCTCGACCGTGACAACCGGCGCGTCAAGCTGCGGTGCGTCAACTGGGCCGGCCACCTCGAGGCCAACCTGCCCGAGGGCCTGCACAAGCAGCCCGTCTCGCGCCTCGCCGACTGGATTGCCTCTGCGGGCTTCAACTGCGTGCGCCTCACCTACTCCATCGACATGGCGCTGAATCCGTCCCTGCCCGTGCGGCAGTCCTTTGTCGCCGCCGCCGCCGCGACCGGCGCCGACGCGGCCGGCCTCATGGCGCTGCATGACGCCGCCGTGAGCATGAACCCGTTTCTCGCCAACGCGACCGTCATTGATGCATTCGATGCCGTGCAGGCCGCGCTCTGGGACCGCGGCGTCGTGACGATTCTTGACAACCACCTCTCCCGCGCGTCGTGGTGCTGCGACCTCGACGACGGGAACGGCTGGTGGGCCGACGCTCCAGGATACCTCGCCGCCAACTCGCGCTACTTTGACCGCGACGAGTGGCTGCGCGGGCTCCGCGCCATGGCGGCCTGGGTGCGCGGCGACGGTAGCAGCAGCAGCAGCAGCAGCAGCAGGCCCGGCATCGTCGGCATGTCCCTGCGTAACGAGCTCCGCGCGCACGTCACGCAGCTGCCGGCCGCCGCGGGCGTCTGGCGGGAGAACATGCGCGTGGCGGCGGCGGCCGTGCATGCTACCAACCCGGACGTGCTTGTGATTGTCGGCGGCCTCAACGGCGGCACCGATTTGACGCCGCTGCGCGGCCAGACGCTGGATACGACGGCGTGGGCGGCCAAGAATGTGTGGGAGGCGCACGCGTACAGCTTTACGCTGACGACGCCCGACGTCGGCTCCTGCAGTGTGCGAAAAGCCAACTACGGGCTGCTGTTTGGCTTCGTGCTCGAGCAGGGCAAGGACAGCACCGGGCCGCTGTTCCTGTCCGAGTTTGGTGTCGGCATGACGGGCGGTGATGAGGATGGGCTGAATGACAAGGACAGCAGGTACCTGGCGTGTCTGCGTGAATACATGGAGGGTAACGACGCCGACTGGTCGCTCTGGGCGCTCCAAGGCACGTACTATGTCCGCGACGGCAAGGTCGATGCCGAGGAGACGTGGGGCGTCCTGGACAATGACTGGAAGGACTGGAGGAACCCCAAGTTCAAGGGCATGCTGGGAAAGATGCCGGAGATGACGCAGTTTCCGTGAGTGGTGGGAGTATGTGTGCGAGTATATATAACGTGTACATGAGCTTGCACATGAAGAACAGGATAAATTTGTGCCTATGCCTTATGATTCAAGTCAAAGAAGAAGCAAACATGGGACTTGAATGTATGTTTGACCAAGTTTCAGACTTTCGATTGATACAACTAAGCATTTGTTAAGTTTCAACAGTAAACACCAACTTGCAACAGTATACACTCCGCACCACTTGTGCCACTGCCCCTTCAAAGACGGAAAAAAAAAAGAAAAAAATTCAAACGAGCATTCCAGAATAATACAGATGCCGAAACCTTGCAACTCCAGATCTGTCCAAACAGAGAAGAAAAAAAAAGATGGAAAAGAAACCCCTGAGCACCTAGCTCAAATGCAGAATCCGAAAAAACAGTATGCGTCCCAACGCCGCGCAAAAATAAGGCAACAACGCACGCACTCACATCAAGACGTGCCGTCTCTGTTGTCAAGACCAAAGAAGGCAGCGTCAAAATCTTCATTGCTCATCAGCTCAAACGTGCCGTCGCGGTCATTCATCAGATCATCAAACGTGTCCTCACCCATGCCACCACCACCGCTGCCTCCACCTCCGCCACCAGTGCCGCCGAGGCTAAAGTCAAAGTCCATGCCGTCGGCCTGGCTAGCATCGTTTGTGAAGAATTCTTCAAAGTTGGACTCGTTGGCGTTGGCATTGTCCTTGACGGGCTCCGTCTTGATCGCCTCCGTCGCCGTCGCGGGCACTGCCGTGCCACCCATGTTGCTGCCACTGGCGTTGGCGGGCTGACCATTGGCGGGCATCATATTGTCGAGTGAAATCATGGAGTCGCCGGGTGGGAAAGATGACATGTCAAAAGCGCCAGGGCCAGTCGTGCTCTGGCCTTGTGAGGCGTCGGCGGGCGCAAGCGAGAACTGCATGTCGGTAAAGTTGGACTCGGCCATCATGGGTGCTTCGGGGGCTGCTGTGCCTTCCGTCTTGACAGCGTGGTTGGCTGGATTGGTGTTTGTAAAGTGTGCATTGTCTTCCGTCTTGACCGTATCGTCGCCATTCGTCATGTTGCCGGCGTCCATTACCGGGAAAGGCGCGAGTGCGGGTTTAGTGTGGGCTAGAATCGAGGGCGGAGGCGGGGAATCGGCGTCGATGGAGATGGGTTGCTTAGTTTGCGCTTCGATGGGAAGGGCGGGCTGCAATTGCTGCGGCTGTCCCGTCGACTGGTCGGCATGGAGCTGGTTCAGATCGCGCAGAATGACAGACTTGGCTTTCATCTAGGTGAGGGGCATTTAGTTTCGCAGCTCAGCAGGATCATGGCTGAGGCTGGGGATCAGGTATCATACAATATCGCTTTCTAGGTCATCGAGAGTCTTGTGAAAGGCGTCGATAGTGAGGGGCAGTTTCGATTGTGACATGCCTTGGGGCAGCGCGAGGTTTCCCTGGCTATCCCTCCTGGATGCGCGTAGAGCTTTGCCGGTTTGCACGAGCTAGAAACACGGGTCAGATTCTGTCAGGGGATTGTCTGATGATGCAGAATCCAATTTGGATTTTGGACGTACCACATCGTTGAGTAGCGTCTGTAGCGCATCGAGGGGATCTCGTGGCTTGGGCGCGGCCATGATGGCGGGCAGGAGTCGCAAATGGCGAGGCTGATTAGATATCGAGGGGGGTAATGATGGGAAGGGATGGAGCGCGTAACAGTTGAAGATTGATCTAGGCAGACATGAGAGGAAAAAGCAGGAGAATCGAGCGAGGAAGACAGAGGAGAGAAGAAAAAAGATTAGCGAAGAAGAGAAATAATCAAAGTTTAGTGGCGGTGGTTGCGCCCATGAGGAGCAAAGGAACAAGGTGCTAGTTAGGAAAGGACGCGGATTTTGGCTGGCTGGGCTTTGGCTGGCTACCTACTTTTGCTACCACACTTGGATGCCCAGCGCCGGGCCAGCAGGGCCAGCAGTCAAATCGGCAGGCTCCGCAGTCATGTTCCAGCGCATTACAGGGGGCTCGAGGACCGAGATCGCTTCACCATCAAAGAGAGGGCACTCACACCTGAAACCTGGAAACCCTCTGACAGCTTTTTAAGAGCTTGCATGTGGTGCAAACATGTCGTGTCACTCCATGCCTAATGTGGTATATTTTGTGTAATCTTGGTCACGGTGCTTACTGGTGCTTCAAGGACATCAACAGTATGCATAAACCACCAAAGCCGTTTACCGACACGGAGTCAGAAGGAATTGACAGGCTCTTGTCCAAACAACTCTGACATGTTCTTCATTGTCGAGTAAAAAAAAAAATACAATACCCGTGACCAGCGGCACCCTAAAAGTCACTCCAAGGTGGGCTGACAACTACCCCCTTCCAGAGAAGGAGGGAAAAAAAAAGAGCAAAGATGAAAGGGAAGCCCAACAAACCAACAACCAGCACTTTTCTTACTTGCAATGCCCGCAGTAGTCACACTCTTCGTCGCACGCCGTATAGTTGGGAGTGTCGTCGTCCAAACCGCGCCCGTCAGTCTGTTTTTTGTCAGTCTGTTTCTTGGCAGTCCTCTACTTGACAATCTCGCTCGATTCAAAGTCTTCTGTACCAGACCAAGCACACTTACTTCCTCTTCGCTGGATGGCTTGTCATGGCCGTCAGTGGCGTCGTGGCTGAGCCATGCCTTCCACCTACTCTCCGTCGCCTGGGAAAACGCCGGCTTCACATCGGCCGTCTGTTTTCTGAAGCAGAGGACATCATCGCCTTCCTTGCAGGTAATCTCCATTCTTCCATCTTGAAGATGACTAGAAATATCTAGAATTCGTCTCAGGAGCTTGGCAAAACATACGAGCACCTCTCTGTTGGTTTCTTCCCACTCTGCCATCTCTGCTCGAACGTCGCGGATCTGAATATCTCGAAAGGTACCACAGGTATGGTACGCGAGAATCAACGTTGAAATCTGCCGAACCCAGAGTCGCGGCAGCTCATCAGCGACGATAGCGTCTTCGTCATCTTTGCGCTTGATCGAGCGGGTCTTGAGGTCAAACACAGCGCCTTGCGGAACCAGACAGCCCGCCTCGGACATCTTCAAGGGGGATTTGGACGAGTGGGCGGCCGTTCCAGAGATGGAAAGCAGAGCGGCCAAGTCTTCAGGTGTATGGGGCTCTTGAATTCTTCTAGAAAGAGCCTCCTTCTCGACCCTTTGCCCAGCTTTGTCTGGGAGGTAACCGTCTCCTTCGAACCGCACAAGGCACCCCAAACCGCCAAACTGGAATTGAACAACGCGCTGATGTGAAGACGAACCGCGTGAACAAGCATCCCATGTAGTGTAGCTTTCAGGAAAGGTATGGCCATAGCCGCGAATGTTGGAAAATGTCTCTAAAGGCGACTTTTCACGGCGAATCAAATGCACTGTCTTGCCCAACCTCTCGACCAAGATGCGAAAGGTCCCCTGTGCGCCGCGCACGAACCTGAGGAGTTCTCCGAGAGTACTATTGCAGCCAAAAATGTCGATATTTCTCACTGTCATAGCATCGTTAACGGATGGGTTCATCTTCATGATAGCCTCGACCGTGGGCTCTAATGGATTGTCGGGGTAATGCGCCGCATTTCGATCTCGGTAATAGATGCCGGCATCCTGCTTGAGCGGTCGGGGTCTGTCAAGAGGCGTCCATTTGGGAGGCATGCCTACAACTCTGGTTACTCTTGAGTTGTGACTTGGAGATGCTCTCTTTACATACCTGGCACAATGATGTGCGGTTCCCTTCCTTCCAGCCAGTTGAAGCACGCCACTGTCTGAGTCTCAGTAATTTTAGGATGCTCTCCATCGCTTTTCGTGCTAGAGATTTCGCTTCTTGGAATTTCTGTAAACACTGGCCCAAATGGAGCATCTGGTGTCTCTTCGGGAGTCACGACACGAGATGCTGCCTTGCGGGGCGGCTGCCAATGCTTGGATTGCTGCCTGAATGGCATACTGACGATGACTTGATCCAGAACCAGCAAAGATAGTTTCACTGCCTTTGCAGGAGATATGACAAGTAAGTCTGGATTGGAAGAGCGAGACACTATCAATGTTGGCTGGGTAACCAAACAGGCACGGGTCGTTCCCCAACGGGCTATGGGTACGTTTGTATGTCTATCTATGATTCTGTTTGCATGTCTGTCTATGATCCTGTTTGCATGTACAACAGCTTTGAAAGCCAGTAGAACCGCCTTACAGGGCTACTTATCTGGCAAGATGATTCCGGCGCTTCTCGATGAAGGGTTTATCGCAAACACCCTTAACCTACGCGGTATGCAAAGGACATAAGAGTCATGCGTTGACGCGCACCTGAAGCTTCTCATTCACCATAGATTGGGTAGTGAAAGAAGCCTTGTTTTGAAAAGAAATGCAAACGAACAGCTGTGTGGCGGTGTCTACCTTTGCGGTGACTGAGGCCTGTTGCGTTTGCGAACAAGATCGGAAGGAGCACTAGAAGTTTCATTATTGCGCACGACATGTTCAGAAATCTAGTCACCCCAAAGCCAACTCCAAAGCCACAAAAATCTCCCCAAGAGAAATTGCAAGAATCTTCGCTCTCCCATTCTATACGGCGACGGCAATGCAAGGCGACGGCAATCGGGCTGCCCGCCTCAAAAAAGCGTTCAGAGACTTTCTCAACGGAACTCGATCGGTTGCCGCAACTCGCGATGCTGAGTTATTCCTCGAGGCTTTCAGAGCTCAGCATTCATCATCAGTATGCCTTGAACTCGTTTTAGGAAGCTCTTCAGGACTTGCTGCTGTCCAGAAGAGCGTGAGAGCTAGTTCAAGTCTCCCCTTCATTTGCTCTCAAGTATTGCCCTTTGTTCGATTTCTGAGCCAGCCCGAAGCAAAAGCGATTTGTGAGGGCAACCTGTTGTTCCAAGTTATCGGTGCTATTGTCGACCCTCCTACTGCCTGGAATGCCATCCTTGGGCATTACGTCGCAGGTGGCTTTGGCGAAGAAGACGTCGAAACATTTGCATGGCTCTGTTCAGAGATTGTCATGCAGTCCACGGCAGAATTTGCCTCAATCGCTGCCGAAATAGAATCTACTATGCAGAGTCATTCATTTACAAGCCATGCCAGCTCCAAGGTCCGAGAATTTGGTTATCGGATTCAGAAGATGTTTCAGATGAGAGCTTCTTCAGGCACCACCAGTACAGAAGACCTGGAAGGCCCCGGCGGAAGACACGATAATGATTTTGCAGACTTTCGCAAAATTTCAATTTACCCAACCAGAGATGAGCTCACCTCCACCATGCAGCCATTTTACCGTCGTGCCGACGAGGTGGCCAAATCTGACCTAGCTGAGAGGGCAGGCAAGCATCTCGATAATCAGTTTCGTCTTCTCCGCGAGGACATGCTTGCCGAGCTACGAGAGGATCTTCAGAATGCCATGGGCCAAAGAACACTGAGACGCCGCGTACATGTGCTTGGAGGCCTTTTTCCTATGAGCATCGACACAGTAGATGCACGCCGGGGCCGGCTCTGTAACCTTCGTGTCAGTGTCGGTTACGGACTCGAGCAGCTTGCCAACTTTACAGCCGGCCAACGCAAGCTCTTCCTCCAAGACAACCCCGGCCTTTTGCGTCACCAATCTTTTGGGGCGATCCGTTGTGATGATGCCATAATTGGGTTTGCCCTCGTAGTCCGCAACAACGATGACCTTGTCCGAGACCCTCCTGTATTCGGCTTGCAATTCTCTTCGCCTGATGCCATGATCAAGGTCATCAAAATGCTACCGAAAGCGCGAAGCTTAGAGTTCTTGGTCATTGACACTCCTATATTTGCCTATGAACCTGTTCTCTCACGACTTCAAAACCTTGTCGAGCTGCCGCTGGAAACGAAGTTGTTGCAGTGCTGTGAGGACGTCGTCGACGAGCACTATGCGCCAGCTCAACTCTTCGAGAACCTGGTTCAAAAACTTCGTGCATCGACCTCTGAAGCGAAGAATATTCGGCTGGGTGATGAAGAATTCTCTTTGGATGAAGCACAAGCTGATGCTCTGGCTTCAATCATAGAGAAACCATTGGCGATCATTCAGGGTCCACCTGGTAAGTTAAAGGAGCGAAGTAAATTAAAACACTGAAACCGGCCAATTGAATTGGTATTCCCTATAATCGTCATTGGCGCTGATGAGTTTTCGTATGACAGGCACGGGCAAGTCATATGTTGGCGCAATAGCCGCGAAGCTCCTGCTCCAAGTTCCGCGCGCTCGGATTCTTGTCCTCTCGTATACCAACCACGCTCTCGACCAATTTCTCGAAGACCTTTTGAATATAGGGATTGATCAAAACCAAATGACTCGCCTTGGCTCCAAGTCTTCAGCTGCGACAGCTTGTCTGTCATTCGAAAGCCAATCTCTTGAGACCGGCTCCCGACTGACAAATTCTCAGCACACCTTGTTCAGGCAACTTCGACAAGAAATCAGCCAGCTTAGGACCTGCATCGGAGAAGAGTTCAATAGAATTGACTTTGATCCACCCTACAGAGAGCTTTTGGATTACCTCGAATTTTCCGACGATGCTCAGCTACAGCTCTTCTGGAGGGCATTCCAGATACCAGAGGAAGAAGATGGTTTCCAGATGGCTGGGGCCAATGGCTCCGTAATGGATTCGGACTATCTTTTCGATCGATGGTGCAAGGGAAAAGAACCTGGAGCAATGGCAAATCATATATCGCCAGAGTGTATGCCTATATGGGCCCTTCCAATGGACCAGAGGATTTTCTGGAGGGATCAGTGGGCGGCGGCTATCCTGGAGGAGCATCTCGAAGCATTGGATGGCCACATGACACGCTCCGATGATATACAGCGGCGAATCGAGACCATTTACAACGAGTCTAGACGCGCTTTGATCCGGAGAAAAAGGATCATTGGATGCACCACCACTGCTGCAGCCAAGTACTCGTCTCTCGTGGAGGCAGCCCAACCGGATTTCATTCTGGTTGAAGAGGCAGACGAGATTCTGGAAGCCCACATTCTTGCCGCATTGAGCCCTTCAACCAAGGGTCTGATCCTTATCTGAGATCACAGGCAGCTGCGTCCAAAGTGCACAAATTATTCGCTGAGTGTTGAGAAGGGTTCTGGGTACGATCTTAACAGATCAATGTTCGAGAGGCTTGTTCTGCAGGGATACCATCACAGTACCCTCCTTCGGCAGCACCGCATGCATCCCGATATTTCCCTACTTGTACGCTCCATGACATATCCAGACCTCTTGGATGGGGAAAAAACTTTCAGCCGGCCCGCGGTCCGTGGGATGCGCGACAGGGTGACATTTGTCAATCACAGCCATCCTGAAGGGAACATAGGTGACCGTGGTGACCGCTTTGACTCTGACCAAAAGACGAGCAAGCAGAACAGGTTCGAAGCAGAGATGATACTCAAGACTGTAAAGTATCTAGGACAGCAAGGCTACAAGACAGAAAACATGGTAGTCTTGACACCGTATCTGGGGCAGTTACGACTGTTGCGAGAGATGCTAGGTCGAGAAAATGATCCTCTACTCAATGATCTCGACTCGCACGAGCTCATCCGAGCGGGCTTGCTCACAGTTGCTGCTGGTAAACAAACCGGGGTAGACTTCGCATATCAACAAATGGTGGGCTTCCCCCTCCGACTCGAGTACTTTCCATGCTAACACAGTGACAGACAACTACCAAGGCGAGGAGAGCGACATCGTAATTGCTTCACTCACTCGAAGCAACAACCGAGGAGATATCGGGTTCATGAAATCGCCTGAACGGCTAAACGTCCTCTTGTCCAGAGCGCGGGATGCCATCATTATGTTTGGCAATATGGAGACCTTCCTAGCCCCATCGCAGGGCGAGCTTTGTTGGATACCCTTTTTCAGCTTGATGAGAAAACATAACTACTTGCAAGATGGACTTCAGGTGTATTGCGAACAACACCCAGATCGATCGGCACTGCTATCTGTCCCTGAGGACTTTGACCTCAAGTGCCCAGATGGTGGTTGTTCTGAAATCTGTGGTGCTGTCCTTGGCTGTGGCCAGCATACATGTCAAAGACGGTGCCACAGCATACTGGACCACAGCAAAGTCAAATGTGACCAGAGTTTGGAAAAGAAGTGTGAAAAGCAGCATTCATATCAAGTCAAATGTGGCGAGTCTCACGCACGCTGTCGACACTGCCTGCAGGAGGAAGCAGACATAGCGCGACGCGCCAAGAGAGACTTGGAGATTGAAAAGGACAGGCAGGCCAAGCAGGCTACATACCGGCAGGAGCTATCGATTATTCAAGACGAGATTGAGAGCCTGAAGCGACAGAACAAGTACCTCCGGGAAGAAGAGTCGCAGTCGCGCACCATGCAGCAGCTCCGCGAAGACCTGGCTGCTTTGAAGGAGGCTAAAGAGCGACAGGAGTCTATGGAAAAGTCTCGACAGGCATTGAAAAACCAAAAAGAGAAGAGCGCTGCGCCCACCCAAACGACATCCGAGATTGCACCTGAGAGCGCATGTTACGAATTGGAGCGCATGAAACGAGACGAGCTTGCCAAAAACGCTGAGCTAGATACGCTGATGAGCATGGTTGGCCTTGAGAGCGTGAAGATATCCTTTATTGACATCAAGTCTACCATTGACACGGCTCTGAGACAAGGAGTCTCGACTGAGAATGAGAGGTTCGGATGCAGTCTGCTCGGGAACCCTGGCACTGGCAAGTACATCAACACCACGCATGGTCGCCCCAACTAACCCGTGCCATCTAGGTAAAACGACTGTGGCCAGGATTTACGCCAAATTTCTCACAAGCTTGGGCGTCATTGCAGGTAGCTGTTTCAAAGAAGTGACCGGTTCGAAACTTGCGAACATGGGCGTCGCTGGATGCCAGAAACTTCTCGACGAGGCGTTGGATGCAGGCGGCGGTGTCATCTTCATTGACGAAGCTTACCAGCTTTCATCAGGGAACAGCCCGGGTGGATTGGCTGTCCTGGACTTTCTTCTTGCCGAGGTCGAAAATTTGCAATCTAAAGTCTGCTTTGTCCTCGCAGGATATAACAAGCAAATGGAGTCCTTTTTTGCCCACAATCCTGGCATCCCGAGCCGTTTTCCTCTCGAGATGAAGTTTGACGACTACACGGATGATGAACTGCTGCAGATCCTCGAGCTCAAGATTAATTCCAAATACGACCATCGCATGAAAGCAGAAGATGGGCTGCGAGGCTTGTATTGCCGCATCGTCGCTCGACGGCTTGGTCGCGGGCGCGACAAGGACGGGTTTGGAAATGCGCGTGCGGTAAAGAACTTGCTTGGCACCGTGTACCGCCGACAAAGTGACAGACTACGACGCCAACGTCGAGAGGGCCCTCGGCCAGATGATCTACTTCTTACCAAAGATGATCTTCTGGGCCCTGAACCGTCGAATGCCCTCTTGAAATCTGAAGCCTGGGCCAAGCTGCAGGACCTGATCGGCCTCAATTCTGTCAAGGAGTCTATCAAGTCACTCGTTGACAGCGCCAAGACCAATTACCAACGTGAGCTTAACGAGGAGCCCATCATAGAGTACAGCCTGAATCGTGTTTTTCTTGGAAATCCTGGAACAGGAAAAACCACAGTTGCCAAACTCTATGGACAGGTTCTCGTTGACATTGGTCTGTTGTCAATGGGTGAGGTAGTCGTCAAAAACCCATCAGACTTTGTCGGAGCTGTGCTGGGAGAGTCTGAAAAGCTTACGAATGGTATTCTTGCCTCCACTGTGGGCAAAGTACTCGTCATTGACGAGGCATATGGACTATGCGACGGCGGTGCATCTCAAGGAGGCAGCTCTTCAAACCCTTTCAAGTCTGCCGTCGTTGACGCCATTGTAGCCACTGTCCACAGCACCGTTGGCGATGACCGATGCGTCCTGCTCCTAGGCTACCGGGACCAGATGGAAGAAATGCTCCAGAATGTCAATCCCGGACCGACGATTCCCACTGAGCTCTGCGTTTACATTTGAAGACTTTAGTCAGTCAGAGCTGGGTAGCATACTCGACCTGAAGCTCAAGAATCAGGGCTTCCGAATAACGCCAAAGGCGAAACAAGTTGTGCTCGAAATGCTGGATCGAGCACGCAACCGTCCAAATTTTGGCAACGCTGGCGAAGTCGATCTTCTTCTGAATGAGGCAAAAAGCCGACATCAAAAGCGCCTGACTGCTGGCAAGACCGCTCGCACCTCCACACTCAAAGCATTGGACTTTGACGAGAATTACGAGAGACATGAGAGGGCAGAAACAAATGTCGAGCAGCTCTTCAGCGACACCATAGGGTGCGAGCGTCTAGTTGCCATTCTACAAGGATACCAGGAGACGGCTCGAATGACGAGAATGCTCGGTTTGGATCCAAAGGAGCAGATTCCCTTTACCTTTCTCTTCCGTGGACCGCCTGGGACGGGAAAATCGACCACAGCGCGAAAGATGGGCAAAGTGTTCTACGACGCCGGATTTCTTAGCGAAGCCATCGTCCATGACTGCTCCGCCTCAGATCTTGTCGGGCAATACGTCGGCCAGACAGGTCCAAAGGTGAGGCAGCTGCTTGACAAGGCACTCGGGGCGGTGCTGCTCATCGACGAGGCGTACAGGCTGCGCGAGGGCCATTTTGCAAAGGAAGCGCTAGATGAGCTCGTCGACGCCATCACGAAAGAGAGATACCACAAACGTCTCATCATGATCCTGGCCGGATATGAGCATGATATCAATGGGCTCTTGGCCGTCAACCCAGGCCTCACGAATCGCTTTCCAGAAGTTATTGACTTTCGCGGCCTGAATTCGATAGAATGCTTCGATTGGCTAGCGAAGAAGCTAATCAAGAAAAAGGCAGACTTGGAAGCCAATGGCAGCGCCCACATGCATGTTGACTGCCTAGAGCAACCGGCCGCCGAGTTTCGGGCAGATGTGTATGCGCTGTTTGAGTGCTTGTCTTCCCAAGCGAGTTGGGGAAATGCAAGAGACGTCGAGACACTAGCAAATGCAATGTTCCAAGCGGCTATGAAAGCCACCTCGAAGCTGGAAAAGGTCATGTTGACTGTATCAGAGACCATTGTGAGGGCAGAACTGGAAAAGATGGCCAATGAGCGACAAAGTCGCTCAAGCGTGCCTGCCGAGAAGTCCACTGGGGGAATGGCGGACGCCTTTTCGCAACTGTATCCGGCTGCCGAGCACAGACTGCCGCCGCAATTATCTCCAGATCCTGCCCGAGCGAGTTTTACTGCGCGGCAGAGCAAGCTGGCTCCGAGCCAGGAGATCACCGACGAATCTGTCCCCAGTGAGCCCGAGGGCCCCGTGGAACTGGCTAGTACAGACGGAAATCATGGCCGTGTCGCTATTCGCGATATGGATGCCAGCGATGAGATCTGGGAGCAGCTGCAGCTCGACGCGCAAGCCGAGCAGCAGCGCGAGGTCGAGTATCAAGCGAAGCTGCGAGCGAAGAATGAAGCGGCCGATGAGGCGCTACGGGAGCGCATCGTAAAAGAGCTAATCGAGGAGGAAGAGAGGCGCCAAAAGGAGGCCGAGATGAAGAAAAAGTTAGAAATGGAGGGCCGCTGTCCTGTGGGATATCACTGGATCCGCCAGGAGGGCGGCTGGCGTTGTGCTGGAGGATCCCATTTTGTGTCTGAGATGGAACTGAAGAATTGAGAGGAAAATTCACAGGAAAAATATCTTTTTTGTATTTGTTTGCGACTTGACGGAAGGGGAATATCAAGCTGCTGAGAAAAGACGTGGCAATTGTATTGAGAAGAATGGCACAAGTTGACGTAGTGAAACATGGCCCTATGTTTGTGATAGTAATGTCATTCATCTGTTTGTGTAGTTGATGCTCATTTCTACCTCTTTTTGTACCTCTATTTTGTGTTCATATATTTTACGCCGAAGCGCGGCATGATCGAGGCCCGAACTGATTCGTACCCAAGTATCATGCAATTTGCTCGTCAAAGTGTGAACCAGGTACGAGTAGTATCAAAATACCGACGCTGCTTGATTTCGAGACTCGCTGGCAATATGTATACCGAATTTCATGTTGTTGCGATTGCAAAGATAATTAATAGGTACTTCGTGCTAGCGTTATTAGGTGCTTTCGGCGTGTACCTAGCCTACTAGCCGGCGCCTACAACGTTGCTAATTGGATTAGCCGGATTTCCCCCGGCACAGTCGCGTCGGCGCAATTACGCCCAAAGATTTTACGACTGACGCCGGTTTGCGATTAAAACTTATCAAGGAAAACCGATTCGGCCGACCCCATCAACCTAGCAACATACGAGTTGGACACTTTTACAACATATTCGGTTCCAAGAAGCACGCCTACACTTGCATTGCGGCCTCGCACACCTTCCCGCCGCGGCATGGGAAGAGACCCCAAGCGATACGTGGTTGCGCTCGGCGCTTTTTACGCACTCTTTCAACTCGCTACACAAACCTACAACCCGGCTGCTTTCTCAAATAGAATCTACAGTAACTCGCTGATAGCGAGCACCTTGTCGCCATGGCGACCACAAAGATGACCAAGAACCAAATGAGGAGGGCCAAGAAGAAGGAGCAGAAAAAGGCCAAAGCAGAGGTGCGTCGCATTGGAACATTGCTCGTTCCTCCAAGTTGCATTAGCTCACCTATCACAAAGAACGGTGATAAAACAGAGGAAACTCCCAAGGAGCCTGAGATTGAGACGACACCGCAAGAGAAGCCGGATGATACCTCCGAAAAAGAGCCGGCTGTCCAAGTCGAAGTGGACTCTCTCGATGCGTACGACGACGATCCTGCATTCGCTGCCTACAAAGAGATATTCACAAGATTCAACATCAATACCGGAGATGAAGTCTCCAAGAACGAGAGTCAGGAGCAAAAAGGCACAGTGCTTTACAACGACGATGACGATATCCCCGACGAAGACCAACAACCGAAGCTGTCCAAGAAGAAGCGCAAGGCGCTCAACACGCTCTCCGTCGCCCAGCTCAAGGCTATAGCCGCCGTCCCCGAAGTCGTCGAGTGGCAAGACGTCTCCTCGACCGACCCCCGCGTCCTGGTGCAAATCAAGTCGCAGCGCAACGTCGTGCCCGTGCCCGCGCACTGGTCCCTCAAGCGCGAGTACCTGTCGTCGAAGCGCGGCATCGAAAAGTCGGCGTTTCGCCTGCCGCAGTTCATCGCCGAGACGGGCATCGCCGAGATGCGCGACGCCGTGCTGGAAAAGCAGGCTGAGCAGTCGCTCAAGCAGAAGCAGCGCGAGCGCGTAGCGCCCAAGATGGGCCGCCTCGACATTGACTATCAGAAGCTCTACGATGCGTTTTTCCGCTTCCAGACCAAGCCCGAGCTGACGCGCTTCGGCGAGGTCTACTACGAGGGCAAGGAGACCGAGGTCGACTACCAGCACTTTCGCCCTGGCGACCTGTCTGAGGCTACCAAGGAGGCTCTCGGCATGCCGCCCGGCGCGCCCCCACCGTGGTTGATTAACCAGCAGCGGTTTGGACCCCCCCCTTCCTATCCTACCATCAAGATACCCGGTCTCAACGCGCCGCCGCCGCCAGGCGGTGCCTGGGGCTTCCACCCTGGAGGCTGGGGCAAGCCTCCCGTCGACGAGTTCAACCGTCCCCTCTACGGCGGTGACGTGTTTGGTATTACCGGCCAGCACGGCACTCAGACACAGTCCGCACAGCAGCTGGACCAGCTTGGCGTGCCCGCCGAGCGTACGCTATGGGGTGAACTGCAACCGCGCGCCGAAGAGTCCGAGGAGGAAGAGGAGGAATCCGACGACGAGGATGAAGACGAGGACGACACCGGCGACGCCGCAGGACAAGAAGCGAGCGGCCTCGAGACGCCCAGCGGCTACGCTAGTACTCTCCACGGCGAATACCCGCCACAGGGCACGGAGACGTTCATCGCCGGCGAGATGGATCTCCGCAAGGAGCGCCGCGGCTACGACACGGAAGAGTCGTCCGCGCCGCGCTCCGCCTACACTGTGCTTCCCGAGCGGCAAGTGCGCGCGGAGGGTTTCTTCGGCAGCGACCGCGCCTACGACATGGCCGCCGCGCAGCGGGCGGGCATGCCTGTGCTTGGCGGCGCTGACGAGGACGAGTCGCGCAAGCGCAAGAAGCCCGGCGACGTGGACGTGGCAGTCGACGTGGACGCGCTCAACGACCGCGGTGGCCTGGGCAAAGACGAGCTGCGCAGGAGGTTCGAGGCCGGCACGCGCGAGGAGGGCATTGGCGCGCAGTGGGCGGGCGGCCAGGACGACGACCTCGCCGATATGATTGCCGAGGAGGGTCGCAAGAGGCAGCGGCTAGACAGGGAGCGCGTGGAGAAGAAGAAGGAAGGGAGACGACACTAAGACAAGATCCTCCTCCCTCCATTGGTGATAAAAACACAGGGTTTGCATGGGACCTGGGTTTTATGTTCTGTTTGTGTTGTATACAGTTAAATTCATGGGCGTTCAGGATCTATCAATGTAATCAAACTTTTTGACAAGGATGAAACAAGACGAGTGAGCAAGCCAAAATCAAGTGCAAAGACCTCTTTATATCTGCGCGAGGGTCGTCTACTTCATTTCGTGCAGATTATTACAGCGATAAGCCATATTGCTGTGAATGTAAAGAGGCTAATTATATACAGATATATTGCCCCAACTCCGGCTCGCCTCGGCCCAGTCGCCCAGATATTCTGAAAAATATAAAATACATCGCAGAGGTAAAAATGGCAATCAAGATTCCGTTTAGAAATCCCAACATCCACATGTCTCTGCAGCGCGGTAAAACGCACTATTTATGCGCAGAGAATGATACGCCATTGCAAGGATACATGCGAATAAGGCTGTGGTAGTAAGAAAGTCACTTTTTTTTGCAGAGAAATTTTGCGACAAATGCAGCCGCTACGTCGCCGAGGATGCGCACGCATTACACATCCATTTGCGGTTCGTCACGTTTACAACCGCGGTGTCCTTGATGCAGTCCGAGTGATACAACCTCTTTTGGCAACGCTGTGGTGCGTAATTAGCACAAATGGCTTGTTATGTCTACACTGCAAGAGTGACATACCTTGTTAGAGCACACTAGCAACCGAGGCCCCCTTACTGGGAGCTGGCATATCGTGCATCCGTTGCTGCTCTTGCGGACGTCTGTTGCTTTGGATGCTGGCGCGGCCGGCTCTGTTTCCGCGGGCAAGATGGCATTCGCCACGTCCATTGTTCGTAGCGACCGGGCCTGATTGATAAAGTCAAGAGCCTGCTTGATGGCGTCGTCGGTCAGTACCTCCCGCGCGAGCAGCACGCACGCATGCTTGCCAAACTCGCTCATGCGTTCGTCCTTTGCCACCAACCAGGCCGCCTTTTGCTGGACGAACCCCAGCCAGGCGCGCGGCAGGTACGCGCTGGATGTGATGCTCTGTTTTAGAATGTAGCCGTCCCATTCCCATATGTACTCCTTTTCGGACGGCGTCACGTCGGAAAAGTCGGCAATGCTCTCGCGGTGCTTTTGAATGAGCCACGTCGCGTCATGATCCGGAGAGGGCACCCGATCGCCAGCTTTCAGCAGAGCTTTGCTAATGGGGTGATATAGCGGCTGCGAAATCTTGGGAACCACGACTGTGTCCTTCTTGGGTGGCTGCGGCCGTCGCGCCAGAGTAGTCTTGCTTCCAGAAAATACTGGCTGCCTGGGCACGGGTGAGCGAGACGCCATTCTGTCAGTGGAAGATCGTGCCTGCGGGGTCTTGAGTAGATCGTCATTTGCTCCGGCAAGGACACGCTTGGTAACCCATGATCGATCTCCGTCGACAAATGTCTGCAAGTTGAATGGATGCGACGTCGGCCGTATCTGGAAATTTTTGGACGGTGATAGAAAGGTATCAGACCGGCGATGAGAGACACGAATCTCTGGCCCCTCACTCGTGAAATTGTATTGAAACTCGAAACCAGGATGATACGTTTCTAGATGCAGCGATAGCTGCTCAAAAGTCTCATGGTACGAGCCACAGGCTACGCATCGATTGAAGTCGAGCCGCATAGGCTGTTCCTGCGGCAATATGTAGGAAACTGCACCCTCCGCCACTATCGCGCCTGTGTCGTGCCGTCTTTTGCGTTCCTTTCCACGCGCCTGGTCGCTCAAAACCTTGAGGTTGTATATTTTATTTTGTTCCCTTCTTCGTAATGACCTAGAAGGCGTTTTGTCGCCTTCTGTTTGCTCGTCGTCACTGCGCACGTGGCCATGTGACCCGAAATTGCCGTTTGCATTGTTGATGGGAATTGTGAACTCGTCGCCGATGGGCGGACATTTGTCGTGGCTCATGTCCGTATCGGGATCAATGGCAGTGATACATGGCATGGAATCTTTGTCGAGGCGTCGCAATGCGCTGAAACCAGACGACCAGCGCAGGTCAACGTCCACGACATACTCGGTCAAACTGTCGGGTCTGTCTGCCCCTTGAGGAGCTGAGAGTACCAGGGGCTCCTTTAGTTTGCCAAAAATATCGTGAAAGCGGCTCCTGAGTATGATCTTGCGCATGTCGCTGGGGCTTGCGTCTTGCAGCGCAAGCAATGAACCGAGATCGCTGGCACCCAAAGGAGGCCAGAGGCTACCGCTAACGGCCTCGAATTCAATGAGCAGCTCGTATGCGTCAGATAGGTCGTAAGAGCCATCATCGTCCCTATTGACGAGGATGGCATCGCGTGGCACGTAAAAGGGCCTTGCCATGTGCACTCTTGCGATGCGATGGGGCCCGGCAGGGTTTTTGAAGGTAATGAGATCGCATAATTGATTCTGACAGTGAAGGACGCGATGCGTGCCCTTGGTGGCATTGCTGAGAGTGATGCGACAATTGGCCTTTGTAGTAGTGACTTGGCTGGGCGCGGTACCAACTACGCTTGTGCGAACCTTTTTGGAATCTCTGTGAGAGACCCTGAGGACCTCTATGCGGAGAGTGGAACGTGTGTCGGATGTCTTTGGCGATACAATGAGGTGGTCAACGTCGAGCGACTCGGGAGTGGAAACACGGCGTCGCTTGCGCGGCGGAGCAGCGGCTTGGCCATCGCCGGGGAGCTGGCCGGATACAATGTTGCCCATGAGCTCGGCTGAGTTTTGCCAATTTGTGATGCCCTGTAGCCAGTTGCGTTGTAGAAAGGGCGCTTTCCGCTGATAAATGTCGTTCAGCGTCATTGCGATGCAACGGTTGCCATGAGTGAACAAGCTCTGTAGCGCTCGAGCCTGGCCTTGGCGTGGCAGTCAACGATGAGTAGGTAGTTTCTTCGTCGCAGCTGAGTGGCACAGAGCGATGACGAAAATAATGAGCCTAGAAGCACGCGGTAACGCGGCTCATTGTGATGGTCTTGCGCGCCCGTTTGCTGGGTGAGCGACTGGTGGTCGGCCGAGCGGCGTGTCTCAAGTTGGTGACGGACGCTGACTGGATGCAAATGCCGCGACTTCTATGTTTGAGTCGATGCAGACTTGTCAAAGATGCTGCGGGGGTATTATGAGGCGCGCAGGCAGAGTCGCAGCTGCCAGACGCGTGTTGGATTGAATGTTGAAGGCATTGCCAGGCGAGAGACGGGCGCCACATAGGAAGAAACCCAAAGCGGCTTAGCGTAGGTCGTTTTTTCAAAGGGGACCTCAACCAGTGACATGTCTTGTGAATTGTGATGCGGCGATGTAGCTCGTATTTCAAATCACTAGGAACAAGCGCTGTGTGAAATAATTGATTGGTTTACGGACATGAAGGTCTTGGCAGCTCAGTCTAAGAGCTCCCATGTGGTTGACTTTTGCTCGGCTTTTGCTCAGCTTTTGCTCAGCATTTGCTCAGATCAGCATTTGCTTCGACGCATATGCGGTTCTTGTCGTCGAGCGTTCACAGTGACATGTACCTACTTAGTAGTGCCTGAAATGCAGGTATTCCTACCTAGTCATAGGGGTGAATAGCGAATGGTAGGCGCCTGTGGAACCCTGTTTGCCTGCCTGTCTGGCCCCACCCGGAAGTACCGATACGTAGCAAAGTCCCTGGGGCACACTGCCGTGACCCCACCAACGCACGCGAGGCTACCAAGGTTGTACTTTTTCGTGCCACTGTCGCCCCGCTGTCGTCAATCGCCTTGCATCACCAACTTCGCTGCTTCCAGCAAAAAACTTTGATGCGCCGCCCGCCACAGCGTTCTCTGGTCAATTCCATCTTGCCAATTCAAAGCAGTCTAAGTTTATTTTCCCTTCCGGGCATTCGATCATTCAATTTTTTTTTGCCGCACGTTACGTCGATCGATAGTTTGCGGCTTTCATTGCCTAGCCCGTTGATAGTCGGCAGACTGTTGTCGCAGGCCACTGAGCCCTCGATCGAGTCCATACCCTCAACAACCGCGCATCCCAGTCTGTCAAGCTCTCAATCGATGCACAGGAGAGTCCAGTTTGTTCTCTTTATCCTCGAGTGCGCTTCCAAGAGGCCATCTTGAGCGCCATGGCTCGCACCCGCAATGCGTCGCGCTTGTCCACTCAGCACGCCTCTTCACGACGCCAGAGCCCGTCGCGCAGATCTAGCAGCCGCATAACTCAGCTCACAAACCTCTCCACAAGCTCCGAACTGTCTTCTGAAGACGATCCACTCGATGTTGGGAATGAAGAATACTCCGAGTCAGGCGCAGACGAGACTGCAACAGCCTTTCGCATTCCGGTCCGAAAAACAAAGACGGCTCCGTCGCAGCGCAGAACGGGCCGAGCTAGAACTGGGGAGAGAACCACGAGAAATACATACAAAGGCAGTAAGAGAAGCAGCAAAACCCCTTCGAAACGTAAGCGAGAAGATACTAGCTCCGCCCATTCGAGCCCCTCGAAACGATCTCGACAGTCACCGAAAATAGTACGAGAACCCTTAATACACTCGGCCATCATCCCGGATTGGAGGGACCCGAGAATACCTGTTGAATGCTGGTCCGACATCTTCTACTATGCAGCCTCTGATGACACTCCGGATAGCCTTGCTACCAACTGGCTGCTTCAAGTCGCCACAAGCTGCCACTTCTTCACCGAGCCAGCTCTCGACACGCTTTATCGCTGTCCGACTATTCGGCATTCATCAAAGGCCAAGAAGCTTGCAAGTCTTCTTGAACAACCCGTCTCCGAAACAAGATTCAACTACCGATCTAAAATTGAAATCTTGCACCTTGATATCCACGTTGTGCCCGCCACTATCCTGTATCAGCTAATCCACCCGCTTCCTCGACTCCGAGAGCTCATCATTTACACACCATATGATCAACCCCCGTATAGGGAGCTCGAAAAAAGTATTCGCCGGCATTATTCCGCAGACATCTTCCAAGCCCTCCTTCCGGGAGCAAACGATGCGACCGAGGCTACTCTGAAGCCGTACCATACACAGCTGAGGAGCTGGGAATGGAGCGGGCGCCTGATCGGAGGCTACGTGGATGGGCTCAAGGACATTGGCCGCATACACGAGCTGCCCTCCTTTGCTACCCTCTCACGCGTGAGCTTCACAAACTTTCAGACACCGTCTCTGCGCAAGCGCTCGCCCAGAAATGATGATGAGGCGGCGCTATTTCTCGACCAAGACAATGCCCACATTGAAGCTATTGCTGCATCTCTCGCTAAATTGCCATCACTAACTCATCTCGTATTCGAGTCATCCACCGTCATGAATGATCACATGCTTACTCTTCTACCGAGAGGCTTGCTTCATCTCGAGCTGATCAACTGCTGGGAGATTCGCGCTTTTGATCTTGCAGCCTTCCTGCGAGACAAGGGTAGTGAGATGCGCATCCTCAGCCTCCATCATAACCAGTCGCTCGACTTGGGGTTTCTGACCGATCTCGCTGATACATGCCCCAAACTGCGCGAGCTAGACATGAACCTTTCATATTACAAGCTTCATGAAGCGGCCAGCGACTCGGACCCCATGTACGATCAAGCGTTGCTGCCTGATCAGGTGCCTCGTTGGCCGCCCAGCATCCGAGTCATCAATATTGAACATATACGTGACTGGTCCGTCGAGGCGGCGGTCATGTTCCTCCAGACCCTTATTGACAACGCGCATAACTTGCCTAACCTACGTCACCTCTCTGTCAAAACTATGCTAGACATTCCATGGCAGTCTCGCGCCACAATGCGCACTGCCTGGCGTGACAAGATGGAAAAGGTCTTTTTGCGACCCTCTCCTGGTCCTCCGCGAGATTTTAAATCGCTCCGACCCGAGACGGCTGAGAAAGATTCCAAGACGACAACATTGGCGTCGTCCGCAAAGCGCACTTCATCGCCCACATCACCGTCTCGTCGCAGCTCCAGACTTGCCGAGCACAAGTCTACTTTCCGTGACGGACGCAAGTCGTCACTGCGCCGTTCTGATGGATTCAAACGACGCAAGACCTACAGGGAGCCGGATACGGACGAGGACGATCTTTCCGACTCGGAAAGCTCGGATTCCGATATCAGTAGTGTTGGCATGGGTTCCACCTCTTCAAGCGTTTCTACGCCGGTGCATGGCCTGTGCAAGACTGTCAACATCGTATTCGACAACCAAAAGGTGCGCGAGCTGCAGTACGGCATGGAGGACTTTCAGACGGACAATGCCGTGTCAGACGATGATGAGTGGAGCGGTGACTACGAATCCGATGATCCCGTTCTACAATTTTGAGCGCTATCGTATTAATATGATACGCTGTCATACTCGCGTCGCATCAGATGCGACAAATGTCGAGTGCAAGTGTATGGCACAAATGTAATGTGTGAGATGGTCTAGTATCTTGTTGCTTTGCGAAAGGGCGAAACGAGCAGCTGTGGAGTAAAAGAACACAGAAGGAATAATGCAGATGAAAATATGAGCTCCATGAATTAATACCCCTCACAATATAAGAAAATTGCTCGAGAAAGTTTGGTAATCTCAAAGTATTTGCAATTCAAAGTGAGTTTCACATACACACAGGAGCGTTTGAGCAGCAGCAGACCATTGCTATTCGGCAGTTTGCCCTCCCTCACTGCCATCATTACCCGTCCAAGTCAATCCATTCCAGATATCCAGTGCCAGTCAACAATCTACTTGCCCACGTGCATTTAAACGTGTAGGCGCTCACATAGCCCTGCCCGTGCCCATACCGAAACGGCGCATCCACGTCCGCCTCGAGCTGCAGCAGCCTCTCCCCGCCATCATCCTCGTCCACCGTCCACCGCATCCGCCTCGGCACCCTCATGCTGCGGCCCTGCCCGTCCACCAGCCGCTTCTCTGCATACTCGACGACTTCCAGCTCCGTCCGCTCAAACACCCGCGCCGCGCCACCACCGCTCAGCGTCCGCAGATGCGCCAGCAGACACAGCGTGCTGCCGCCCGCGCCCGTCACCTTTGTCAGCAGCAGCTGCGTCGACGCGTCGAGGTTGACAATCTGGTAGGTGAAGAAGGTGACGGGCAGCTTGAGCGCTGTCGGCACGGGCCGCCGCGTGAGCGCCTGCGGCGTCATGCACCGCCCGTACTCGACGGTGCAGAGGCCGGATATCGGCGTCGTGGTGATGCCACCGCCGTCGCTGCCTCTGCGGGCGTCCTGGATAGAGCCCGTGTAGGTTGCTAGTACGCTAAAGTGGTCGTAGAGCGGCATCTTGGTAAAGTACGAGACGTGCTCCGTCGCCCGCACCGCAATGTGGACACGCATGTGGCGGAAGCGCCCCGCGACCGTGTACTCTGGATGGCGGCATTCTAGCACCAAGTCTCCGCCGCCGCCGCCAACGCCATCGCTGCCCCAAACCAGCCGCGACCCATCCGCGCGGAACTCGCAGCTGCCCGACGCCGCGTCATACGCCTCGTAGTGGTGCTCGTCGCCGTGCGCCGTCGCCGACAGCAGCGTCGCCGTGTCGCGCGCGTCGCTGCCGGCTGCGACGAGGTAGTCATTGTCGAAGCAGGCCGTGCCCGTGGCGCCGATCAACGTCATAAAGTTGAGGAACCGGTACGGCTCGGGCAGCCGCGGCAAAAAGACGCCGTAGTGCGTCCACCCCCACCAGCGGGAGTCGTGGTGCGGGAGCATGATGTCGGCTTGCGCAAAGGGCGCCTGCGACGCGCGGAGGCGGTCGTCGAGGTACGGTGCCGCGTAGGTGACGGCGAGACGGGCGGCGGCGCTGACGAGGCTGTTGGTCGCGGGGCGGGGCGGCGGCGCGACGTCTGCTGCTGCATCGGTACCTGCGGGGGACGACATGACGTTGTCAATATGTTTTTGGAGATGAATTAATGAATGATGTTTAGGTTTTTTTTCTTTTAAAGACTTTGGTAGAGTAGAATGAGAGGCTGTACATAGCTCATCGCAAACAAGTTAAGTAACTGCCGGAGGCCGGCCGGATTGCAGGCTCCGAGTCGGCCCACTCCCATAGCAATCGGTCACGAAACTCCGCGACGGCCTGACTACAGGTTCCGTTTCACATTCTCACTCGTGATGTCGGTAGGATTCTCGTAGCCCAATTATCTCTGTTGACAATTGAGCTTGTCTCGAGCCGAGGCTCGTCGATAGTCACAAGCTTCTAATTATTCCTGACTTTCAAGTGCCATGGGGGAAGGCAAACACGAACTTTATTTCGTTGACCTATCTATTTCGCCTCTGGTTTCTGAGTGTATGAAAAAGAATCTCCGGACTTTCGAAAAGCTGCTCTCGAATTTTGGCGCTGCTGATACACCAATTGCCGAGAAGTGTGTGCCGAGATATTCAGTGTCTAAAAGAGCCGGCACCCCAAGCAACAACCTCTTCACTGCGTTGACGTAGGCATCTGATCAGTCGTGCCCTTATTATCATGAATGCCTCGGCGACTGGCTAGTCACCGACGCCCTTCAGCAGTTCAATTTGATTAGCCGATCCATAGCTCGCTTCGCCAATGATTTCGTATTATCGACGCGCCGATCATCGGCGTAATTGTGTCTTCTCTCGCCTTTCATTGGGTCGATGCGCGCGTATTCCCAAACGCCTTCTCGCTGATTAGGTTAACCAATCTGAAACAGTATTATTCAAAGTCCATCGTACAGTCCATCCTTCCAATGTCGCCTACTAGAACGCCGCGCCGCCCGTGCCTTCGCCCGCGAGATTCTTCATGCTCTTCTCGCTCAGGTCGCTGCGCAGCTCCCAGGCGGCCGCATCTCTCTCGAGCCGTCCCCACATGGCTAGGCCCTTGCGCAGGCGCTCCTGCTTGACGCGCAGCTCTTCGCGAATTTTTTCCTCCTCGTCGCGCAGTTTGCGATAGTGCGGCTCCACGTCGCGCGAGACGCCAAGCACCATCGGGAGCATGCTGGGGTCTAGCTTGCCGCCGGGTATCAGCGGCGGCATCGTCGACATTAGGCTCTGCGCGAGCGTCTGCCGCGGGCCGCTGCCATGCTGAGCAGCAGGCCCCGTCGGCGGGTTGAACGGCCGGCCGTGCGTCGGTGTCGACGCGCCGCCCTGGCCGCTTATGGACTGACTTCGTGGGCCTGTCGGGATCCCGGACGAGCCAACCGGCGTAGAGGGCCCCGGTGAAGGTCCTGGGCGCGTGGATGATTGCGACCAAGCGCCACGATTGCCGCGCGACTGGAACCCGCCGCGACCAGAGGGCACATATCCCCGTGGACCGGAAGGCACGTTTGTAGGACTGGCTGTGTCGGGCATGCCGCTAGATCGTGATGAAGGAGACTCGACTTGGCCACCACCTGATCTTGGGCCGTTGGGCATGATACGCAGTGCGGCAGGACCTCGCGGTGGTGATTTGATCCCGGCGGGCCCATCTCTGCCCGGTCCATCTCTGCCCGGTCCATCTCTGCCCGGTCCATCAACATAGCGTGGCGAATGGTCTCGAGATTTGTACGGCGAGCGAACCCGAGGTAAAGGGGATGCCCTGCCAGAAGCTGGCTGTGACGGAATAGCAGAGGATACGCCCGAGTCTCTCGGAGGCGGTGATCGTCGATAGGATTGGTATCGGTCGTCTCGTCGTGGACCTGGAGATCGTGATCGTGGCCTGAATCCAGATGGCGTCGTCTTTCCTGACGATCGGTCCGGCCCACCTCTAACAAATGGCGAGCGCGAGCGTCTTCTATAGATACAGTCAACAGGCAAGCCCTCGTAGTGTCCATGAGCGCATCGGTATCGAAACTTACCTATCATCTCTGCGATCCAAGTCTCGGTCCCTATTGTCACGCATTCTGTCGCGCTCCCATTCTCTATCTCGACTATCTCGACCTGCGTCTCTCATTCGGTCCCTTGCCCAATCTCGTCCTGGCGATCTCGGGGGCCTGTCTCTGTCAAATCGCATGTCTCGAATCGGCGAGGCCCTTCTAAGGGGACTCCTCGGCGGCAGCGGCGATCGTCGACCGGGCGGCGGCGATCTGTGCACAGGCGACCTTCGCATCGGCGAGCGCGCTGGCATAGGCGTTCGTGACGGCAAAGACAGCAGAGGCGACCGTGTTCTATCCCGTCGTCTGGGGCTGTCGTGGCCACCACGATCTCTCGAGCGATCGCGCCTGAACCCAATGCTTCTGGATCTGCGACGCGGCACGTATCGTCCTGGCACATAACTATCGGAGCCGCCTGGGCCGCTGCCCATGCCTGGGCTGCGCGGGCGCGGGGGAGGGCTGCGCGCTCTTGGACTCCGGGGAGGGCCTCTGTCGCGAGACCGCGCCGGGCTCCTGGCCCGCCTCGGAGATCTGTCACGGGGTGTGGGACGCCATGATTCGCCTGCGCCGTATCTCACGACTTCGCCGTCGTCGAATCTATCGCCGTTCATCAGTCAGTCGAGGTCATGGCGAGTAAGGAGTGTATTGTTGGCAGCGCCTCTTTCGCCAGCGTAGCATTGGCTGCTAGAGATCGCTGCCGCAAGATTCATTGAATAGAGATAAATGAAGCGCTAATCGTTGGATGTGCATACCTTCGACCTCGATCTCTATCTCGGTCCATTGTGACGATTTGTGCGAGCTGCGGGCGAATGTTTTAAATACAGGAGGCAACAAGCTGCATATCTAGTGGAAAATTGCACGTTGAGGGTGACAGCGGCCGTGGCTGGACTGTGCGCAAATCGCCTTGGCACAGTGCCCCACACAGTACACTGCCTCGAACATCACCAGTCGAGGGAAAGAAGCAATTTGCAATTATTCCTAGTACCATAATCCGCATTTGCAAGTGACACCTCGAGTCTAGAACCAAAACCAGGAGTTAACAGAAAATAGCAGAGAATACAAGTGGTCCTCTCCCTGAACCAGAAAGCCAATACGCAGTGCACCAAATCAAGTACTCGAATTTATTGCAGCAACTTCTCATCCTCAGTCGTCTCTCCTCGGGTATCAGCAACACGTTCCAGGATCCATTTTTGCGTCTCCTCCGCATGCGCGCGCATCATCTTATTCAGCCCGGTCGTTTCGCTACGAACCACGGTGCCGAAGCGACGCTTCTGTACCTTACGCGTCAGGTCATGGTCTGACCAGCAGGCATGATTACCGGCAACGTAGACGCGGGAATTGCTCTTGTACCAAGCTGAGAGTTCTGTGTCAATGTCAGATTTGATCGGGCGCAAGCTGCCTGTGACAAAGTTGACGACGCCAGACACTCTGGATTTGCAGTCTGGGAATTGTTAGTACAAAAATGCCAAATTTGAAAAGGGTACAGAATGGATTCACCTCTGTTGATGAGAAGCACCTTGACCCCGAGGTAAGCGTCTCCAACACCCATCAGGAATATTTCCTCGGCGTCACTGAGTTGGAGAAAGTTATCCCACAGATAGCACATCAGGGACTGCATCTGCTCCTGGATTGCCCGCTCTTTGTAGCCCGGGATGTAAGCTTCCATATCCGCATCCTGCGATACGTAGGCCGGAACATTGACATCCATGACTGCAAACTTCTGTCCAACGGCCCAGTCGATATATTGTGTGACGCCATCCACCACCCAAGAGTTGTGGCTCTGTAGAGATCCATCAAGGACGTCAGGCTGCGCTAGCAGCTGTGGCGGATCGTGGATGATGACCAATAGCCGCCTAGCATCTTGTAAATCTGGAGTTACCAATACTTGATTCTCAAAGGACTTGGAAATTTGATCGCGCTGCACGTATAGCGGCACCATGTTATGCTTGGCCTGCAGAGCCTGCTGCTGCGCGCTGCGAATGACATCATGAAGACGGTTTCCATCGAGCGACTGCGTTTCCGGTACATTGACGATACCGGGACGCATGCATTCCCAGTAGGGAGCTTGGTGAGCCTGGACTTTAGCTAGAGTTCGCGCGGCCTCCCTGTTGATCATGGGAACCTTCATGCGCGGCGGCGGCTCGCTCATCAAAGTCCGTGCAACAGCTACTGCCGAGTTTGAAATAGCCTGCAAGTTGTAGCCGCCCTCGAGGCAAACAGCGACTTTGCCATCGGCCAAGGACATGAGCATATGGGTCATGTGAGCGTAGCATGATGGTGTGACGAAGCAGCCTCCGAGCTCGTCTCCGTCGGCGGCGTCAAACCCAGCCGAGATGACAACTAGGTCAGGGTCAAACTCTTTAGCTATGGGCATGACGATTTTTTCAAAAGCGGCCATATATTCTCCATCTCCCATACCCTGATCGTGCCACCCAATATTGATATTCTTTCCAAGACCTGGTCCAACGCCACAGTTTTCGATTCCCCCGTCAGGAACATTGGGATCAGGCGACTTTCCAGGATAGAAGGCGCCGTTTTGATATACGTGAATGGAAATGTAGAGAACATTCGGGTCGTCGTAGAAGATGTTTTGGACACCGTTACCGTGGTGCACATCCCAGTCCAGGATCAAGACCTTGCGGCAGATGTCAGGATAGTCTTGCTGACAGACACGCACCGCCACAGGTACATTATTAAAGAAGCAGAAACCCATAGCCTGATCGTACTCTGCGTGGTGTCCCGGCGGCCGGATAACTGCAAAGGCATTCTTGACTTGGCCTTCGATGATATTTTTGCACGTGTCGATGGCGCCGCCAGCAGAAAGCAAAGCAGCAGGGTAAGACATGCTACCCACATACAGCGACTCCCGCCCTTGATCAAACTGTCTAGTGAGTGCGCGGAGTTCGGCGGAACTCAGCTTATCAATGCTTTCGACCCACGACAAGTGCTCGGCGGAATGTGCCAGACAGATTTCGTCTCTCCGCGCTGGTCGAGCAGGGATCCTCCACATATACTTTGTAGGGGACTCTTTAATGATTCGGGGCAGCTCTGATTGCGGGCCGGTGTAGACGAGGCCCATCTGCTTGAATGCTTTAAAGATTTCGTGAATGCGCCTGGGATCTTCCGGATGGTGGGTGTTAGGGCTAAAGTCTGCGTTCATATGAAGTTTCATGCGGTCATCATAGCAGCATCCTGTGGGAAGCAGGCCACGACGACGAAGAAGCTCCAGAGCGACGGAACTCTCATCAGGCTCACTCTCCGGTTCGTAGTCGGCAGAGTTAGAAGGGCTGCCGTCGCCGTCGGCTCGGGTGCTAGCAGAGCCATTCATAGGCTCAGCTTCCCCCATGGGGTGATCATCACCCTCCATCCTAGCTTCAGCCTTTTCCGTATCCATCTGTTCCTAGAAAGGGCCGGAGACGGAAGGGCGGGCGAAATTTGCTGCCTTGGTCAACAGTATCGCGCCTCTGTAGCAGACTCATGCAAGCCAGCTGCCCTTTGTATCTAGAATACGACGTCAGCACTATGCTTATGAACCATGGTAGAAAATGCTTGATAGGTATATCATAGAATCCGAGTAAAAGCAATATGAGCGACTACTGCTGATGCATCGGCTCTTGGTCGTGGTACCAAAACAAAGTTTGCTAATGCTGATGCCCAGAGAGAAGCAGTCGACGCAGAGTCGCATCGCGCAGCTATACAGGCCAAGATCCAGGAGCAGAGATGTAAAAACTGCATTTATTTCCAAAATATCGAGAAACATGACTTTGGGAGATTGTGACGGGGAAAAGAGGGCACGTCAGGCCGCATGCATATCATACCTATGAAAGAGGTTGCAGGGCGCTACCCAGCGACGGCCGTCAAAACCGCGCGACGGCCAATTGAGATGGTCAATAGGAGTTGAAAAGAATCGCGATAGAAAGTTCTTTTCAGATGCAAAGGCGGCGGCAACGATTTCGCTGGGACGCTCTGGCTTGCGGCGCAAACGCTCAGGATAAGACGTAACACGAGGGATGGGGTGCGATTGGAGAATGGGTGGCTGACTTGGCCTCGGAGGAAGTAACTTAGCCTTTTAGGCCCTTTAGTTACTGGTGCTGGCTGAGACCACACAGCACCAATACGGGTGGGGGCACCTTCAACACCACTCTGTAAGTTAGCTTTCATGGCAATATGTGGCAGAGACGCCACAAAGGCTTTTATTTAAGACAGTTTTTAATAGTTTCTATAAGAGATGGAGTGGTCGAGCTCGATGTCATGGGTTGTAGATGCAGAGGTGTTATACAACTACAACGCACTTCAATCTTCAAACACCTCGGCCCGGTTACTGCAACACATCACAAAGAAATTATATTACACAATAAAAGACCGAGAACAAAATAAGACTACAGGTTTTGAAAACAAGACCATTCTTGTATATCCGCTTTTTGAAGCTCTTATTGTCTTGTTGAAGCATACGCCGCCGCGAAGCATCATACTTATACCACCAGTACTCGTTGCCTACAAGTCAGGCAACAGCCACCATGATTTCAGAATTAAAGAATCGTCTCAAGTACATGAAAAGGCTGCAACGTAACATGGACGGAAGGAAGCGCGCGCGAACGCGAAAAATGACGAGAATCGCGGCGGCCTATTGTCTCGTGATGCCCATCCATAAGTTGAGGAGTCTGAGCAAGGACAAGACAAGAGCACCAGGGCTAAAAAAGGGCTTTCGGCACCTCGAGCGCTTCGTCATTCTATGTAAGTACAGGCCAGATCTTCGGAACCAGCCTTCTGCTTGTCTCTAAGACGTGATCATGAGCCACTGGCCGCATGCTGACTCCTCTTCACGAAATTAGACCAGACTGGCAAGCTATTGAAACGGGATGATGATGTTGAAGTCAACTCAACAGAACAAAGCACTGATCCTCCCGTATCGGAAGCCCAAGAAGAGGCAATATCTCTAGTACGTTGGTACACTCGCTACCCATACTTCACAAGACTAACCTCAGCTTCTAGTGCCTCGAAAGAGACAATGGCATGTGTGTATTCACCGGGTCGAGTTCAGCGGAAGCCTGTCACATCATCCCTCGCTTACTTCACAGCTCCGGCTCAAAAATTGCGCTTGCAAGCTCGTGTACTAAAGAGCTGTTTCCGAACTACCCTCCGTCAACGGACCTGGCACAATTTCCTGGCGAGGTTGATCCCCTGGACCTATCATACAACATGCTGACTCTGGATCGCATCCTCCGTCAGCGACAGGCGGCTGGCCAGGTGGCCGTTCAGTCGATGGGTACCACAGCAGACGTGAAGGGCAATCGGTTTGGCGCCATTGAGCTCAAGTTGCGGCGGCTCCGTGTCCGTAACAAGTGGCGACCCAATGACAAGTTTGAGCTCACCATCGACAACCTGTCCGACATGCTTGGCCAGGATGGGTCCCCATCGTCAAGCGACGCTGGTCTCCAGGATCGCGATGATTATCCAACGACTGACAGCCGCAGCGTCCAAATCGAGATGCTCAAGCCCTTCCTCAGACACATGGACATGCTTGTCCGCATGCAGCACACTTGTCTTCAGATCTCGGCCATGTCAGGGGCAGCAAACGCGTGCGCCCTCGCGAGGGCCGAGGATTTTGAGGCGGATTTCCAAGGCAGTCCCTTATTCGAAGATATTCTTGACGATTCCGTATCCGAGAATGATTCTAGACGTCGAGTCCTCAGTTGGCTGGAAGACCGACAGGAATAAATTATTTCAAAGACTGCTTGGTCCATGCGTTAGCAGCGCTTAAAAGCAGTATTATTATGCCACTCCTTTTCTCCTGCATTTCTTCATTGAGATTGTATCCAGAGTTAGTAACAGAGGTGTATTGGTGTCATAAAAAAGAAAAAAAACCAGCCTATGCTCGTAACATGGCAGTGTACCCATGTGCTTCAAACACGCTATGCATTTCGTCCTCCAAGAATTCACCATCATCTCCACGCGGAGAGTATCGTGAGAACTGGCGCACCGGTGGCACGCCAGGCGGAAGCGTGCCATCCGCCCTTCCATCACGCCCATACTCTAAGCGTTGCGCTTCCCTTCCGTCACCAAAGTCTAGGATGCCACCTTCGCAGTCCTCTGGAATAATCGGCAGATTATCCAGTAGCTGACGCTCTTCAAGCACGCATCGAATAACGCCCTGGAGCGACTCTTGGTCAAGGTTAAAGGTCGGACGCTGCAGACGGATCTCAGTAATGAGGCGCTTTCGGCTGTAGCTGTAGATATTCTCAAAGTAGTGCATCAGCTCTTCGGGGCTCAACTTGGCATATGTCTTGACGATTCGCGCCCATTTGCTTTGATCGTTCCACATGGCATTGAGAGAATGCTCCCTGCTCACTTGCTCCATCAGCGGCAGGGGATCGCACGACTAGACACGATTCGGTCAGCTCGTTGCGTCTTCATCATTTGACGCTGCTTAGGCTTACCAGCTGGTATGTAGGGTCCAGTCGGGGGCAAATGTAGTGCAAAATGACATCTTTCATTGTCTCGTGCAGATCGAGAAGCTCCATGAGCTCTGCAGTCGAGTGGCGCCGCATTTGGCTTGTCCTCACATCGAGCACAAAAGGCATGGGGTGACCAGCCTGGGGACGCGTCCATTCACCATGGAAGTACGTGCCATAGAGCCACCATCGGTAGAAAGCGCGCCGGAATCTTGGCAGTTCTTGATCATTCAGTGCCCGGCAGTCTGCTGGGTAATAAAACCATCGCATCTGCGGAAAGAGTTGCTCCCACTGGCGGACCAGCCGGCACATGCGCAGGATAGACCCCAAGTCATCCTCCGTCAACATCGCGACACCACTGCTCGCAAGGCCGCAGGCCTTGCGAGTCATTGGGATGGCTTGTCTATTGATTCTTGGGGAGGGATTGGCGCCATAATGCATGCTGTCTATTTGAGGTCCAATCGTGTAGCCGGTATCGCCAGGAAAGCGCTTGAATATGACCGTGCGAGGCTGATAGCAAGTTCGGCTTTTCATGTCCTCATCCGTGGCCGTATAAACTTGGAGCAGCTCGTCAAACGGGCTGAACTCTTTCGACAAGGCTTCGAGAAGGATCATTATTTTGTTCTTGTTGAAAACGCCATGAAAACTCTTGCAAATAAGGGAAAAGTTGAAGATGGAGTCAAGATCCAGATGCGAGAATATGTCTAGCAAGATCTCGACCGGGCAGTCGGTCAGGGCATTTTGCGGGTTGGTATTAGAATGCATGGTTGCGACGTTGCCAAATAGCTTGGAAAGCAACTGTCTGCTGTTTGGGGTTTGTGATGCTACAGGAACGTCTGTACCTGAAGCTTCTAGGTCAATATAGTCTATCGATTTGTTAGATAGGGATGATTCGTGTCCGATTATCTTTGCAAACCTTACGCGGCAACCTGGAGTCCTGAGCCTGGGGCGACTCTAATGAATAGCAAGGCTGAACTATGAGTCAAGTGTCGGCAAAGGGGGAATCACGCCTTTATCAACAGAGTCCAGAAGACGCTGCTGTGAACGGGCACAAGTACGAAGCAGATGTCCCGTAACTTGAGATGGAAGAATACCGAATTCGTCCAGGAGTAAAGCTCAACTCCAAATGTTTCCCGTCTTCCACTTATACAAAATGGACGACAGGAAACGGTGGTGCCTGAGCTCTACAGTCTATACACCCCGGCGTTGGGGCTATAAAAGGAGCATGAGATGTCGTGCGCCATTGCGCTGGTAATAATATGTGATTTGGAAGCTGGCATTACTGCCGGCGGCGCTGAAAGATGCATGACGCAGATTTCTCTTTGCTGATCTTGCAGGCAAGGTGCTGGATGATGAAAGTGAAAGAATACGCGTGGGTAAAATAGGAGACAATTTAGTCCGCAGAAATAATAGGCACCTAAGCAACTGGGAAATTGACGCGGTTGCGCAAACAACTACCGGCTTTTTGCCGGCGCAAAGCCGCATTGGCGTCTCCAATAACATTACCGCAATTCGCAATGAGTAGTAACTAGACTTTGAGTTGGTCAAAATTCGTATTGCACATTTGCGAAATAAGCTAATTCACAGTTTACATCTTCTTTTCCCGACAAAAGCATTGCAAAACGCCAACGCCGCAAATGAAATGCAAAAGGTAGTTTATGCAAACAACTTTCTCTTATCCAAGTCGTCACCGGGCATTATCTGTTTGCTTCCGTTGGTTCGCAGACCAAGATCCGACTTGCGTGACAATCTTCCAACCGTCTGCTCGACCCTGGCGTTGTGGCGACTGGCCTTGGACCTGCGCAGGTCGGCGCGGACCTGGTTCGGCGAGACAAATTGCTTGTTCTCATAGATTATGGGCCCGCCAAAGGAGCCCTCTTGTATCACGATCGGGGTGAGGACGAATCGGGGTCCGATTTCCACAAGGCTGATCTCGAGGTTGTTGCCGGTCGCGGCGGCCTTTTTGCTCTTCTTCTTGGCGTCCTTGGCGTCGCCCTCAGAATCGAGAAGGGAACCTTCGCTCTCGTTTATTTGGTAGTTGCGGATCCAGATCTTGCCGTCGACAACGCTGAAGCCCATGACATGATCGATGAAAGGCTTGGATTTTCTAGCACCCTCCGGAACGCCGAATGTGTGGAAGAACAATTCTTTGATGACTTTGAGATGCGGCTCGGAATCGAAGGCGGCATCGAAAGAGAGGAGAGGCCTCGAGCCTTTTAGACAATTGCCGGTAAAGTGTAGCTCCTCCATGGTGTGCACTGCGTTAGACCCATTAGTTTGCTGCCATTTGAGTACACAACGCTATGCCACTCACAATTTTGCAGATGGAACTTGACGGTAGGTCCATTGGGAACTTTGCTTAGCCAGATATACAAATCCTGCCCTTTTCGCGCCTCAAAAAAGAGAACATTGTTGCAGTTGTACAACTCGGCGAGCTCGTTGAGCTCGTTCAGTCGCGATTTGGAGTCGAATTTGGCGTCTTTTCGACCATGAGGAAGCATGGTTGCAATATCGTTCAGAAGATGGCGATGCCTAATCACTGTTGTGAGCCAGGTCCCATGCGAAAAGTCGAGCGCGCAGCGAGGGAAAAACTCACCTATATGTTACGCCGCGAGACGACAGAATCAACACTCGCTGCTTATTCTTTTTGGGGTGAGAAGAGGGAGCATCCTGCTTTTGGGCGCTGCTCTTGGAAAGCGACTTGTAAACGGCGGCCATTGTGTACTGTACTTTGTCGCAAAGTAATCGGCGAGAATGTGGTCTCTCGAGTAAAGGCTTCGCTTCAGAATAGTTTGTAGGCTCACTGCCAAAAATTTTAGGCGGAGCAAGACTTTCTCCGGCCGATAAGACTTTCTTATCGTAACGCGGGACTACCTAACCTTCATCGCTACATACGAGTGGCACAGTGGGTTTCTGGGCTGTCAAGTATCTGGTACCTCACTTTGTCGACCCACGACCGGTGATTTGCTAGTAGCGAGTACCTCTCTCCTGACCCTCCATAGTCGCACAGTGTTTGGCTAATCTGGCTCTAAAGCGGTCTGAGTGAAAGTTGGCGGCGCCGGGAAAACGTAGCGAGGCACAACGATGGTAAATAGTGGTGAGTTTGACAATCGGATTTGATTTGGCATTAGAAGTTTCATTTTAGTTACGAAAGGCGTGGTAGCAATCGTCAAACGCATCAGAACTTGGACAACCATCAAAAAACAAAGGAAAGCCAAAGTGACTGCGCCTTCTACTTGAACAAATTCGAAATCAACGCGGCTGCATTCCCTGGGCAGTACGTCCAAATTTCCATACACGGCGTAATATCATGAGCGCACCGCGGCGAATCTTTTGGTATCTAGGACAAGATATCGAGCTGTGTATCAGGTTTAGCAGCACTTGCCGCCCTTGGACGCATCGTCGTCCGCGGGCTTGCTCAGCGAAATGTTGGTTCCGGCACCGATCGTGGCCTGCGCTCCGTCACCACTGTCGAGAGCCTTGCTGGAAACGATGCGGTAGATTTCTGCAGGTAGAGGGTTAGCTTGCACGTCGCCATGGCGAGAAACTATCGGTTCCACGCACCAGTGAGAATGTTTTGGAAAGCAAGCTCGACGTTGCTGGCATCGAGGGCAGAAGTTTCGATGAAGGACAGGTGGTTTTCGCCTGAAAAGGGAGGTCAGCTGGGCCGATGTGGCGTAAAGGAAGACAGAGGGATCTAGGTCAGCATACTAGCAAACGCCTTGGCTTCTTCGGTGGGAACAGCTCTCAGATGTCGCAAATCGCTTTTGTTGCCGACAAGCATGATGACGATGTTGGCATCAGCGTGGTCGCGCAGCTCCTTTAGCCATCTCGTGACATTTTCGTATGTTTGATGTTTGCTGATATCGTAAACGAGGAGCGCACCGACGGCGCCGCGGTAGTAGGCTGAGGTGATGGCACGGTATCGTTCCTGACCAGCAGTATCCCAGATTTGCGCCTTGATGGTTTTTGAGTCAACCTGGATAGAGCGCGTGGCGAACTCGACACCGATGGTGGACTTGGAGTCGAGGTTGAACTCGTTGCGGGTGAAACGGCTGAGAAGGTTGGATTTACCAACACCAGAGTCTCCGATCAAAACGACTAGACAGGAGCATGTCAGTGGCGATGCGCCGGGGTAGAAACTATGGCAGCCGGTAGCTGCGGAATCGAATCAGGGGAAGAGAGGTTGTTGAGTGCACCTTTGAAGAGAAACTAGTGGGGCGACGAAGTCAGTACGAGCTGCCAAAAGGACGAAGAGCGATGAAGCGAGAGAGGCGAAGCGGGAAAACGTACATCATATTCATCGTTGGCCATGGTTACGGTGTTGCGGCGAGAGTGAGCGGACGTGTATGCAGGCGGTTGCGGTGACGTTGTGGTGTGGATGTGGAGGAGAGAAGTCGCGGCTTTGCAAAGGTCCAGTGGGAGGTCTGGTGCCGAATGGGGCTACCGATGTTGCCTGTGGACGGATATCTGGAGCCTTGGTGGTGGGCAGTGAAGAAGGTTGGAGGGGCAGGAAACGACCTAATCAGAGCCCGAGATGGTGGAGGGTTACCTGTTACAACCCTGAGAATAGCAGAGCCATGCAGAACATTAGCGCCAGGCTGACAGCGCACAGGCAAGAATCAGGGCCAGCGAAACAAGGGCAAGGACTCAAAGAAGGGGGTTTGAGGCGCAAATCGACTCCAGGCAGCGGCTTGTCAAGGGGCACGAGGGGCCTACATGAGGGGGACCGCTGGGACCATTTACAGCGGGTTGGGCGGTTGGGCGTGCGGGCAAAGGAGGTAAGAGGCTTGGCCCCACTACCTTCCTTAGTACCTGATACGCACACTATATCAAGGATAATACCTACCTACGCGCGCGAGGGGTATTTTTTTAGCATAGCAACAATACGCTGTCATGTAAAAAATGTCTTTTTACTGTCTAGTAAGACTATCAGAGCATCTAGCATATGTAGAAGTTAATATAGATGTACTATGACATATCTAAGCGACTTAACAGTATTACTAGATAGCAAGGAGAGATTGCAAACGTAGGGGCTACCTAGGTAGGTAGGTACCTACCTATGTCAGAAAATCCCCCCCTCCCGCGTAGGTACCTACCTAACTATCTCCTTACATGCCTATATTCACTTCGAAGCCGACTGTGCGATTGCGCGTTCCGCCAGCGCCAACCGTGCTTCTCTCCCAGCTTTTGGAATTCCACCATCCTTACGTTGTTAGCACTTGCGATGCCCGAGTTTTCGAGCCGGGCAGCCGGCTACCTACAGTTCATCCCCGGGATCATAGCTATTTAGATGCCTACCTAGAGACAGCCAGCTGCCAGCTAGGACCAGCATTCACTGGCAATTTCATCAAGTCCATTCACCAGCTCCGGGTAGATGTAGCTTATCGACAGAATTTTAACTATACGGTCCAATATCACGAACAGTCACAAAGAAGCCTCACCATTGGTCTACCGTTCTACAGATGTCCAGTTGCCCAGTCCCATCCAACATTTTCACCTCCATCTCTCCAAACAACCCTTCATACTGCGTGGTTCCCATTCATAGCAGGAAACATTTCCATACAGTTTACTTTACCGCCCAAAAACTACTCAGCCTGTGCTGTTGTACGCAAGTGGTTGTCTCGTCTGCATTGACCTCGCGCCGTGATACGCGCCAATGACACCGTCCCCCGTTGCACAGCAGCTACAGACACGTGCTGCGAATAGCAATTGTTTTACAGGGCATTTTCCCGGAGTGAGTGCACATAGATTCGGTGCAATTACTTATCCCGGCATGCTCATTTGCAACAGGGACCAGGCTTGTTCAAGAGCAGTGCAGCTTGGCATCTTACTTCCAGCAGTTCGCAGATGCGCCGCGTTTGTAACCATTTTCTCAACAATTGATAGTGGTTCGTCTATCCTCGATGACAGTTACCTAGCCACCATGTGTTGCGATATCACAAGTTGTGGCACCATTGGACATTCATCACGAAATTGCACTTCAGCGAGCGCCCCTCGTCTTGACTTCGGCAGCGCTTCACGCGAGCTGTCACTAAAAACACAATAGGTGAGACTTAGTTTACCGGGCAATACTGTCTCGACACGAGATACTGTAGCACACATTCACCGCGGCAAGTTTTATCGGACATATATATAAGATGCAATGCTAAAATTTGAATATTATGTTTGTATGGTAGCTCAATCCATCGACTTGGGAACGTCTGGGTCTTATTTGGCCTCGAGCTCGTGACAGAGGCAAATCTAATGCCAAAATCATAATTTTCTTGAGAATTGCCATTCTGAGAAGTTTTGATCAGCCACAAGGTGGTGGGCGTTCGGCGTGTAGGCCCGTTGGCTGGGTCCTCGGAAGTATAGGCCTCAGCCAACCTATCGTCAGGATCACTGGTTCGTTGCTGAACTCTCACCGATTTTGTCTTGGGAGAGAGGAAAAGAAAACCGGCCTAGGAAGATCTTTTAATGATACTTTGGTCTTTGCATCCCAAGACAAACTACCGGCAGAGTCGATTTACACGGTATAAACCCGGTTGCGATGACGACTCTGTAGCTACCAATTATGCGGTAGACGGGAAGACCTAATGTATGAAATACCTTCAGAAACACATAAATGAATTAAGAGTCTACAGAAGCCTCGTCTTTCTTTTCCGTCATTTCTAGTGACAAAGCAACGTTTGCCCAACCTAAGTAATTCCAGGGCAGCCAAGCCAGACTCGTCACGTGACTCAAACTCCTCTGGACTTCCGTAGCCGGAATTTGCCAGAGTGGGGAGATTTGCACAACGTCAGTTCCTCCCTCACCTTCGCAACAGCGTAAAGGCACCCTGCATCCTCGCTCGAGCAGAGTCCCTACCTCTCTGGCCACTGAAATCTCTGCTTTGCTTCGTTTTGGAGTCATACTTCACTGCGCTGCATTTTCTTGTGCCAAGCAGTTGTTTGCGCCGCCGCCGTCTCTAGTCTGGCTGCCATCACACACCATGTTAGATTTGTGCGTCTCTGCTACAGCTGTCATTTTCGCAACAACCCCCTAGTGGTACGTTCTCATGCCATCAAATCGGCCTGGCGATCTTCTGTGTACATTTTGGAAACGTGCCCACCTTCATTGCGCTGCGCTTCGGTGATGCGCCAGCACGACTTGCCACGCTGCTACGACGACAACTCGCAACTAACGCAGTCTGTTCAGTACATCACACACTCGGCACAACAATTTCGATACAACCATGTCATTCTTCGGTTTCGATACAAGCGGTCACAACGCTGCTGCGCCGGGCTTCTCTCAAGCTCATGATCCCTTTGCTGGTCTCTCCGGTGGCAATACCGGTGCCGACGATGCACTTGACTTTGAAGATACTTACGATGGTCTTGGCGATCAGCTTGACGATGCTGACGATGCATTCAACGACGACACCTTCGGCGGTGACAGTGGTGGTGGTGATGTAGTCGCAGCACCGAAGGTTGGCAAAGACTTCGACTTCTTCGGTCAGACTGCCAAGGTTTCCGATGCAATTGAGGAAGAGCACCTCCGTTTCAACCGCCAGCAACCGACCGCCAGGTCTAATGTTCCTCAGGGTCACACTGCTCAGCCTCCCTCTGACCCTCATCTTGCTCCCCAGCAGCAACAACAGCAGCAGTACCAGCAGCAATACCAACATCAGCAGTACCAACCAGAACAGTATCGTCAAGCGCCTGCCCGCACTGGCTATGAAAAGTATCATGTTGCAGAACCCATTCCGGATCTACATGTCGACCAGAGCATTTGGGGCATTGGCCCTCCCAAGGCCGCTCCTGCTCCCGAGACGTCATCAAAGAGCCGCAAAATTCTGAGCCTGGAAGAGGTTGAGGCGGCTATGCGATCTGAATCCAATCCTGCCGCTCATGCGCAGCAGCCCGCTCCCGCCCAGCAGTCTACTCACGTATACCCACAGGCGAATACCGGCTACTACCCCGGACAGCCGCAGATGCCTCCTTCCCCGGCGCAGTATCACCAACAAGGGCCTCCACAAGGGCAGCCTGTTACTATTCTTCAGCGCCCTCAGTCTGGGCAGGAGCCTCCTCATCAGCGCCAGATTCTTACCGAGGAACAGTTCCTGCGCCAGCACGCCCATCCGACACAAATACTGCAGAACCCAAACAGGCTCTCCGGTGATGCTCAGCGTGCCGCTTTTATTGGTCAACAGCATGGAAGAACCCCCAGCGGTCCCGGCCCTATGCAGCATTTGTACAATCATCCTCAGCTTTCTGGCATGTCCGAGGATGAAAAGGCAGCCTTCTTGGATCAAGAAACCAAACGCGCCAAGCGCAACCACAAGATTTGGCTTCTGTCGAAGGATAATGGCGTAATGACTCCTCAGGACAAAAACTTTATCACTCGCATCCAGCTGCAGCAGCTAATTGCTGCTACCGGTAACCCTGCTGAGCAGTCTGGCGACACTTCTATAGCTGAGGACTTTTATTACCAAGTCTACAGCCACATCCGTGCCGGACAGAGACAAAATCCTAGCCAGCCTCTTAGCAACTTTGCCCAAACTTACCTGTTTCAGACTGGCAGCCGCCACGGACCGCGTCGGCACGGCCGCCCGGCTGAGAACCACATTCAGCGCATGGAGCAACAGGTCCAGAGAGCTGTCGAGGCCGCCAAGAACAAGCCCAAAAACCCCCAGCTGGTGATTGCTGGTAGTCTTGGTAAAATTTCGTTCAGCAACGCCAAGACTCCTAAGCCTCTCCTCAACATTCAAAGAAAGGAGACTGAGTCCCCTCGGCCTACTACCGGTCGAAACCCTGATACTGGCCCCAACCGCAAGACCATTCTGCGTAACGTTGAGCGTGTCTATGATACTCTCATGAAGCTCGAAGACCACGTCAGAGTCCTTCCTCCTCCCAGCCATGGCCCTGCCGAGCCCGAGTTGGAAGCGAGGCACCGCGAATGGACTGCCGAGCTTGAGGCTCTCAATGGCAAACTCTGGGAAGAGCTCAAGGTTCACGAACCCATTGGCGCTACCGTGCCTCACCCTTTCATCGCCTTCTTATCTTGTGCTAAAGGTAAGAAGGCCATTCCTCGCATCTTTCCCCATCTCAGCTTCGAGCAGCGCACTACCATCTTAACTATGATTGTGTACCACCTTGATCAGCTTGATGTGGTTCAGGGAGCCGCTGTTACCGATGACGATACCACTCTCAACTCGAGAATGCGCGAGAATATTGAGCTTTTCCTTTCGACTGTCATGCCATCACTCATGCAATACTTCAACGATACTGGTCTAGATATCGTCGATGGCGTTCTCAACCTGATTGCCACCAAGCTGAACCTGGATCTGATCGCCAGAACACGCATTGGTGTCTCTATGCTCACTCTGATTCTGAGCCGATCTGTTCTGCTCAAGCAGACCAATGCTGGAAGCGCCGAGCAATGGGAGAAGTGGGAGCAGACTTTTGATATCCTTTTCGGGCGTCTTGAGTCCTCGCTTCCCTACATGTTTCCGGGCAGCGTTAACGCCGGCATTGACGTCTATGTATGGCAGTTCCTTGCTGCTATGGGTGTCAGTGCGAACCACGACCAGCAGACGCGCCTGGTCCTGGCTGTCAAGGACCGTGTCCTCGACACCGTCTCCTTGTCCAAGACTCTGCCACCTGCCATGGCCACTGAGCGCCTGGCCAGTGTCAACCTGTTCATGAGAGCCATTGGCCTCGATGTGGAACTCTTGCAGTGAACTGCATTACATGTTCTGATATGTTTTCACACGTACACGTTTTTGATACAGCACTCGGGCGCACAGAGAATTTTTTTTTTTTTTTTGACATGCTTGGGATCAAACGGAGAAAGCTTGGGCTGGACAGAGAGTCCCCTCGGGCTTTACTACACCTATGTTTGACTGCCCTGCACCTCCTTTACGAACCATACGGCCGTGACGACGACATTTGCACTTCCTTTTGACGATACTGCAGATAATGGCGAGATGTTTTAGCTGGTCGAGGGCAAAGAGAGATTTTGAGTGTTGGTTACATCATTTTTTCGGCTGCTTCGTTTTCATTTGGTCTTTGGACTTGCGTATCTATCCTTGCGTATCTTTCATATTGGGGAACTGAATCGAGAGTATGATCGCCAGTTTTCTCTGCAGAGTTGTATCATATGAACCGGGCTGGAATGCAAAGAAAGAGCATGGAGACGAACGTCAGCGAGACAAGAGTGCTGCAGCTAATGGAAAGGCTGTAGATTGAACAAGTCTACGCACTTGTATTGTCTTTCGTAACGATTCTTATCGTCACGATTTCCTCTATAATTTTTTTGCTTACATTATTCATCTAACAAAACCTATACAGACGGGAATAAGGAAATCAAAGTCGAAGGCAAAATGTCGTTTTTTTGTCCACAGTGACATGTCCCGAAAGGCTTAACATCTTTTCATGTATTCATATGCAAATGTCATCATTTCGCTACCATTGCACCGAGGAAAACAGTATATACAACGAATCTATTCGCCGCCGCATGACCCCAAATCTACTTGGCCCTAGTCGTACGCTTGGCCGTGCCCAACCCACCACCGCCTCGAGGAGCTCTTTTTGGCCTCCTCGTCTCTTCCGCCGCCGCCGCCGCCGCGGTCTGCGCCTCGGCCGTCTGCTTCTCCTTGGCGTCCAGCTTCGCTTTTGCCTCGGCCGCCTTTGCCTCTGCCACCTTGGCCGGAGGCGGCACCATAACGACGGGCTCCGGCTTCTTGATGCCGCTGACGGCCTCGAGTAGCTGGTCGCTCCCCCACTTGGACGCAAAAGTCGACACGGCGCCTTCTAGCGATTCTTGTGGCGGCGGCAGATCCTCGGCCGCCTTCTTCTTGCCTGACGTCGTCTCGGTGGCTGTTGTGTTATTGTTGTGCTTGGCGTTGAGGAACAGGCTCTCGTTGTACACCTCCCACGCGGCCTCTTCGTTTTCGTCGGTGTAGCGCATCTTGCGCCAGGGCTCGCCCTGCACGGAGCGCAGGCGGTCGGCAATCGTCTCCGTCGTCACCGTCTCGCCGTCGGCCGTCGTCTTGATACTCATGTGGATGGCGCGCGGGCCGGGACCGCCAGCCCCGGGACCGCCGGTGCCTCCGGCGCCACCGGAGCCTGTTCCGCCCGCACCACCCGCACCGGCTTCCTTGGCCGCGGCCTGACGCTCCTGCTGCGTGGCGGCGTCGAGGTGGTGCAGCTGCGGCCGGAGGTGCACTAGTGACGAGACGGGCGTCAGGTGCAAATCATCTACCACCAAAGAAAAACAAAATACGTTAGCAACAGAACCATCGGACATCGCCGCGTGTGTAACCTCATGTTACGAGGAAGGAGAGCAAAACGTACTGCCTTGAAAAACCCCAACCATGTACTGCACCTCGTCCGCGTCCGGGTACTGCCCTCCCAGCGTCTGCGTCCTCAGCACCTTGTCCTGCCGAATCGCCTCATTCCAGTCAATCAGATCCTCCGCATCCACCTCGTTCCTCCTCCGCCCAGCAGCAGCAGCACCGCTCCCGCGCTGCTGCACCGCGCCAAAGCCGAATCCACCCGCGAGGCCATGGCTGCCGCCATTCTTGGCCGCCATCGACGTCTGCAGCGTGCGTCCCCAGCGCAGGCCCTTGTCGCGGTCGTACGCCTCGTTGTAGTCGAGCGGCATGTCCACCTCGACCATGCCTGACACGGCCTTGAGCCGCAGCTCCGAGGGAGGCGCCCGCGCCCCGCCGTTCTCGTCGGTTCGGTTCGGCTGCTGCAGCACCAGCAGGCGGCGGCCCAGCGGCAGCGCGGGGTTCAGGAATACGGGGTACGAGGCGGTGATGGGATCGTCGTCGTCGGCGGCGCCGGGGCCGGCGGAATCGTCGTTCATGTGGGCGGTTTCGGCGCGAGGAAAGGGCGCGGGAGGCGCGTCAGGAATGTCGACGTCAATGGCATCGTCGCCGTATGTGGTGCTCATGACGAGCGGCGCTGGTGAGGCTTCGCCCTTGAAAGTATTCTCCAGTGGATTGCGCTTCGATGAAACTGATCTGTATCTCTGATTTCAAATAGTGTGCTTAGAGATTGATCAAACGTGAGTGTTCTGTGAAAGAGTGAAAAAAAGTTGCTGGTCCAAGGTGAAGCCAGAAAGTTTGGGTAGAACCGACACTCATGGTGGGGTGCTCTTTTGGAGAAATTTCGAGCTCTTATCTTATCGCCTACCTACAACCTCGACATTTGATACAGCGCTCTGTCACAAACTGTCTGGAATTATAAGAACAAATATATTTGTGGTTTGAGAATCACTTTTTAAATACTTAGAGCTCTTTCGATTTTGATTCGCCGCTAGGCATTGGATATATGGATATAATTCTGCGCCACTGCGCTATGATCGTTAAAACTTTCCCGTCACCCCCAGACTCCAAATCCATATCTTTTCTATCAATTATGCTACAACTTTTCATGTCTATTTCTTTTCCTCTAAAGTCAGCTTGGAAACATCAGCAGAAGCGGTTGTTTCATTCGCCTTCGTGTCGGCGGCCCCAGCCTTCTTAGCTGCCTTTCTTTCCTTATCAGCAAGCTTCTTGGCCTTCTTTGCTGCAGCCTTCTCAGCGTCGATAGCCTTCTGCCTCTTCAGCTCTTCACCACCGTAGGCATCACGCCACTCATCAAGCTTGGCAGCAGGGATGATGGAGAACAGAGGCTCAGGAGTGCCAATCTTGTGACCAACTGGAACGGCGACGAAATCAAAGACATCAGGAATAAACGGATCAGGCTTCTGGCCAAGCTGTTTGAAGATGGACTCCGCCGTAGTGGGCATGTAGGGGTACAGAAGGCCAGCCAAGAGGTGCACGTGGTTAATGGCAACATTTATGACCGCGTTGCAGCGCTCGGGTTCCTCCACTAGAAGCTTGTTGTTTAGGCCATTGTCCTGGAGGAACTTGTTGCCGAGACCAGAAAGGGAGAGAATGTCGGAGATGCCGCTGCGCATCTTGTTGGCCTCCTGGTGGCCAATATAGGAGGCAAGTATCTGATTAGTTGCCGACTTGTGCGAGTCAATGAGTTCATTGCTGAATGAAGCAGCGGGAACGGTGCTATCCATCTTGGCAACACAGAACTTCAGAGTGCGTTGAATAAAATTGCCAACATTCTTGAGTAGTTCGTTGTTGTTGCCATCGATAAATTCCTCCCATTTGAACTCGGAATCAGCTAGTTCGGGACGACGAGAAAGCAGATACCAACGCCAGATATCCGGGTCGATACCGGTATCCTTGGCGTTGTTGCCAAAGACACCGATACCGCGAGACTTGGAGAACTTTCCATTCTCATAGTTGAGATACTCGGTGGCAGAGATCCTGTGCACCTTGGTCCATTTCTCCTTGGTACCAAGTAACGAGGAGGGGAAAACAATGCTGTGGAAACCAACATTGTCCTTACCCTGGAACTGCATAAGCTGGACATTCTCAGGGTTCTTCCACCACTTCTCCCAGTTCTTGCCGTCACGATTGTTACCATCGGTATATGTCTTTGTGATGGAGATATAGCCAATGCAGGCGTCAAACCAGACGTAAAAAACCTTGCGAGCATAATCCTCGACGTTCAAGCCCTCAACGCTAGGGATCGGGACACCCCATTTAAGATCACGCGAGATGGCGCGAGGCTTGAGACCCTTGTCAATCCAAGCTTGGGTGATGGATTTGGCGTTGCCGCTCCAGCCGTTATCTGCGGTGGTTTTGTACCAGGATTTTAACTGCTCGGCGATATCATCGAGCTTCAGGTACAGGTGCTTCGTCTTGCGGGCCTCGGGGGTTGCGCCGTCGACCTTGCAGCGAGGGTTAACCAGCCAGCCAGTAGCTTTAACTTCATCAATGGCCTCTCCCTCGGGAACTTCCTTCTCTTCGGGCTTGAGAGGATCAAGAATGGAGCCGCAGGCATCGCACTGGTCACCGCGGGCGCCTTTGTCACCACAGATGGAGCACTCGCCCTCGACGAAACGGTCAGCAAGGAAGGTATTGTGAGTCTCGACGGGGCAAAACGGCTGAATGGTCTCATCTTCGTAGATGTATCCATTCTTCCAGAGCTTCGCAAAAATGTCTTGTACGATGTCGGTCTGATGTTCGGTTGGTGTCTTGTCAAAGATGTCAAAGTCGATGCGAAACCAGTCGTAGATGGACTTGTGAAGAGCATGATACTTGGCGCAGAGAGTGGCAGGATCAGTGCCTTCCTCTAGGGCCTTTGTCTCAGTGGCAGTGCCGTATTGATCCTTGATCCCTCGTCAGCGCGGGCTCTTGTGAGCACATGATGCAAGCGTTGAAGTACTTACAGTGCCGCAGACATATAGAGTCTGGTATCCTCTGGCTCTGCAGTAACGTGCATAAAGATCGGCCGACAGAACACTGCCGATGACGTTGCCCAGATGTGGCAGGTTGTTGGAGTAGGGGAGAGCGCTGGTGACCAAGACGTTTCGCTTGCCTTCCACCGGAAGGATGGGCTTTGTGGTGGTTGCCATTTTTAAGCTGCCGTCTTCGGCGTAGGTTGAGTGCGATAACGCTCCGACTTAGAAAGATGCTTTAATGGATACGTCCAGGTGTATTGTCAAGGCAGGATTGGACCGTCAGAAATCAATCAGGTGGATGCAAGGCAAGGTTATAATAACTGCAAAGTCGCAATTGGATGGTGGGGTGAGTCAGAAGAACTTGGAGCGATGGCGGGGTGATGGTACAATATTGACATGCGAGCCCTTTGCCTGGCAAGCAACAAATTTCGTTTAGCTACATAATTGGTCAAGCGGCGCTGCAAGACATGACGCAATATAACTCAAAAACAAATGAGTAGAATTTCGGCTTCTAGTCAATCCCAGATATTTCGGGACCCAATCACTTTTGTTCCAGCTGAGGACTCGCATTTCCACACGAACCCATGGACCAACAAGTAGATGGAGGGGTCCTGGATTTGCTTTAGCGGGGCTATGCACTAATGGAGGCGATCCCGACACGGATTGCTACGAAGCTTCCACAACCTGCAGCGTCGATTTTGTAATCTGAAGAATTATTACATCAAGAGTAGGTATGACGCAAGAGTAACAACTATTGGCTTTTTGCCATATGATATGTCGTAGTTGGACACGGAATAGCTGGAAGAACTGAATATGTACATGGCTTCTACCTGTTCTTCCCTCTGTCTCTGCGACCCGCCTCCAACATCTTGACCTTTTTATTAAATCTGTCACCCATCTCATGGCCACTTCCTCTGGGCCCATCCGTTGTGTCCCGACCACGCTTGCGACTCTTGTCCAGCATTGCGCGAACGTTGGCTCCCTTTCCACCCTCCTTGCGCTTGGTAAGACGATCAATGCGATCCACGCCTTCGCCCAAATCGTGCCACTCCTCGCCACCAAACTGCATGCGACGGCTGCTTCCATCTTGACGAGCCTTTTTGGCTCTGTCCTTTTTGCTTTCCTTGGGCAGACGTGTATAGTTGGTCTCTTCGTATTCGCGGCGCTCCGCCTCAGCCTCGCGATCGGCCGCCGTCTTCGTCCTGCGGCCGCCTTGCACAATGGTGGTGCCGATGCTAGGCTCCGCCAAGGGTGCTGCGGAAAGCTCAGTGCTAACAAACTCTTCCATGGTGCGTGACTTATTGGGCCGGCGATCGACCTTTTCTTTCCGCGCCCCAGTATCCATGACTTGACGATCTCTCTTTGGCGGCCGATAGACCCCGGACGGGGCACCGTCCCTTTGCGCAGGCCGAGCAGTCACATCATCTACCAAGTTGCTAAGCTTGGGAGCCGCTGACATTTTCCTTGGCGCGTTGCCCTTGTTGATATCCTGCTCAGCCTCTGACTCTTCGTCGTCGTCATCAGATCCAGAGCCTGACTCGTCTTCGTCACTCTCGGAGCCTGTCCTGTCGTTGCCCTTGCCATGCTGTTCCTTGGCTTGCTCTTCGCGCTGGGCGTCGTCTGCACTACGGAGGAATCGCTCAATCGAGAATTTGAGCTTTTCCTCTAACGGACGCGCACCTTTTTCGAGGTATAACCGAAGCTCGACTAGTTTTGACCGGACTTCTTCGTTCAATTTTTGATCTATTGATTCGCTCGTCGACGTCTTGTGGTTTCGAATTTTAAGTAGAATGAGGAATACCAGGTTCTCTAGGTAGGACAAGAGCACCTCGTTCTTCACATCCAGTAGGGAGATGCCATCCTTGGGGTGCGCGATTGTAGACAGAGCTGGAGCTGCTTCCTGCGTCAATGACAGCGACTGTGTTAGCTGTTCTAGCAGGGCCGAAAGAGTCTCCGGGGCTGCCATGGTGTTTGATGCGCGAAGAACTCCGGTGCAAATAATATGTAACAATTTTTTGCTAGCAGAGGCCTGTCTCGAAACTTTTTAGCGGGGCGGCGACAGCGGGTCAGACCAACACTGATCGGGTTGTCTTTGAATGAAGGAATGAAAGCGTATACCCATTCAATAGCTGCGTATATGACAAAGCTGAACTTGGATGCTTCCGAAATGTGAAATGCCAAACTATCTTGAAGCATGATTATATCCCACTCGGTCATCTTGATGAGACGTTACGTGTTTGTTTTATCGTGTTGCTTGCATTGTCTGTCACCATTGCCCTTATGTAAGCACCCATGGTACGCAACCTACACCATCCTGTCCTAGCGTCTTTGAGCTACTGCAACGTAGCCGTATGAACCACCTTGGCAAGCTCCTTATTGACCTCTACGTCTGATCGCGTCACGAGCTATTGCTGACAAGAACCTTTGCCCAGCAGCAAGCCATCCGCCGGAACATCTTCTCATTGTACGAGCGCAGCCGACAGCACCTTTGACACTTTTTCGGACACTTTTGCTCGGTGGCTAGCCTCGCCCTCTACCGCTTGAGCGTACACTGCGCGGCGCACTGCACATCTGCCGACGACAGGCCTTGACATGGTATAAATCGACGACATAGACGACCATGTACTTCACAGCAGCTGCGCCCTCGGCGCTACTGGCGACCTTGCTCGCCGCACCACAGCTCGCGTCCGCCTTCTACCTACCCGGTGTCGCCCCGACGTCATACAAGGTCGGCGATTCGGTGCCCCTACACGTCAACAGCATCAAGCCCATTGCCGGCCCCCAAGATGCGCGTCTGCACTCCGTCGTCTCGTTTGAGTACTACCATCCCGGCTTCGGCTTCTGCAAGCCGGAGGGCGGCCCCGAATATGTGTCGGAGAGCTTGGGCAGTATCCTCTTTGGCGACCGAATCATGACTTCCCCTTTTCAGCTGTCGATGAAAAAGGAGGAGACGTGCAAGCAGCTATGCGAGGTTGAATATTCCGCAAACGCGGTCGAATTTCTACGAGACCGCATTTTCGAGGGCTACAGCCTGAATTGGCTCGTCGACGGCCTGCCGGCCGGCCAGAGGATCGAGGATCGCCTCACGGGCACCTCCTTTTATAGCCCGGGTTTCTTCGTGGGCGGCTTTGACGAGGCGGACAATGTTGTGCTCAACAACCACTACGACATCTTTGTCGAGTATCACGAGGTCGGCGGCAACGCGAACCAGCTTCGTGTGGTCGGTGTTCGCGTCGAGCCCAGCTCCAAAAAGTACACCGGCGAGGCCGACTGCAAGGATGGGCATGCCTACCTGATCTTGCCCGAAAACGGCTCGCAAAAGGTCAAGTACAGCTACAGCGTGTTCTGGGAAAAGTCCCCCACGGCCTGGGCCACGCGATGGGACAAGTACCTGCACGTCTTTGACCCCAAGATTCATTGGTTCTGGCTCATTGACACTGCCATCATCGTCGTCATTCTCGTCATGACGGTCATGTCCATTCTCATGCGCACGCTCAAAAAGGACATTGCGCGCTACAACCGCCTTGATCAAATTAACCTGGACGACTTGAGCGGCACTTCTGCGTTGGAGGATGGCGTACAGGAAGACTCTGGCTGGAAGCTGGTTCACGGTGATGTCTTCCGCAACCCTTCGCATCCTCTTCTTCTTTCCATTTTGCTCGGAAACGGTGTCCAAATCTTTGTCATGACCGCCAGTACCATTGTATTTGCGCTCTTGGGCTTTCTCTCACCCTCCAACCGAGGATCTCTCGGCACTATCATGATCCTACTGTATACCATCCTCGGCTCTGTCGGCGGCTACGTATCTGCGCGCGTCTACAAGGCCATGGGAGGTGAGCAGTGGAAGTTGAACATTGGCTTGACACCCTTGCTCGTGCCCGCCATTGTATTTGGTACCTTTTTCCTCCTGGATCTCTTCCTGTGGGCCAAGCAGTCGTCCGGTGCCGTGCCCTTCACGACGATGCTGGTGCTTCTGGGCATTTGGTTCATCATTTCCATTCCCCTCTCTTTTGCTGGCTCTTGGCTCGGCTTTCGTAGCGCCAAGATTGAGGCACCCGTCCGCACAAACCAGATTCCGCGCCAGATTCCTCCCACGACGACCTACCTCAAGCCCATCCCCAGCATGCTCATCGTAGGCCTGCTCCCATTCGGCGCCATCTTTGTCGAGCTGTACTTCATCATGAATTCGATCTGGTTCAGTCGAGTCTATTACATGTTTGGCTTCCTCTTCCTCTGCTACTCCCTGATGGTGGTTGTTTGCGCCACGGTAACGATCCTTCTTACCTACTTCTTGCTCTGCTCCGAAAACTATCACTGGCAGTGGCGCTCGTTCCTGGCCGCGGGCATGAGCGGAGGCTACATTTTCCTCAACTGTCTGCTCTACCTCATCACCAAGGTGAAGCTGGGCGGATTCGCCGGCACGGTCCTATATATCGGCTACAGCGCGCTTATCTCGTTCCTCTTTTTCATCCTGGCTGGTAAGTTGACTTGTGCATCATCCTATACCAGAGAGATTAACTAACATTCCGCAGGCTCCATCGGATATTTTGCTAGTTGGTGGTTCGTCATGAAAATCTACAAGTCCATCAAGATTGATTAAAGATATGCGCAGCACCCATGACGTAAAGAGTCGCCTGCGAAGAGGTGGAAAGGAACAGAGACGCATCCGGCTAGAATTTGGTAACATGTCATTATGAAGGCCAGCGCGGCATTGACCACTGTTTCAAGAACTTAAATCTTTGATCTATTATTCAGTTTGTAAAATACAAAAGCCAAATTCCTTGTTGCCTGTCCTGTTGGCATCCTTGGCCATAATTGCTCGCTTATGAAGTCTAAAAGAGACCCTTGTCTAGTCGTCATCATCGTCATCGTCCAAATCATCCAGATTGGTGAATTGGAACTGCTTCTTCTCGGGGCCCTTGGGCGCCGCACCTCCCGGCGCGTCGGCCGCGCCCGCAATGACGCTCGCCCTGCGCCATTCGTTCTGCTCCTTTTCCCTTTGACGCTCACGCTCTTGCCGCAGCCGTTCTCTCTCCTCGCGCATGATTCTGTCGCGCTCCTCTTGCTCCCTTGCCTCGCGCTCCTCACGCTCCTTGCGGTCCGCCTCCTCTTTCCGTTTGCGCTCTTCCTCCGCGACAGGATCGAAGCCCCGCGGATCGATACCCTTCTCGACGAGGATCTGATTGGATGCCAGAGATCCGGACCGGATCTTGTCCTCCTGCGGCCACGGGAAGAAGACCTGGCCCGAGAGCGGATTCAGGTACTGCGCCATGGGTTCCGGCAGGCTCGTCAGCAGCGAAGGGCCCGAGGAGCTGCCCTGATGTGGATGCTGGGAAGAATGCTGTAGAGAGACGCCATGCGTACCGCCCACGCCATTGATGGCAGCTGGGCTTTGCGTCGGTAGAGGTGTGCTAGTGGCTGGCGTCGCAGCAGTGGCTGGTGTCGCGCCGGCTGCAGGTGTTGTCGCCGCGGGCGTCACGGCCTGGGACTGAGATTCACCCACTGTGGGGCTCTGCAAGCCGGATGGAGGGAAAGATGCATTTATCGTGGCGGCTGGTGGCATTGTCGTTTTGCTGATGCGCCGCGCATAGCTGAGTAGTTCCTCGTACACAATGGGGTAGTTGGGGCTGGAGGGAAATTTCGTAGTATGTGTATTGACAATATCTCGGCGAGTATTGGAAAGACTTGTTAGGGTGTCGCGTATTTGCGTGTCAAGGCTGGTAGAAGCTTGCCGTAGTTCGAGTATCCGTAGGTGGTTATTCTGGTGGGTTTGTACTGCAGGATGAACCGTCAGCGAAATCTCTTCAAGTCTGGCGTAGATAATCTTCAGGCATAAAAAAAAATGCGTTGCGCCTGTGTTTCCTGGTCATATTTACCTTGCTCAAGGCCCTTTGTTAGCTCTGCGTCCGCGGCCATGAGTTCCTCAGCGAGGTTCATTGACGGATGGTACTTTGTGACCGAATCGATGAGGCCTGAGAGTGCCTTTTCGAGGCGCTCGAAGCGCTCATCGATGAGCTTGTCCATGGTCACATGCGACAGCAGTAAGTTTCAAGGTTGTCTGGTACTCGACGTCAAGCTGCAGGCTCGGGTCATGGAAGAAATTGGTTCGCGAGTGGGAAACAGCTGCTGTCGCGCCAGCTTAACGTGAGCCGTGTTGTACAATTGGGTGGGCCACGCTCATGATGCCTGATTGGTGGACGGAACTCGACCACACAGAACCTGAGGCCACTATTAGCCGGCCTTTCCCGGTAGCAAACTCACGCAGCTTCAACTTGCGACGTTATTCACGACAATTGACAATTGAAGAAGATTTCGCGGCCGCAGCCCCCATTCTCAGTCAAGATGGTCTCCGCTGTATGTTCAATGGATCAGAGTTGCCTGGGACTCGTCGCTGCAGGCCCTGGCTTCGCTGGCAATCCCCTTCCGCTCCGCCTCGCTAACAGGTCGTCTCTGACAGACTCCTTTCCGCCGCGCCGAGTTCAAGAGCGCCTACGGTCCCAAGTACGTTTCTCACATCTGAATTGCTTTCCGATACGGTTGAGCGTACGCTTCGAGCAGGCTGCTCCGATTGAGCCGGAGTTCGAACGACCACTATACCGTCATATTCGCGACGGACATGTGACGAGACAGAAATGCTAACGCCTCATTCCAGATATCAATTCCAGCCCAACTTTCACGGCTGGTCCAGCCAGACCATTTTCCGATCGTAAGTTGGCAATTGTGTCTGTAGAGGGAGACGAAGGCGACTCAGTGACGATCAACTTCGAAGCGACCGGATCCAACATTACAGCATATCTACAATGTAACCGGGTGCCAGCGCGCAACAAGACCAACAATACCAAGTCTTGGAGTTGAGACGTTTTCGAATGACACAGGGGCAAATTACAGGCTTTATGCTTGTCGACGCAAGTGTATTCTGGCTAACTGTTGGCTTAGTGCTTTCCGTTTGTCCCTGTTCGGCGGTGCTGCTGCTATCGGTGCTCTTCTCTTCACCTCTGGCATTCCCCGAATTCAGCATGATATCCTCGACGTAAGACTTCTTCGTTCATGGTCGTTCCGCAGCGACGGCGAGTTAACAGTCATGCAGAAAATTCCCGGCATGGCCAAGTTCTACCGCAAGGAGGTCCACCCCCAGGACAACGTGAGTTTGCTTAATGCACTTGACTTTCCCAATCTGTCAATGCTAATGATACATGTAGCCTTTCTAAGCGTAAAGTCGCAATTCCAGATGGACCTGTATCAACGTCTATGCAGCGCATAGAGCTAGTTGCCTTTGTATAGATATCATTCAAAATAGACTTTTACATCAAACAAATAACCAGTCACTGAGCTGTGAAGTCACTTGTTTTCGTTACTTGGACATGTTATATGAAAATTTGGGCGGCCCAGTAGCGTTGACAAGGACTGACTCTTTTGAAAGATCGCGTACAGTGTGGATTTGCAGCGACACTGTCATTCTTGACCAGGCGTAGTGGACAGCTTGACTACCGAGCTTCGAGGCTCACCTCGCCAAGCTAGCCTCGGGCCATACCCGTCGCGCCGTTTCTAAATCCGCCGTTTTCTTGTGGTTACTTCTACTTTTCGTTCTAATCACAGCTCGTATATGGTTTCACCATGGCGGAGGAGCAAGTTTGGAGCACTACCGCTCGCGTGGTCGGCGCCGTGCTACCCGCCCTAGCTACCGTCTTCTTCAACGGCATCCCGGGCGCCACTGGCGGCAGCAACTTGCCGCGCTGGGGCGTTCGGCTGCCGATTCTTCTGACCTGCGCGCTGCAGCTGTGGTTCACGCTGGTGTCGCTGACGGTGCCGGAGCCGTATCTTGTACGTGCCCATTGTACATGAATCACACGACCCCTGTTTGACGATGTAGCGTGCTAACCCAGCTATATCCAGGACGAAATATTTCACATTCCACAGGCTCAAAAGTACTGCGAGGGTCGTTTCTTTGACTGGGATGACAAAATTACAACACCTCCAGGATTGTATGGTGCTCCCCCGGCTGCCAACCTTTGACACAGTGCGTGCTAACTTGCACATCTAGATATCTCATCTCTGTCGCTGTTCACAGAATCGCCACTACACTCCGCATCCCGCCGCTCAACGTCTGCGATGTATTTAGCCTCCGTCTCATCAACTGTGCCGGCGTCCTGGGCATCAGCTACCTTGCGCTCTGGTGTCGGCAGGCCATCGAGGCGAGACAGCACGAGGCCATCAGCAGCCTGTCACCAGCGCGCGTTCGCGCCTTTTCCCAGTACGCCCTGCATACGGCCATCAACATTGGCCTTTTCCCGCTGATCTTCTTCTTTGGCGGGCTGTACTACACCGACGTTTTGTCGACAGGCGTGGTGCTCGCTGCATTTGTCAACCACCTGTCGCGCGTGGGCGTGGTACACAGCTCAGTGTGGAGCGACCTCGTCACGATTGTGCTCGGCGCGGCTGCGCTATGCATGCGCCAGACGAATGTATTCTGGATCGTCGTATTCTTGGGCGGCCTGGAAGCGGTGCATGCAGTCAAGACGCTCCGGCCGGATAGGGTGGACCAGCCGGTGATGAAGACGGTGCGGGAGCGGTGCCAGTACTTTGCCTGGAGATATTCGGTGGGCGATATTCATGACTTGCCTGTCCACAGGGCATATCCTGATGGTGAGTCAACAGTATTATTTGCGAATATGGGCATTTAAGACTGATATATGTAGACATGATCTTCACTGTGCTCAGTATCGGCATTGCAGTCGTTCGAAACCCTCTGCGAGTGACTAGGCAAATCTGGCCCTACGTTGCTGTCCTTGCTTCCTTTGCTGCCTTTGTGCATTGGAACGGCAGCGTAGTGCTCGGCGATAAGTCCAATCACGTCGCCACGATTCATCTCGCGCAGATGCTGTACATCTGGCCTTTTTTTGCCTTCTTTTCACTTCCCCTCCTCATCCCCTCCGGGTTGTCATTCCTCAACATGATTGTTTCCTTTTTCGGCACAGCCGCTGACATTTCTGAGGTCGCTGATGCCGCTACAAAGCCAGACACCGCTTCCAGAGCTGCTCACATCTCTTCGGTCGACTTCATCTACTCCAAGGTTCTCTGGCCCGCGTACCTCGCCGCAACTGGTGTCCTCTCCTTAGCCGTTGTCCATTTCAACACCGTGATCCACCCGTTCACGCTCGCCGACAACCGCCACTACATGTTCTACGTTTTTCGTCACACTATTCGCCGGAGCTCCGTTTTGCGTCTCGCCCTTGTGCTGCCCTACACGCTGTGCCGCTGGATGGTCTGGGACGCCCTCGGCGGCCACAACAGCTGGTCGGGCGAGGAGCAGCCCACCGCCTTTATCAGCCACCCTTTCTGGACGCCAACCTCGCCCAAGGTCAAACGGCAGACCAGCACCTTGTATCCACGTTCGCCAGAAGCGAATTCTACAGATGAGAGCCGCAAAGCCAGCGAGACAACGCTCAAGGCGCGCCTGGAGCTGGATAGCCTATATCTGTCCAAGAAATCCGTGTCCACATCCACAGGCCTCATCTTTCTACTCGCGACGGCACTTTCGCTCGTCACGGCGCCGCTTGTCGAGCCGCGCTACTTTATGATTCCGTGGGTGATGTGGCGGCTGATGGTGCCGGCGTGGCGTTTGAAGGACCATTTGCGAGGCGGGTTCCTGGAGGGCAGCGAGACTGCCGAGGCTGTTGCGCAATGGAGCAGCAGCTACGACATGCGCCTATTCCTAGAGAGCGCTTGGCACGTGTTGATTAACCTCGCCACGGGGTACGTCTTTTTGTACAAGCCGTACGTGTGGAAGGCCGAGGACGGGACAGTGCTGGACGGTGGAAATCTACAGCGCTTTATGTGGTAAATTAACTCGCAGACTTGATGGATGATCTTTTGCTCTATTGCTCGATCATTGTGGCTTTTAAACGTAGTATCTCGAGAAAGATATATCTCGTGAAATATGTGTATAAAGCTACGAAAGCTTAAGAGGCCATGGGCAGAACTGTGCGCCGCCTCCTCTGTATATATTTGCGAAAAAAACAAGTCATAAAAAAACATGCCACCAACGCCGTAAGAATCCGAGAACCCGGTTCTGTCAAGTCATCAAACTGCTAGCAAAATGACGACTGCCTCTCTCCAAAGTCGCACCTCTGTCCGCTCCGTGAACAACCATTTGCCAACGGAGACGACGTTCTTTTTTTCTTGCAAATTTCTTCTTCTTTGTTCATAATTCATAAGAGTTTCCTTTTTTTTTTCTCTTTTTTGTTCCATTTCGAGAATTCGCCCTTCCGCTTCGCTACAGACTCAGCCGATCCAAGCTCAGCCCATCGTTGCTGCGCACCCTCCTCACGACGCCGAGCTTGAAGAACTTTTCCTCGCCCGTCGCCGTGCGCCCGCCAATGTACCACTTGTCCGCACCGACCGCGTCACGAAACCCTTCGCTGCTCGAGTCGCTCCCGCGGCGACGGCCGCCGCTGGGGATGGGGATGCCGCCGCTGTGGTGGGCAGAAGACGGCGGGGGCGAGTGCAGCGTCATGTCGTGACGGTGATGGTGATGGTGATGATGGTGGTGGTGGTGTTGGCTAGCAGCAGCGGCGGCGGCGGCGGCAGCGATGGCGTTTGTTGTTGGGCCCGGCGGCGATGACGATGGGGAACTTGTCGTTGTAGTTGTTGTTGTTTGCTGCGGCTGACCTTGCGAGGATGATGCGGTGGTGTGCTGTTTGCCGCCTGAGGAAGATGAGGGGGAGGGAGAGGAGGAGGTTGGAGGTGCTTGTTGCCGGAAGGCGGCGATGAAGGAGGAGAGGAAATACGGGCGTTGCGAAGGCATGGTGGGCGGAAATGTTGTGGCGATGGTGGTGGTGATGGAAGAGGTCGGGTCGTTTGGGCGGCGTCTACCGGACTCGCTCTATACGAGGCCTTGCCTCTCGCTGCTCGCTCGAGTCAAGAGACTGAGCGCTTGGTCGCCAACGTCGTGGTGCTCGTCAAAGTCGCTTCGTCATGTGCCTTTGTTTCCAAGAGGCAGCCGAGGCTATCGCGCAAACCCGTTGCTCGCGTGTGCGTTGATTCTGCGTATACGCCGTCGTCTCTTTTCTTCACCGTAGTTGACGCTACAAGAACGATAATTTCCCAGCGACAACAGTGATGCAATGTTTCGTTTCGCCTCGCTGTGTTGTTGTTGTTGTTGTTGTTGTTGTTGTTGTTGTTGTATGGTTCGAGGGTTGATGGGATGATGATGCAGCAGAAAAAAACGGTGCGCTGCCCGCCCGCCCCATCCGGGTTAGTCGGTAAAAGCCGGGGGCGGGCCTGCGGCGGCGCATGTGAGCGTTGACCTTGTTTGAGTAATGCATGCTAATGGCGGGGTTGTCATAGGCCAAGAGCAGGAGCCAGCCATGCCAGCTTGCCAGTCAAGCCGTCTTGCTTCCCAAGCTTGCGCTTCCAATCCCCCCGAAGAGCGTTTGGGCGGCGGGCAGAAAGACAAAGTAGAAAAGCTCATGTGGCCGAAAACTGGAGCCGACCGAAGCCGCCGACGCCCTTCTTCCTTTTGCCCCATGACGTTGGCGGTTAGATACGGAACGGCAAGCAGCCAAAGAACCCGAGAATTTTTCACAAGCGGCTACACACAAGTCACATGCATGATGCAGTGATGCCATAGTCAATCGTTCTCGTCTATCAAAACGTGGTTGTCGATACCCAACCCAATATTAGCTGCGGTGCACATCAATTCCCCCCGCTCGCTGCTGATCATCTCTCGTAACCCTGCATCATCAACGCACCAATTGATAGCAACTAAGCCACGCCGTTGAATCCTCGGTCTTTTTGCCCGCCATACTACTCCGACGAGCACCAAAGGGTCGAAATTGTAAAGAATGAGTTGTTTTTAGTTTCTCTTCATGCCTATAAACCAAAAGAGTGGTATAACAGCCGTAGGAAAACCCCCGGTATAGATAAAAAAAGGCATCTGCTTGCTCTGTGTATGCTAAAGGACGAACCTGGAGAAAAGCCAAACGCCTCTGGGGGGGGGGGGGGGGGAAGCGCAGTCCGAGACTGACCGTATGTGTAGGCTATATAGGTAGGGAAGAAAATCTCTCAATATCAAACGTGCAACGATCCTAGTGCCTTGTATCAAACCCAAGCTCTTTTCAAAAGCGATAAATCCAAAGATTGAACCTTAGAATCCCAAGTACCAAGTAGCTATCCGTGAATAGATAGCTAGCCATGCCATGTAATCAACTCCATAGAAAGCAAAAAAGGTAAAAAAAAGCACAAATGGCCCCTGTCAGATGCGCGCAGTACAAGTACTTGAATCAACGAGACAAGCAGGTCGCACCCCGGAGCGCCACCGACAGGTAGCGGGTATCATGTGTACAGAGAAGCACCAAAGAGAGCGAGGTGCAAGAGAGTTTGCCCACGAGGGGCCTGCGTTGACCGAGAGTGAGTTTAATGGCAATGTTGCGCATGCGGACGCATCAAGAGAAGGAAGCGATTCTGGATAGTTTTGTATTTTGCTTGTTTTTTTTTTGCCTTTGGTTTTGACTCTTTTGTGATACCTTCTGGCGGCATCCTTCTCAATTAATTTCGGCGTTTTTTTCAAATGTTGTTTTTGCTTTGTTTTTTCTGGTTTTCAAGTTTGTGTGGTGTAGACAAAGGAACGAATATGTATCCAGAATAGAGTCGCGTTTCTTTGCATGAAGTCTCGAGCATAGTGATAAACTCTCGCGAAAGGTGCTCTCGGTGTCAGCGTATGTACCTCTACGTGGAGGCCTCAATAATGCTTTCCTCGTCTGCGGAATCAATGTTGACCAAGGCCTGCTGGCTGTGCACCGTCCCACGGTTGACGCGATGGACAACCTGTGGGCGGGCACCGACTGCACCCCACTTCAAGTCACTGTCGTCCTCATCACTGCTAGGGCGACCTTCTTCCGAACGCCTGACATGAACTCCATGAGATTGGTATTGGGGGGCGAGGCGTGTCATGTAGTCATCCTCGGTGATACCCAGATCCTCGTCGAGACTCGGGGCCGGTGAGCTACTGCGCTGTGCTTGGCGATTGGCGCGTAGAAGACTGTCCCGGATAGCGCCGGACCGACGAATGCCGGCGCCACCTGACAACCAGGAGCCCTCGGAATCGATGGAAGCGAGTGACATGGAAAGATGTTGATCTGGCGAGGGTACAGTGTAGCTTCCAGAGCCTTCAGTCAGTGCCCTCTCACGAAGCTGCTCGATAGAGCGCTGACCAAATGTAGTTGGCAGTTCACGGCCGGGTATGGCGATAGGTTCGGTCCCGTGGTTATACTTTGTGTCGGTAATGGGGGGCATGGGGGGCTCGATATCCGGCGACTGCACGCGCGAGTCGGGTGGAGTTGGGAAATCGTCGAGATCCTCACGAAATCGTGAACGCGTGCGTTTGGGGGCAGCGCCGGTCTTGCCAGCAACGTAGTTGCCAGACAGAGAACTGCCGCTGCGCAGGTTATCCGCAGAGCCGCTACGGTGATCGTCGCCCTGGAGTTTGGCAAGGGCTTCTGCTTGGGCTTGGGCTGTTGCTACTGCCTGCATCTCCTCTCTAGACGTGTTGGAGAATGACGAAGGACCAGAGCCGCGTCGATTTCTGCTGTTCCATTTGAGTAAAGAGGATATAGACAGGCGAGCATTTCTGCCCGTGCTCGCTTCAGAACCCTTCCGCGCATGATCGTCGTCAACGGGAACAGCGAGCTTGTCCTTGTCGGAACCGAGAGTGGATTTTGAACGTGACTTTTTAGATTTCAACAAACCCGACAGGCGAGAAGCTGGCGCCGTCGTTGAAACGGAATCTTCCTGTTCGACTGATTGAGTCACGGGATGGCCTGATGACAGGTCTATGTCCTGCTCGGCGTCTTCGGTTGGGCGAGTGTTGACTGGATGAAAAACGTCAAGGGGAGCCTGCGACTCATTAGTCGCAGCAGGCTCGATTGATTGCGGGGTGCGCTGGCGGGAGGAAGTGACAACCGTGGAAGGAGGGTCCAGACCCAACCCGACAAGTTCGCGGCCCATGACACCACGCTCCATGTTGGAGGGAGAAGGCGACCCCGACTTCCTTGCAGCGTCTGCTTCTTGCCTGTGGCGTTGGGCTGCGTCGGCAATCTTTTTCTCGGCCCTGGCTTGCTCTCGAGTACGGTCGCGCTGACGTCTCTTGGTGTCTCTATGCATCAGCTCGCGGAGAGCCTTGGCGTCTAGATCATCAGCCAAGTCATCGATGCGCTTGCGCGGATGCATCACTTCCTCGGATATGGTGTTGTTCTCGGAAAGTAATCCCTTGGGCGATGCAGGGTGCGCAGACGCGGAAGCGCGCGATGGTGTGCGCTTTATGCCAGTGCCATAACGAAGGGTAGGTCGGGGCGCGAGGGAGTCGAAGATGGACACCTTATACGAAGTCATGTCAGAGTCTCCAGACAAGCTCGATTGCATCGAGTCTGGTAAAGGTAGCGAGAGCTCTGATGTCCTCTTGCTAGTTTGGTCGGAAGGTTGGTTAGTCTTGCTTCTCTTGCTGCTGTGCTTGCCGCTACCATGGGCAGGCACTCTGGGCATGTAGTGGCTCATGGCCTTGATTTCTGCCTCCCGCTCATGGTCTTCATGCCGGCGCTTGCTACTTTTGCGTCTCGTGATGGGTGGATGTTGGGGATCGCGTTTTAAATACAAAGTCGGGGCACGGCCCCAGACGCTATCGGCTTGAAGATGTTGCGGCTGCTTGGATCTGCCTCTGGGATCGACTCGAATAGTTTCGTGGCGATTGGGTGAGAAGCTGTAGGTTCGGGGTCGTCTCTGGAGCTTGTTGGGCTCAGGCCGTTGCTTTTTTCTGGCGCTGGCTCGCGGGACAGCGGTACTGGTGTGATTGTTGCGGCTGGCAGTGCGACGAGTTGAAGGCATTTGGTTACGCGTGGGAGAGGTGTCGGCATCATCGAGAGGAGAGGTCCGCGATGAAGAACGCACCGTCTTCCTGCGGAACGGCCAGAGGGCCATTGCGATGCGATGCTGCGCGCTTTTTCAAGAAAGAGGTGCTAATGCTTTGGTGAAGTGACGAATGTATCGTACGTAAAGATGGCTAGATTCACTAAAGCTCGTTGCGGCATTGTCGGGGAATGGTATCAGCGGGGCGACGGCCAAGTAGTCATTCGCTCTATAGACGATGGCAAAGAGAAGATTACTCGGGCTGTTGGCGAGCAGAGCGATTAAGATGACGTGGGCTGAGAACGGGGGGCGCGAATCGCGAGGCGAAGTTGATTTGAGGCGTTGGTGGTAGAAATTGGTGGGCGGAACCTCGGACGACAATGGATGGCAAGATTGTGACTGTGGCAAGAAATGTCGGATAAAGTGGTTGAGAGCGCGACGTGCTGGTATGCAAGAAACGCTGGAGGCGAGTCTCAGAACCGGCTTGTACCGACGGAATGAAGTGGACAGGCCGTGAGGTGGTCAGCTGAAACGGAATGCGGTGTCGATGAATCTGAGGCCGGGGTACGGATAACCGAGTGAAGAGAAAGGAATACTGGTAAGGCTATATGGGGAAGACAATGAGATGGAAGAAAGAAGAATAGCTGAAGGAGTAAGACAAGAATTAATGGCGGATGGGGATTGGGTGGAAGAGGGAAAGAGGATGATCGCCGGGCGGTTGCTGCGAGGGGATGGATGAGGCAGCGAGATGGTGGTGGCGGTGGTGCCAAGGTCAGAAGGCAGCGATGCTGAAAGAGGGAAGAGTTGCAGCGGGACGGCCAAGCAAGGCAAGGCAAGGCCTGGAAGGAGCGGCGCGGGATCAAACGCGATTAAAGAATTGAGGGTCATTCCGCAGAGCAAAGTATCGACACACCAAAGAAGGAGTGGGAAAGTACCTCTGCACTTTATCAAAAGGGGGTGTGGGAGTGAGCTTTTTAGGGACTGGTGTGGCAAAACATGACGGGGCGTGCATGGTGTTTACCAGGCGTGTGCTAAATTTGGGGACAAGAACTGTTCAAGTTACAGGCGGGTCAAGCAGGAGGTGAGGGCGTCCTCAGGCAGGGAAACGACATTGAATGAAAAAGGCAGGAAATTAGATGACTACTTAAAAGAAACAGGCAGGAAAAGGCAAAGAGTAAAAATTCTCAGACACTGAAAGCACGAGCACGAGCGCTGCCAGTGTTTTCAAGCAGTGAGAATTGCACTGAGCACTGCCTGCCCGGACTAGCCCTGGCTAGCCAAGACAATGCCAAAACGCCCACTGACAGAGACCATGTGCGCTAATTTTAACAAAAGCCACCCAAAAATGCACCACAAACACTCTCCCAACTCCCTGACCATGTTTCTTTGTACGGGAGCAGAGGTAGCTCTGTTCGTTTTATTGCTATTATTATTCTTAAAAGTGGTCGAGTACTTGAGTGGCTTGACTGCCCTGTGTGGCTTGGCGGGCCGGCAGCCTGTGTGGACCGATTCCGACTGATCGTAGTTAGTTAGGTATGTAATTAGTGCTAATCAAAAACACTGAAAACACCGAGACAGGGCAAGGCAAGGCAAAGCGAGCAAGCAAGCAAGCAAAACACAGCAGAGCGAGGCAAAGTCGGGCAAGCAAACCATCACGCACATGTGCGGCGTACCTGAGCAGACATGCACAGCTTTCACCACCTACCCAGGTACCGACAAGGCCACAGCTGTGCCACCTGGACAACTGGACAACTGGACACGATGCGCCGCCTCCTGCATCTGCCCTGCAGCATCTCGGCATGGCCAGAGAACAGGCCGCACACGGCACACACGCACACACGCACACACGAGACGCCCCTCGTACAAGTGTCAGGGCCCAAACAGCAAAGTGGAAAAGCTGCCATTCTCTGCACCTGTATCCGTACCTGTCGACACTCGACAGCATTGAGCAATTTGAGCACTCGAAATTTAGCCCACAACCTACGGATGCCTTCCAGCAAGCAAGCAAGCACGCAGTCAGTAAGGCAGGCGAAAAAGCAGGGCAAAGAGAGTATTCAATTATTACTAACTAATAACGGCTCGATACTTGATGCCCACCCACATTGTAAAACATACTAAATAGAACCCATGCATTGCAAATATACCTAGGGAGCACCGACTCGTGACCGGCCTTGTAAAGGTAGGGCAAGGCGGCAAGCAATTAGGTAGCAATCAACGAGAAAATCTCTGCTACATATTGCTACTCGACGTCTCCGTACCACCATCAATCTGGTTCATGCCCAAATCGCCCGTGGCTGGTGAGAGAGGCTCAACGCAATCGATATCCATTGCCCAATTATTACCGTGGGCTACATTTTCGTGGCTGATGCACCACCTGCTTTCAAGACTCTTCTACATACCACAATACCACCCGACCGCCCGTCACATATCGATGGCTACACGTCGCCGATGGTTCTCTGCCTCTGGCCATTGCGCCTCCCAATCTACCAGTCAAAACCCCTTTCGGCCAATCAAACTGCACCAGGGAGGATAGTTCGACAACCCTAGGATCATCGCCCTGATGCAGAATACCGAATCCTTACCCAGGCATGCCTCATGAAACGCACGGCCACTTTTTGCCAGCCTCTACCCCGTAGGCCCATGGTTACCCGTTCAAGACTAATTTGACGCCGAGCGCGTGAATAGTGATGTGTTACTAGTACACCGGCCACCCGTCAGTACGGTGTACCTCGATACGACGCGACTTGAACACCAACAGGAACAAGGCTCAACATGTGAAGTTTCGTTTGGCCGGTTACCCCAAGGAACACAAAGAGCAAGCCGCATCGGGCTTCTCCACGAACCACTCATCTTTTCCCCTCTGCGCTTAATACCGGTAAAAACTTGATCGTAGTGACGGACCCAACTAACTATGCGGGCTGCCGTCGTCGCCATCATCGCCAGCCCCCACTCGCAACCCAGTTATAATAACTACCTATTACTGTCCACTGACAATGCCTGAACGCCAACAAAGGAACATGTCGCCCTCCCTCTCAACCTCTCAACGTCGCACCGCTTGATGGCTGCCGCCAGCCTCCAGCCAAATATTGCTTTCACTGCAACTTGCATGCCCAAACCAGGGCAATCTTTCGATGCCCTGCATGCTAGTACCTGATCTTCAGTGACGTTTTGCAGCGGGTAAGCGACTAACTACTGATAACTACCTTGTGGTGCTTGTCAAGCAGGACAAAGGCTAAAAAGAGACACCCTCGACCCTCTCTTGTCTGCCATTGATTTTCGTTTATGCCTCGCTGGTCATGCCAGCAGCATGCCAGCATTCCACAACGAACGAACTCGTCTGCACCGTTGAACCTTGTCCAGGGGGCCCCCCGACCGCGTGACGAGGCCGCTGCGCGTAAGAGACGACGTGAACCTCGCCACAATCTACCCAGCGCTGCTGAGTCAAACTAAGCGACTTCAGCTTCCACCGACCTCTTCCACGATTGACTTGAGGCTTGTCAGCTCCAACTTGCAAGCCACACCGGATGCCATGCACTCTCTGTCTGTGCCTCTTTCCTCCCGAATCCTCCGTCATCAACTCCCCACCCAAGCTGCCAAACATGAAACACTTGCTGCAGACTTCCCTTTGCGCCTTTCGCCTCGCCTGGCCCTTGGAAGTTCTAGCTCCGTGCTTCCGCTAAACTGGCCTCGCTCCTTGTCCTCCTGCCGCTTGTCTTCGCTCCCCGCTACCGGGGCATCCGCACCACTGTCGATTTACGCCGAAAAGTCCAACAACTCTCATCGGACCAACACTAACGCTGGATATCAATTCGACGCCATCGAGCCATGGCGAACCACCTCGTTTCCTCTTCTGCAGTCGAGACTGCCCCGTATATAGCCAACGAACGATGCATTGTCCGAGACCCGCATCGGCTCTCGTATTTCTCCATATTTCCACAGTGTCCGGCCAAACTCAGTCGTACCACCCACCCCCCATAAGTACCGCTTTGGCTGCCAAAAGGCGCTTGTGAAGCCAATTCGCCACGTACCAGTTGCCAGTCTGCCAGTCACCAGTCAGTAGTCGGGAGAGCGAGTCAGCTCCATACTAACCAAGACCAATCCAAATCCCGCCAACGGACCGTGCGGAATCTCATAAGCGTGAAAACGATCTCTCAGATTCATCTCGTGTGATACATGGGCTTGCTATTGAGTTCTGTCTTTCTGCAACTTGCGGTAGATGATCGCGCAGAGCCGCACCAAACCAGATGGGACGAACTTTACTCCGTACCACCTTTCCCATTGATCAGGCCCTGCTTTTTCATGAGCAAGGAGCTCAACAACTACAGCCATAAAATATTGGCCTTAATGGTCAGTGGTTGCTCCGCTGATGAACAGCATTTCGATAGTCTCATTGCCAGCAATTGCGTCTACTCTTCCTCCCGCGCTCCCTCAAAAATAATTGAGGGTCCAATCGGAAGAAGTAGCATAAGCTGAAGAAGTAGAGAAAAAGCACTTGATGATATATAAGAAATGAAATGGAAGTTGAGGGCATGTTAGAGAAACGGACAGAGTGGGCAAAGAGGAATCGCGGATTTCCGCAGCTTGCTGGAGGAGTGCCCCTTTTCTACCAATTCCTTTATCATGCCTGGTTGATACCTCGCAGGTCTTTCCCTTGCCAACTATATGCATATGCAAACGGATCCCATTAACTGGGTCGATAGAGTGAACACCAAAAGGGCTAGTAGCAGAGAAGTCTGCTTTTGGAGGCAAAGGGTGAAGCGCTTCTCAAGGTACATCCAGTACAGTCGCTGTGCGAATGTAGAATTGCAGGAGATCTGTTGTTTCAATTTACTAGCATAGTTTTGAGTCAGCTCAATCATGAATCCATAGCCCAAAGTCAAGACCGTGTGTCTGCGCTTACACTGGTGACATGTTGGCGCATCTGTTAGTTGATTTCACAACACTTGGTAATGTCCAGGAATAGGTTCTCATTTTGGTACCATGCCAAGAAAATGGGTTCTTAAATATTCCTAAAGGCTGCGTTCAACGTCCAGATTTAGGTCAACACATGCCCTGTTGGATGTCTATAGATTGTTGCGCTATCGGGTAGTGGTACGGAGAGCAGTAGTTGGGCTCTTTGCAGTCGGAAGATGAAATGATCAAAGGTTCGCGGTATTCTTTCTCGTCTTTAATACTCACTTGATTAGCTAGGAAAAGGCTGCCTCTGTTAGCGTGACTGAGCCAACGCGAAAAATTATGGTATTCATGTTTATAATGCCTGATCATAGCGTCGGGTCGAGGCAACACCCACCCTTCAATGTCCAGCTTTTTTGCCTCAACAATGGCCGTACTCGCCGAAAATGCCGGCTGCAACACGATTATCGCGATTCCTGTCTCAAAGTTTAGTTAGATATTTTCAAGGCTTGACTCAAAATTGAAATGTCGGGCGTCGCAGCTCGCTTCCCGCTCCGACATCAATCGTTTATCGGTGTCGAGCGCAAGAATCCCATCCACGCCTGGCCCAATGGTACGTACAAATGTCCGTGAACATTGATTTGCCGGCTTTATCATCGGTTAAGTGGGCTTTAAGTGATTTTTTCTTCTCTGCTGTTGCTACGGAACGGACGAGCTAGATATACTGGCCTGACGCCTTTCTACAATGAGAAGTGGCAAAGTAGCGAGTCGTGGCGCACTGTATGGCGTATTCCCAGAATCTCCGCCAAGGGATCCGACGAATTTCGTCATCATACGCAGCCAAAATTCTAGACTTTTCTTCTTGAACGCCATAAAACCTGTGCTTGTTACAGGTGCTGGCTGCTCATCGAGGGTTGCGAGACGGCACCGTGTTGGCGGACCCTAAACGGTGCACCAAGAGAAGTTTTTTTGCTCACCTTGTCGATTCGTCCTGTCATTTGCATTAGGGAATATTCTTTGGAGTCGCTAGAATACTTGAACAGCCTGGGAGCCATACTTGACAGAGGTTTACTTGCTTGCGCAGAGTTGCAACTTGACGTTTGACGCTCCCACAGCTCCCTCGCCCGAGGATGGAGATGAGAATCAACATTTGCTCACGCAAAGCAACACAGCTCCCTCGCCCGAGGATGGAGATGAGAATCAACATTTGCTCACGCAAAGCAACACAGCTCCCTGGTAGCTTGATTACAGACATCAAGTATTTCAACGTGTCAAACGTATATTGAGTGTATGTGAGCGCGTAACTAGGCAAATGTACATCTCGTCATATAGCGATTACGTCGACGATGCTTCCGGCGCGACACCTCCCGCTACATTGCCACCAACGGAGCCCTTGCAAACCTTCAGAATAATTGTTGCGCTGATTACAGTTACTGGGGGTTATTGTAGAAAACAAGATGAGAAGTCGCAGCCAAGGAAAAATACCATCGTCGCCGGGGGCCCGACAAAGACTGACAGAGTGCCTAGAGGTGCTGGAGCGAACGTTGCTGCCAAAGAAGCTCAAGGTCGATACTTTTGCTGCATTGTTGCCGTGCGTCTCAAAAAGCTCAGTGATGATGAACTTCTTGGTGGTGTACGAGAAGAAATCCCGTGGCTCTTGTTGGATCAGGTACTCGACGCTCTGCGAGACGAGGAAACACGAGGGGTGCTGGAGGAAGCATTCGACGACTGTACGGTACTGACAATTGCACACCGCGAAGAAACTATTCGTCGCGTGGATTTTACGGTCGCGTTGGATGACGGGGAGATGGCGACCATAGTTGCAGCCAGATAGAGGCTGATCGAAGTGCTGCAGCTTTGCAGCATTGATGCGTGTTTCTTGTTGTTGCATCTTGTTTTCTCCTAGACATCACTGCTAGGTTGCGCCCCATGTTTTCAATGCGGCGTTGTCTTCTTGTTACACCAATATATATATATCAATTACCAGGTGCTCCATTTGACGGAGCAGACAGAGCCTGGAACTGCTCAGCCCAGACGGCCTCCTGACGATGTTGGATAATTCTTGTCTCTTCATTTTTTTCTGTATCTTTTTCAAGAGCTTGCACTGCTCTGTTTTTCTGATGAGACAACATCTACTTTGCGAAGTTGACTTTTGCTTTGATTGAGTCTATGACAAATACTAGTATCCTAGCTCCCAGTCAAAGCCAAGTTACATTGCGTCTCTTTTACATTGCCTATCTTTGACAAAAGAGACATGCACTCGAGCGCCAGCGCAGATACATGTTCAAGACACATATCGGTGCAGTCAGAAGCAATCTTGTCGTTCCCGTTGAGAAGTAATGGCCTCGGATGGGGACTCTTGCTAAGTAGCCGCACTGGTAGCCGTAGGGAAGCAGTATGTCTGACTAGCTTGGAGGCCAGCGCAATTCGTACCAACCGCCGTGTAATCCTTGTAGAATTGGGCGAGATTGATGTTTGTGTATTGCGCCTGGATCTTGCTGCAGGTGTCACCCGGCTGGGGGACATAGGATTGACCCTTACAGCTTGTCTGAGCACCGTTGGATGAGGCGGTAGAAGGCTTTGCGGCGGGAGCAGAGCTGCCGGCATTGGAGCTTGGTGCCGGAGGCGAGCTGCTAACAGGAGGCGAGCTGCTAACAGGAGGCGAGCTGCTAGCAGGAGGCGAGCTGCTAGCAGGAGGCGAGCTGCTAGCAGGAGCTGAGCTGCTAACAGGAACTGAGCTGCTAACAGGAGCTGAGCTGCTAACAGGACGCGAGCTGCTAGCAGGAGCCGAGCTGCTAACAGGAGGCGAACTGCTAACAGGAGCCGAGCTGCTAGCAGGAGGCTTCGAGGTGGGAGAGTTGGTGCCGGACGCAGCTGGCGTGCCGGAAACGCCGATACAGACGTCGTAGCCAAGCATGAGTTCTTTGCAATCCTTGGTGATTTTGGTATTCCACTTGAGGCTATTTGGAATGTTACTGACGATTCAAGCATGAGCGTGGTCAGCTTTTGAACTTACAAATCCTCCATGTTGACGCCCATCGGCTTGACGACACCTTCGCAAGTGTCACCGCTTACGACCCTATGCCACTTATTGCCTGATCAAACGTTTAGAAAAAGTATCTTTTAGGATAGGAAATAGCAAAGACGCACACTTTGGGTCAAGACCTTCCATGGGTTTGGCGGCTTCAGCCCTGATGGCCATGAGAGTGCCTCGGTCGCGGCCAATGCCAACGGCCGAGACCGCTCCGGCCAGAGTAGCGACCAGAACAGTAGCAAAGCGAACCATTATAATTCGAAAGTTTTTTTTTTTTTGGTTTTGAATTCGGTGATTCAGTAAAGTTCGTTGGCTGGAGGGTATGACGAGACGGTGAGGTGAAGGGGTATTTTTTCGTAGTAGGGCTGGATGAGTTTCGTTGAAGAGGGGGCCAGAAGTGCTGACGGAAAATGCTTGGGAAGCGAGCCGAATGAGTATCGATTTGGTTGGCTGTAGTTGAGTGATTGTAAGACGAATATGCTGAGAGCGCGAGGTAGACTGCCTTTTATACAACATGACGGCTCATTGAACAGACGTGACTTGGTCGTGATAGCGCCCAGGCATCAAGGCGGCGGCGACAGGAGCCAAAGCCGAAACAGACGTCTCTAGACACAGTAGCTCAAGGGTAATTTACCATACTCCTTGACGTGTGAGAATGGTTTCTCGCTTATTACCTTTCATATCCACGGAAGACCAAAGGATCTGATAGGACAGCCACCAAGCCAGGGCCTGTGTGTCACCTGTTTCCGTTGTACAGCGGCAAAACTCTACCTGACTATTTTGGGGAAATGAATATCTAGGGGCGTGCGCGCCGGTTCTTCAAGTATGCCCTGTCCTACAGGCATGAGCTACGTGCTACACATGCACCGGTTGTACAGGGCCTCAATACCCCCCAAACCGGTTGTGGCTTGGATAATGCTCGCGCGCGCGCAGTTCACATGCTATTTTGAGAAGCAGAGCATCCGTCGGAGCTGGTTTCAAGTCCCTAAACAAGGCAAAGGTGGCAACTGATTGAGTTACAGGGCGCTTCCTGGCCGAAGACGCGTACAGGCCGGGGCACTGTAGTGTCTGGCTCTGAGGTAGCGAGCGCCAACGTGCGGGAAACATGACCTACATAATGCGTTGATAGACTCTGATACCTGGATGGTTATTCAAGATATGCTCGCCGCTTATAACTACATGCAAAATCAGTGAGATACTGAAAACCGGGCGAGTCGATCGACGGACAGTTGGCCCTAGTCTGGAGCAGAGACTCGTCGGTAGTCACAAGCTACTCGTTACTATTGATCGGTTGCAGAATACGATGAGATGGCGATTTATCTCTCAAGAAGGTTCTTGTTCTGTCTAATTTTCGGCATAAGATTTTTCTTACAGTAACAGAACAGTTCTCTTTGTGCCACACAGTGCGTGGGCATTTTGGGCAAGAAGCCATGACTTTGCTCTCTAGAGGCGTTTGGCCAATGAGCGAAAAATGCGGGATAGAATAGCAACTTGACACTATTCAATTTTTGATATGTCGAGAGCAAACTTGCTCGCATCTACAAGGCAGCCGTCCAGCGTCAGGTCGGAGCCATGGCTACAGTGGGTGGCAACAAGTATTTGACCCCCCCGAGGTCACCACCACAGCCACCTTCCTAATTAGGCTGTTGCCAGCCTAACTAATTCGCCGCTTTGACGCGTAAGATTACCCCTTTTTTTTAATTTCTTCATTATTAGTAGAATAGTAAGAGGTCCTAAATTAACTATATAAATACATAGCTAAATCTATAAGCTTTAAAGCCTCTATTAGGGTACTAAGTAAATATATTAAAAGCACCCTAAGATCCTAATATTAATAATTAAGTATATAATTAAGAAGGAGGTAAAATAATAAAATAATACTAGCTAGCTATAGTTAAAGGTACTACTAAAGCTCTTATTAGCTTAAAAAGACTATATCTTATAATATATTTAAACTAATTTAAAAGTTATATATAAAGACCTTCTAGTTAATATTAATTATATAGTTAAAGAGTATATATTATAAGGCTTTCTTTATACTAATAACCTTAGGAAGTAGCTATAACTTTAGAGGTAATAGCTAATATTAGTATAGGTAGAGGTATACTAGTAGTAGGTAGAATAGTATTATAATATTAATTAGCGTTAAGTTAAATAAAGTAATAAGTATATAGTTAAGAGAGGTTAAGGGGCTACCTATAAGTAGTCTTTTCTCTAGTTAAAGGATTAACTTAAATAAGGTAAGGTTTATAAGGTAAAATAGTAAGATAGTATATAGTAGATATTCTAGGCTACCTTTAGGTATTAATAGTATATAAGACTTATAGTATTTAATAGTAATATTAATAATAAAGGTATTTATAACCTTTATAGTGCCTTTTTACCTAACTTACTTAAACTAAGTAATATTTTTATATATAATAATACCTTTATATATATAGCTTATATTATTAGGGCCTTATTAAAAGAGATAGATATAAAGGTTATAATCTAGCTACTTTACTTACTAGACCTAAACCTAATTAAGAACCTATAGTTTTTAATAAAGAAAGAGATTTATTACTTATATCCTAATCTTTATACTACGCTAGATATAGAGGAAATATATTAGAGGCTTTATAAGGCTACTATCTAGGCCTAGTATAATATCTATTAAGAGGTCTATAAGAACCTCTATAATATGATAGACTATTATATAGAAGCTATTTATAAAGTAAATAGCTAGTATATAAAATACTAGGTGAAAATTCTATAAATAAAGTAGTATTATAATAAAGATTATAATAATGCCGTATTTGGTTAGGCTGGCTGTGGTGGTGACCTCGGGGGGGTCAAATACTTGTTGCCACCCACTGTAGCTACCCCGCGGCAAGCCGGGGGCGGAACGCCGATGCCGCAAAGCGCTGACCCACCACCGGCGGGCGCTGGTGTAAGAAAGTAGCGTGGCAAACGTGGGCGTGGAAAGCTGAAGCCCATGGCTGAATTCCCTCTTTACCAAGAACACATTGCGGCGTCTTTTTTTTTTCTTCTTTTTTGAATCAACAACCAAAATCTTGGCCATTCACACACAATGAGCAACACTATTGTGGTCGTCGGGTGAGTTCTTACTCCGTGCCCCCCCTCGCGTGGGAAATGTCAACTGTTCTCTCTCGCTAACAAAACTGGCACCCAATAAACAGCGGTGGTGTGTCCGGCATCACGTCGGCGTACCTGTTGTCCAAGAGCAAGGGAAACACCGTCACGCTCGTGGCCAAGCACATGCCAGGCGACTACGACATTGAGTACGCGTCGCCGTTTGCGGGCGCCAACGTCCTGCCGTGAGTTGTGCTGGCCCTCCTACCCCCCCTCGCGCGCCGTGCTGAATCACAAGGCGCGATGGATGCATCGCTAGCTAACACACGGGCTTCACTTGGCTGGCGGCTCATAGCATGAACTCAGACGCCAACAGCAGATGGGAGCGTCGCACATGGCCCGAGTTTGAGTGGCTTTGCAGAAATGTTCCAGAAGCAGGCTTCCATTTCAAGAGTACGTAGACGCACACACACATACACACACACACCCCGTCACGGAGAGGCAAACCTGGCCACACGATCGCAACAACACATGCACAGCAGGCGCTGTCGTGATCTAGCTCCCTCACTCACCACGTGGCAAATCTCTCATCGTCCTACGTCAAGCTGACAACCGTTTTTCTTTTTTGTTTCATCTCACCGACAGACACTCGTGTGTATCGCAAGCACAAAGACTTGAACCCAGCCACGGCCTCTGCGCCCATGGATCCGCTGTTCAACCTAGATCCGTGGTACCGACACATGATGCCCGACTACCGCGAGCTCGAGGCGAGCGAGCTGCCGCCCGGCCAGGACAGCGGATGCACCTTTACCAGCGTCTGCATGAACACGCCCATATACCTCGCGTGGCTGGTCGGGCAGTGCGTCCGCAACGGCGTCGTCTTTAGGCGGGCCGTCCTGTCGGAGCTCTCCGAGGCGCGGCGGCTCTCCCACACGGGCCGTCCGGCCGACATCATCGTCAACGCCACGGGCCTGGGCTCTCTGAAGCTCGGCGGCGTCAAGGACACGGCCATGACCCCCGCGCGCGGACAGGTTGTCCTGGTGCGCAACGACCGGCCGTCGATGCTCGTGACGTCGAGCGTCGACGACGGAAGCGGCGAGGTGTTTTACATGATGAGCCGCGCCGCGGGCGGCGGCACCATCATTGGCGGCACCTACGACATGGGCAACTGGGAGTCGCAGCCGTGCCCCAACATTGCCGCCCGCATCATGTCGCGCGCCGTGCGGCTCGACCCGGAGCTGGCCAAGGGCAAGGGCGTCAACGGCCTCGACGTGGTCCGGCACGCCGTCGGCCTCAGGCCCTATCGCGCAGGCGGCGTGCGCATCGAGCGCGAGACGTTGCGCGACGACACTGACGGTGGTAGCGTGCACATTGTCCACAACTACGGCCACGCGGGCTGGGGGTACCAGGGCTCTTTTGGCTGCGCAGAGAGGGTCGTCGAGCTGGTCAATGAGATTCGCGCGGCCAAGGGGGATGACCTCTCCAAGGAGCCGACGCTGCTCAATTTTGAGAATGAGACGGTGGCATCGAAGCTGTGATTGGGCATGTATTGACTGTGGGAGAATAGAAATAAGCAGACGGATCAGTGTACTCGAGACTTGCGACGTTGAAGTTTGAATATAGCTTACAGTTTACTTGTTTTAAGTCAATGGTATTGAAACTAGCTCAACAGTGTGTCTGAATTAATTTGTACCAGATATTTTCGCCGCGCCCCGCTAATTTATAGCACAATGCCCCTTACAAAACAGCTTACTCATGTTCAATCTGTCACCCACCAACAAAGCGACCTTGAATCGTCTCGTCGCCACAGCTTATCGGAGCTTTCATTCAAACTTGTCGCGGGCATCCGAAGGGGCGATTGAAGACTGATGGAGGCCAAACACAGCTCCGCGCGGGCCGCCCGCGAGCCTCCCGTGCACATCCGCGCGCTGACGTTTGTCCTCGACGTGGCGTGCGGCCGGCATGCGCTGTCGCCGCTGATTCCCGTGGCGCTGTGGCTCGCCGACGCGGTGCTGACCTGCCTGGTGATTTGGAAGGTTCCCTGTGAGCGGCTTATCCTGGACTCCCTTGCGCGCCCGTTTGCCATGGCGAGCATAGAGCATTGACTAACCACCCGCGGGGGGGGTTGCGCGGGCGGGCGTACAGACACGGAAATCGACTGGGTTGCGTACATGGAGCAAATAACGCAGTTTGTTCACGGCGAGCGCGACTACACAAAGATTAAAGGCGGCACCGGCCCGCTCGTGTACCCGGCCGCGCATGTCTACACGTACACAGTGCTGTACTATCTCACCGGCGAGGGCAAGAACATACTACTGGCGCAGCAGCTGTTTGCTGTGCTGTACATGGCGACGCTGGGACTGGTGATGCTTTGCTACTGGAAAGCCAAGGTCTGTCACAGCTCCGTTACGACTCTACAACACTCGGCGGAATCGCTAACATCTTTGGAACCAACAGGTGCCGCCGTACGTATTCCCGCTCCTCATCCTTTCGAAGCGTCTGCACTCCGTCTTTGTCCTGCGATGTTTCAACGACTGCTTCGCCGTCTTCTTCCTGTGGCTCGCCATCTACTCGTTTCAGCGGCGCCTGTGGGCGCTCGGCGCCATGGCCTACACCTGGGGCCTCGGCATCAAGATGTCGCTGCTGCTCGCGCTGCCCGCCGTGGCGGCGGTGCTGCTCCACGCGCGGGGCTTCTCGGGCGCGCTGTCGCTCGCCTGGCTCATGGCGCAGGTGCAGGTCGTCATCGCGCTGCCCTTTGTCGCCACCAACACAAACGGCTACCTCGGGCGCGCCTTTGAGCTCTCGCGGCAGTTCAAGTTTGAGTGGACCGTCAACTGGCGCATGCTCGGCGAGGCAACGTTTCTCAGCCGCGGCTTCGCGCTGCTGCTGCTGGCGCTGCACGCCGCCGTGCTCGCCCTCTTCCTCACGACGCGCTGGATGCGGCCCGCCAACAAGCCGCTCCTGCGCGCCATGGTGCCTGCGTGGCTGCGCTGCCGCTCGGCGCTGACGCCCGACGAGGAGATTCGCGTGTCGCGCCGCGTGACGCCCGAGTTCGTCACGACGGCCATTCTGTCGGCCAACCTGATTGGGCTGCTGTTTGCGCGATCGCTGCACTACCAGTTTTATGCGTACTTGGCGTGGTCGACGCCCTTTTTGCTCTGGCGCGCACTGCCCAACGCCGCGCTCGTGTATCCGCTGTGGCTCGTGCAGGAGTGGGCGTGGAACGTGTTTCCCAGCACGAGCGAGTCGTCGACGGCCGCGGTTGCCGTCATGGCGACGACGGTTGTTGCCGTGTACCTTGGCACCCGCAACGACGGCATCGTGGTAAAGAAGCCCGCGGCCAAGAAGCAATAGACGGCTGGGGCGAGACGTGTATTATAGTCCAAAAGAAACACAGAGCAGGAAACCAAATATTATTCATAGATGCAATATTCATCAGTCGTCATATGGCTGCGGGCCGTAGATATATCTATTCGTCTTCCGAGTCACTAGGCGGCATCTTGCCCACGTTTGATTCCTCTTCCGAGTCGTCCTGGTCGTAAGCTGCCTTGGCAAACTCCTTTGGCCTTGTGCACATGATTAGCCCATCACTTCTCTCTCTCTCTCTCTCTCTGTGTGTGTGTGTGTCTCTCTCTGTCTCTCTCTCTCTCTCTCTCCATATCGCGACGCAAAAGTTTCAAGGACCCGGACCTACCAGTACGGCATCTTGCGCCACTCCTTTTCTCCGCGCACAATGTTGATAATCTCGCCCTGCGCGCGCGTGTCGGTGGCGCCGTCCTCGTAGCGCTCGGCCAGGGCGAAGCCGCCGCGCTTTATCCAGATGGTGTTGCGGAAGCGCTGCGCGAGCTCCAGCACGAGCGTCTTGCGGTCGTTGGGCAGCTCGCACAGGAACAGGTTGTTGCCCTCGGGCTTGACGACGCGCACGAGGGTCTGGTTGGCGGCGAGGACGTCGGGCGGCGTGAGGGTCTCGTCGGCGGCGGCCTGGACGCCGCGGTTCGGGCGGCCCATTTCTTGGTAAAGGGGGTTTTTGAGAAGAGGTGGTGGAATGGCGGAGTGGACGGGTGAATGGGAGCGAAAAACTGGTTTCGGGTGCGATACTGTAGTTATCTTAAAACACCTCGGTGGGTTGTCTAAATGGACTATGTCACCAGTTGGGCTTTTATCTTGTACAACCATTTTTTTTTTTTCAACGGTGTCGATGGTGGGGTTCGAGGTCGACCAAATGAGCGGGGTGCTACCTGAAATCAGGAAGCGCAGAACGACAGGTGTGAACAATTCTTTTTCGGCTGTCTGTGAACATGACTTTTGAATAGTAAGAAATAACGAGCTACTTCTTCAGGACTCTTCAAATCCATGAAAAAAAAAAATAAAGGATAAAAAAAGACTGAACAGAAAAGCTCAACGCATGTGCCGTGTTCCCTCTAGACTGGTGCTGACTCGAGGCTACTCACCCTTGATGATGAACACTAACAACTACAGCAACACGACAAAATGTCTGCAACATATTGGCAAATTTACGCCAAGATGCACGCTTCTGAAAGACATGAGAGAGTCGGAGAACTCAAAGTCTCTTCATACTATAAGCCCCTTTGAATTTAATACCAAGTGCTGTTTACAGACTGTACTTTGGTAGGAACATTACGCCCATCTCGGACTTGTATGCGGGGCTGTAGGTAGTTGATCGGCTCGGACAAATAATATTAGGTAAATATGGCAATGTCAGGATGAAACCGAGCACCATGCTGACGAAATGATGCAGGACTGTTTGCTTTTTGGTTTCGTCTCCTCTTTTCTGCATGTATGTCTTTCGGTTGTCTTTGAATCCGATCGCTTTATCATCATAGTCTAGTCGAGCGCTTCCCTGTAATCAACTAACCAAGGCAAAGTCGGCCAAGATCACTAATAATGTACAAGTAGAAAGTTCATTCAGCCCATTGTAACAGAAAAATAGGCTCAATCCGGATCGCACCACGACGCGTCGATCAATGAACCCTGGGTTCGGTCTCAGCAAGCAAGCAGCCTCCATTACATCATGCGGACTGTTCCATCTCGCCCGTTCCTCTCGGCCGCCACTAAACAAAACCCGCGTTGAAAGTCATTCTTGGCGGGCTCCGCCGTAGAATACGCGTATCTGAACATGACCAACAAAAGTTTCGTCAGCGCCCCAAACAAGGCTGTCGCCGTCTTTTCTACTAGTTTTGCCAAGAGGCGGCTCCTTGAATTCGTCCGACCAAGACGCAAAATATATTCTCGGATGATAGCTGTCCCGTCCATATTATGTAGCGCTCTGGGAAATGGCCCGTCATTTCTGTCTTGAAGATGGACTCGAGATGGGGTCCCTGCTCCTCGGCAAAGCCCTTCTAGAATGTCTCATCTCGAGAGGCCACGGACCACGGTGGCGTACCGTGAAATACTTTCCATCGCAGCTTCCCGGGGAGAATCATGAATGAAAATATGATAGAACTGGCACGACTGGCTAGCGCCGGAAAACGGTCCCGGATGTGTAGCCATCCGGCCCTAGAACAACTAAACACTATTACTTTGAGAAGCGCCACCGGAACTGAAAGACCGGCCCCCTTCCTCCCTGGCCAAGAAGGCTGACGCCTTGTGGTTTTTAGTCACCGGCGTGAATACACATATTTTCTACCGGTTCTTGTCGCTGACAAGGGCTGAACTAGTGAGCCCGCCAGCCATTGTTAGTGCCACCTGTACGAGGCTTCGGACGGTGTCATTTTAGATACATTAACGGAGACCTTTTCTTTCTCTCATTCTCGTTTGATTCTGTCGCTCTCATATATGTGCCTTGTCTTCCAGTAATATCCCGACGCCGCTCTCGCCTTTTGTTTCTCTGTAACAAGATACCCCCCCTCTGCGTTTCACAGCTTACACACCCTCGACGACTTTCAACAACCGCTAATCAATCCCTCCCATCCCGACACTTCCGTGTGCCTACTACGTTCTAGTTTCACAATATTGAATATACCAGCGCAAACTCGACTTGGAAGCGACCGCGTGCGACGACAACGACAACCGCCGTCATGGCCTCCAATCACACCATGGCTAATCCCTACAAGAGTTGTGTCCAAGTCACCGATGACTGCCCGGTCCAGGCCACCGTCCTGGGCTACTATCCCAACCTGGGATCCGGCTACTTCTTTACCGTCATGTTCGGCCTCTGCCTCATCGGCACCGTCGTCCTTGGCATCACCAAGCGCACATGGACCTATACCGCCGCCCTCACCTGTGGCCTGATACTAGAAACCGCCGGTGTGTAGTATCTATTTATCCCCCGGCACAGTAGATGCAAAGCCATCCCCCCCTCCACCCCCCTTCATTCCCCTTGAACTGACACCTGATTTACCTTTTCTTCTTCTTCCCAGGTTACGTCGGCCGCATCCTACTCCACTCGAACCCGTGGAACGAAGGCGCCTTTGAGCTGCAAATCTGCACAATCATCCTCGGCCCGACGTTCATCTGCGTCAGCATCTACCTCACGCTCAAGCACGTCGCCCTCGCGCTCAACCCGCGCCTGTCCCGCCTCCCCGCCGCCTGGTACCCGCGCATCTTCCTGCCCGCCGACGTCTCCTGCCTCATCGTCCAGGCCATTGGCGGCGGCATCGCCGCCGCCGCCGGCCACGACAAGCCCAAGCTGCAAAAGACCGGCAACCAGGCCATCATTGCCGGCGTCGCCCTGCAGGTCGTCGTGCTCGCCGTCTTTGGCGCCCTCGGCCTCGACTACCTGCTCCGCGTCGCGCGCTGGATGCGCGGGCCCGAGGCGCAGGGCTCCGAGGGCTTGCGTGTCTGGCGCAGCCGCCGCTTTGTCATTTTTCTCGCCGCCATTTGTTCGGCCTACATGGCCATTTTTATCCGCTGCATCTACCGGTACGTGAAACAAAGAGTCGTGCTGAAAAAGGGGGGGAAAAAAAGGGAAAGAAAAAAAAAAAGAAGAGCGAAATTTGCCACTTTTTGTTACTGACTCTTGACCAACCACCAGTATCGCGGAAATGGCCGGCGGCTGGGGTAATCACATCATGCAGGACGAGCCCAGCTTCCTCGTTCTCGACAGCTCACTCGTCCTTGTCGGCAGCGCCCTTCTCACGATTTTTCACCCGGGCATCTTTTTCCCCCAGATGCGTCACAACGCCGTCGCGCGCCGTCAGCAGCGCGCCGAGGAAAAGGCGAGCGCCAAGCGCGACGCCGCTTCGGCCGGCGGCAACGAAACGGACGAGACCCGGATCCCCGCTTCGACGGGCCCTACTCCTCCCGAAACGACCAGCAAGGAACAGGTCTAGAAAGAGGTTGCGAAAAGAAAAAGTGTGACATTTTTGTGTATATGTGGCGGCATGGTCCTGCAATTAGACAGAGGGTGAGAATACCATTGATGAACGGCCGAATTCAGCGCGCAATAAGAAAGGCATCATCTCGGTCATTCTGGGTTCTATAAACGATTTCTTCTCGTTATATACTATATTAGTCCATCATTCATATACTTGCCAATCATCTGGAATCGGTCCAGGCATGGCTTGTTTCTTGCAAGCATCGCTTCATATGCCATTTCGCCCAAGCAGTGTGTGCATCATTCATGCCTTGACCAAATGATCTTCCTCCCCGTCATCGTCAGTTTCCTCTTCCTCTTCCTCTTCATCTTCTTCTTCCTCGTCAGACTGTTCTTCTTCTTCCCCACTCTCCTCTTCACTTTCTTCTTCTTCTTCTTCTTCTTCTTCTTCTGTCTCGCCACTTTCTTCCTCTTCGTCGCCCTCAGCAAGCCAGTCGTCCAGCGTCTTGGTACCGAGACCCTCCGCAATGCCATTGGACTTGCTTGGTGCAGCTCGCACAGCTTCGTCAAGAGCTTGGCCAGCAGGTGCTGGGCCTCTCTCGTTATCATATCGCGAATACTGTCCTTCGTCCTGTTCACGCAGTCTCGGATCTGGCTCTTTGCCGGGTTCGACCCAGTCAGGGAGCGCCTCATATCCGCTGAGCCCATGAAGACCGCCGCCACCTTCAAGTACAAGCGTTGCTGATCCCAGTGGAAATCCCTTTCTTGATTCTGAGGGGCTTGGTGCTTGGGGTGCAGGTTTCGGTGCAAGGAGCATCAGTGTAGCAAGCTGTGGCACAGAGAGAAGTGACCTATACATTCTTGCGCGATCACGCAGATCATACGATACATCATATCTGACGAGGACCATCAGGTAGTCCCAGAGGCGCTCGATAGGGTGCGTGTCGAGTGGTTGAGGGGGGTCATCCTCTGCAGCCTCGGCCTTTTCATTTTCTGTACGACGATTGATGTGGTGTAAATAAACCTTGGCACCGAGCAGGACTATTTGTCTCTTTGCAACTTCCGATTCGTGGACAAAGTCTTTGAGGAGGATTCGTAACACGTCTGGTGCAATGTTGTCCTGTCCATCTAGACCAGAGAACTCGCCAACAAGCCAGATGATTGTGGCCCTTGCCTGAGGGTCAGTGGCTGAGTCCAAGTTTTTGGCAAGGCGCACAACAGTTCCAACGTGGCTATCGGGGTTCTGCTGAATCAAGTGCCGAATGACCGTAAGCGACTCAGCAGCAAGGGTACCGTCAAGGCTGGTAATTTGGCTGAGAAGAAGCTTCAGACAGCGTGGTGACGTTGTGGCGTCAGATTGCGCACATCGGCCTATAGCCCGCACAGCCTCTTGTACCAGACCTTTGTTTGTGCCCTGCGAAAAGTGCTCGAGCTCCTTCAGAATCAGACTTTTGATATGCGGCGGGCTATGAGGGAAGATGAGAGTCAGGACCTCAAGCTTGAGCTCCCATACGGGCGCGGAATCTGTGGCTCTGACCAAAAAGTGACTGGAGTACTTGACGAAATCTTTTGGTCGCATCAAACACACCGAGACAATGTTATACAAAGCAAGCTGTTGAATATCTTGGGCGCCTCGCATGAGTGCGATAAGGGGACCAACAGCAAGCTTGACATATTCAGCGGTGCCAATCTCGACATAACACCTGGTTACAGCAACGACCACACCAGAGTTTCGACTTTGTAGCAAAGGACGAATAGCGTTCAATAGCATGCGCAGATCGGGATCAATGTGCACGCTAGCATCAGCCTCTTCGGTTCTTGATTCGTTGTAAAAGTCATCTGCAGAAGCAGGCTCCGTAGATTTAGATCTCGAAGCTCCAGCTCTTGGTCTAGGAAAACACTTTCTTGCGTAAGAGCTCATCAGTCGCAGCATGGCAAGCTGACTCCATTCATCCATGTCGACAATCTTGCGAACCAGGCCTCGGTAGTGTTCATGAATCAAATCGATTCTGTCGGGACACATTTCGAGGAAAGCTGCAACAGCTGCGCCGGCAACAAAGTACTGCTTATCTCCAATCAACGTGGACAGGTAATCGGTAAGCTGCGGCGCTTGGCTCGGGTCGAGTCGGTAGCATTTGGGGATGGCAAGAGCAGCGGCCTTACGGACAACAGGGCTCATATCGACGACGCCCTTTTTAATAGCCAAGGAGACAATCTGGCTGATGACGGGTACGCGGATGCCAGACATGGTCTTGAGAGCCAGAGCGCGAACCTGCGGATTGGTGTCGGAGAGGGACTTTTGGATCGTATTGATGGAGAGGAGGGCGAGATCGGGCTCCTGCTCAGCATAATGGATGAGGTAGATGTAGACGAGCTTTTTGATTTCGATATTAGGCGACGCGACGTTTTTGACGACTGAGGAGAAGAAGGGTAGGGTCTTTTGGTTTCGGTACATCATCTAAAGCCAGGGTCAGTAAGGGTTTGGTTGGTAGGAAAGACGCCAGAGGGCAGAAGGACGGGCGTACAGCAACAACGCGTCGTAGGCCTTCGAGCACATCACGATCGTTGCGGCTGTCGAGCAGCTTTCGCATCTGGTTTCGGTCGAGTAGTCTGGAGCTCGTGCGACTGCCACGAGTAGCTTGGGCGGCGTCAAGCGTGAGCTCCCTCGCTGGAAGGCATCAGCGATAGTAAGAGCGGGAATGGGGTGCTGAGCAACATACCGGCCTCCATGAGGCTTGATATCCGCGATATGGACTCCATTGTGCAGCGACACTACATGTGCCAGCGAAGCTCGAAGACGTACTTGTCAGTTGTCGGAGGGGGGTTGGGAAGCAGAGTGGGCTGCACTCGTCAACTTACGGTGGGGGCACGCACGTTGAACAATGTCAAAGCCTCGTGCTACAGTCGCTGCTATGCCATGCCATGCTCTGCTCACTTTGACTGCAATGGACAAAACATGAATCAATTCAATCTCTGTAATGGCTCTGGTTGCTTGCTATCTCTCTAGTTTTCTTTTTTTTTTTCTTTTTTTTGGGGGGCTCTTCTGATGGCGCTGTACACTGTGACCTGCCATGCCCGTCCCTCCCAAATTGCCCAAGACTTATAAAGTATACAGAGTAGTAAGGTACATGAGTTGTGTATTCTTGGCAATCCAAGCTATTGCAATCACCTCATTAATAAAGAAGATTGGTCTAAGTATTTCCAGTTGAGGCTTCGGAGAACGCAACAGGCTCGGCTCCTCTTTGTCGCCATGTCTCGGGGGGCCAACCGAACTCGGAGTTGCCGCCTGCGTCGTACCTGGTTCCTCAAATAAAAGATCAACATCAAAGGGTAACCAATCATGCAATTCATGTCTGATTTACTGACTTCATCCTTGCCTGGCTGAATACAATTAAGACGAGCTAGCAACAAAGTGCGTATGATTCCAAAACTGGCCGTCTTCCACACCCCCCTCTAGCGACTTCCATGCAGATTTCGGCGGGTATGGTGATGGATTAAAAACCAAGCGCATGTCGAAATTGTTTGAGGACTCATTTGCATACCGAGCACGACTTGGCTCTACAAAGCGGCCCTTTTCCACACGAACCGTGTATGTCTTCGTTTGGAACGCCTCATCAGTCAAGCTGAACTCGTTCACCAAGGTACTCTTTGTCAACACCGACGTCTGGGCACTTTCTGGAAGCCGCTTTGTCAGCGTCATCTGGATATGCAGCTGGCTGCTGTTCTCAACGTCATCTGCGGATGCAGCGGCCAGAGACCCGCCAACCTGCGCATCAGCAGCAGCAGAAACGCTGTTATCGGCAACCTTCCATTCAAAGTCTGCAGCAATCCAGTAATTGAAGTTGCAAGCACACCATAGCTAGGAGAAATTAGCAAGACAGTGCCAGGAAATTACCGCCGACACCGAAACAAACCTCGCCTGTCCCGTCTCCCCGAAAGACGATATATCTTCCTTCGCTGTCAAAGTACCAGGCTGGTACTGAGGACAGAATAGCAGCTGTAGTCTGAGTCATTTCTGTAAAGAATGCTGCTGAAAAGTAAGACGTGTCTCTCAAAAGAGGATGATAGGTCGAAAGTTCACATGTTGCAGGAGATAATACGGGTTGCCAGTACAAGCGGAGGTGGGGCAGTCAGGCCCAGGCCAGGCTGCGCCTGCGGTGCTCAGCCATTCAAATCAGCATGATTGCTCGACGCATTACTATTCGGAGCTTTATAATAGTGGACTATATCAGACAAAAGACTCCCGAGTCAACCTTAATAGGAAAAACGTTTATCACATGTACAGCCACAATGCTCACACCTTCCCAACGAGATAATCTCCCCCCCCGGAATTTCCCTGCTACCTCAGGATGACTTTGTAGACATGTTGAACATCGTCATTTACTATGTCTACTACTTCGACGGGGGTTGAGATATGTCAATATACTATGCGTTATGCGAGGACATACTGACGAGCAGTGAGCGTCACCCTTACGGTTGCCTCTTGCCCGTATTATCCGGAGACATCCAAACGATCCCACTCAATACGAGTAGCTTGCAGATGATTGTCGAATGTTAAAAAGCAATAAACCGGCATTTGAAATGCCGAGAGCCGAAGTGAAACGTGCTGAAGTGATAGGCCCATTTGACTGCACGTAGTCGTCAGCTAAATGTAGTATATATACGTGCAAGTCCTCTCATCTCAACGTGGAAAATTGGTTCCTCAGCTCAATCATCTCGACTTACTCTACTCTATCAACCCTGTGACAACATGAAGTTCGCGCTTGCTCTTACCCTCGCCAGCTTTGGTGCTGCCGCGCCGTTGGCCGAACGCGGGCCAAGTATCGTTCTCGGATACAGAACAGTGAGCGCGGTATGTCGTGGTTCCATCCCTCGGAGCAAATCAGTGGCCAATCTTCCTATAACTGGCATTGCCTAATGCAAAGTGTTGGGAGCCCCCACGTCTACATGGTTATACAGTCACTAATCGGTTACATATAGGAACAAGCCAAAATCTACAAAGACGCAGGCAATACACTGGTCTGGACCAAGACTGAAAGCTCTGATCAGCTTGGTCCTGGTGTCTACATTAGCCCCAAGTACGGCGACTGGCCTGGTCAGCCAAACGGCTGGGACTGTGTTTTCCTCGCGGATTCCACGCCCTGGAATCCAGTCAACAAGGCCTGGGTCCCCGAGAAGAACGATCAGGGTCAAAACCTGTGGTGGAATGCTGGAGGTAAGTGAATTATTATTCCGTAGCTGTAGATTTAGAATATGCCGTGAAATCCGCTAACGTTTCGCAACATAGCCACAGCGAGAGCCGCCTATCTAAAGACCATCGGCGGGTCAAACTTTACGCCAGAGAATACTGTGCTGTTGAGCCAAATCCAGGGATTTCAACTCTTGCAACTCCTGATCCCACCGCAGCTTGTCAAGGATCCAAAATACTTGAAGACTACCACGCAGTGCGCTGCAAAGTCGGACACGGCGGGCATCGAAGCAATCAAAAAGTACGGTTCTGTGGACTGGAGCAAATGGCCGAATGTGAAGGGCACTCCCCAGCATGTTTGAGTTTCACTAGCGTACCTCAGTAGACACTATTAGAAAAACTACTGCGCCTGCACGGGGAACGTAATTTTGGCCAATAGGTCTTGGCTGAGGCTATTGTGCACTGACTCTGCAAGGCCAGATGCTATAGTTGATCGACGAGCGTTGATTTTGCCGACTGTCATAGCTTACTATATAATCTGTAAAAATCAGATTCTTTTAAAGTGTAAGCTTCCAAATTCACTGCGATATAAAATTGCAGTTTGGCACTGGCCCTAGTGAAAACCTAGACTACTTTGGTGTCTAAATCATTCTGCGATGTTCTGTTAACTATTCTTTGCAGGCGTTCTTCAAGCGCTCCGCCCGCGACGACTACATTTTATCGTAGTAAAAATGCGGATCCACACCTTTATTCATGTGAATCAGGCCCTATATGCGTTTATAACATTGTAATAAGTCTACTTCCTGATTCGTACTCGTGAAAGCGGCCCGAACCCGGAGAACTGACTCAGTGTTGGGAGACTGAAACTGGGGTCTCTTCAAGATCGACTGATCATAACCCCACGTTATTACTCGCTCCTTCTACTAATCCCCGGCCATGGCCGTTGTTATTATCTTGCCTCCACTACCCCTGCACTGATCTGTTACATGAAGATCAATCAGGTCGAGGGTATCACCACAGCACGTCGCAGGTTCTCCACGTTATTCGGAAGTGTTTATTAAGCCCAATCGATCCGAATTGCGGTCGCAGGTCTGATTTCGGGGATCCAGATTTACCATTGGCCGAGTGCCCGTTCAAAGTGGCAACTTGATTCACCTTGTGTACGCGATTTGAGGCTGATGGGTGTCGCAGGCGAGTGTCCTGACTGAGGCCGGCCGGCTCATCTACTGCGACAAGCCGTTCATAAAGGTCATCAATCCCAACGGCATCTGATAGAAATATGGTTACGGACAAAAAAACTCCGTTTCCAAAGCGTAGAATCGCTCTAGCAGCAAAAAGCGATGCTCGCCTTACGAGCTTCCACATTCAATGGAACTTCTCCACTAACGCTTGCATCATGTGCGCTGGCATCAAAGTAATGGTTCAATCAAAGGGCACCAATGTTGCTGAGGCTCCTTGGCCGTTATCGCCATCGGCGCTCTAGGCCACATCGACATGAAGCTAGTCAAAGCTTTGGTGTGCCACTCCCGAGGCACCTTTCAACCAGCCCGCACCGGCTGTTAGCGAGTAGCACTACGAGTTTAATGCCGTCGACATCAATCATAGCTCGAAAGAACTGGCTAACTTGAACGGTGAAAGGCCGGCGCGAGGATTCTAGCCACGGCGCTCGTCGAGGACGCTCTGCATGAGTAGTGACTGGGTATAAAGGGCGACGGCAACATATTATTACTCCGGGCAAAATTTATGCATTCATGAGATGTTTCGAGGGGCGTTTGTGAAGAGTCTTTGTGAGAGGTGTTGATGAGAGGGTGGTTTTTAATGAGAAGCGCGGCAACGACAGTGATACGGCCGTACAGAGCCAGAAACAGAAGCATTATAAAACCAAGACATGGTTTAGCGTAGGATCATGTCGTCGTATTCAGTGATTAAAGATAATGCACACTAAGAAGAGTTAAGATGCTCATTTCCTAACGCCCGATGCTACGCCCATATGCATGCTAAGAAAAGGAGCCGTCTCCTCCAAATGGTGCTTCTCGCTGAAGCGACGACGCCAGGCAAAGAAAAACATAAATATACACTGCCATGACCGAAAATCTCATACTTTGGCAAGAACGCGGTATTCGACATAGTCCTCGCCGTTGATGGAAACCACTTGGCCCTTGGCCGTGAGCTTGCCGGCAAAGGGTCCATTGGGGCTGCGTTGGTACACGACGCCGTTGTAAACCTTGGGCTTGGTGTCGTCGGCCGAGCTGTCCGTGACCGACGACGCCGTACTCACGTCCGCGGAGTCGCGACTGCTGTCAGCAAAGCCTGACTTGTCCATGTCCACCGTGGCAGCGGCGGCCGCCGCGGCGACGGCCGCCTCGGAGA